ACGGAGTTAAATTACATACGGCTTTATGTAATATCGCCCCTTTTAGTTGGAGTAGTTTGCGGACTCAGACTCAGGCCTGCCTGTCCTCGCATGCATGCGAAACTAAATTTTGTGTCCACATGTGCCATAATTGTCCGTCATCCACCCTTAGACCTGCTAGCTGCGGCCAAAGAATTCACAAAGCAACTGTGGTCATTGTCCGATTAGGATGACAAGGACTAGGCAGTGGACTGTCCAATATCCACATCTCCATAGTGGTAGGCCACAATCCACAGTAGCTTGATCGATAGTATATATACTGTACACGAAGGAAACTGTTTGGTATCACCTCCAGCCCCAGGCAACGTCTTCCAAGAAAGCTCAAGTGCATCACTATGAAATCTCAAAGTAAAAGGTCTCAGCGTACTTTCTCCCTATCAGGTCGAAAATGCTCCCAAGAGGAAATGTATGACAACTGGACAGCTTAACATACTTGACCCTTATTATGCCAAAAACGATCACCCTACGAAGGATGATATCGAATTACTGGCCAAGGCGATTGATATGTGAGTTTGGATTCCTTCACATAGTGCGATCACCCGAGCTGACCAAATGGATGCATAGTCCAGCCCAGAAAGTTAAGAACTGGTTCAATAATCGGCGCGCCAAAGAGGCTAGACTACAACGGAATCCATCGGATATGTTATCGCAATGCTTCTGGAACATGAACATTGATGATACCGATGACTTGTCCGATTCGGACGACAACGATGACGAGCACGAGTCGGGTGATGCCCAAGGTGCCCTAAACCAAGGGGGTCTGGACCAAGAAGTTCTTTATCAAGAAGCCCGCGCCTGTGTAGCGACGATGGCAGAAATGTCACCCGAGGAAGTCGATATGCTGTTCATCGAGCAAGAAACCCACGCCGCCCGCGCCTGTGTCTTGGCCATGGCCAAGATGACACCAAAGGAAGTCAATGCGGCGTTTATTCTCAACAACCTCAAGCGACGAATCATTGTTCATCCTCCCCAAAAATGACAACGTGACGTGTTTTCAAGCGTTTGACTGGCTCCTACACGGCTACTCGATCAGCGCTATATAGCCGCTATATGTTGATTACTTGCTTACCTTGTTATTGATACCCGACATAAATATGATGTACTTATATTGGCCCCAGTAGGCATCATGCACTGCAGTGAGGCAGCCCACCATCTTCTAGCACGTAAAAGATCGCAGTCCACCATAGGGTCAGCGATACAAATTATCATTTGAGAGATTCTAGCGGTCCTCCGATTGTCCGCTCCTGGTTTGTGGAAGTCTTGACTTCGGAAATGAACCAACGATTACTGACTCTGAACTTTGGAGCCCCATGGTAAAACCTCGGACTCACCGACTGCTGGCAGAACTTCAAAAGGTCCTCTGAAATTGAGTAAAGTTCTCACAAGTTGCCAAAAAATTATCCGCGGTAAGAGCCACAGAAATGAGTATGATTGCAGCAGGACACACTGGTACTACGGACAATATTTAGCTGGTCACTGTAGTAGGAGCTGATAGAAGCTTAGTACTACCGCGTTCCAGGGGTATCAAATTCGGGAGGAGCACAACTAGGGTCACTCCAATCAACGAAGTCGACCAGGGCGCAGCCTTGACTGCATAGATACGTGAGGGGAGGGGGGGGGTTCCAACGATATCAGAAGCGGCCAATTATAGCCTACTGTCCACAGTTGGACGTGTTCGTGGGGAGTAACCTCTTCACCTCTCTTGCAAGGTCATATGGCATGCGACGAAATCTGACGGACTATGTGCCAATAATAAACAATAATAAACATCAATAAATCATCAGTCTCCCTGCCATCATTGTCATAATCCATCCTGTCGTCGATATTATCAAGCCAGGAGATATCAAACACGATCCTTGTGTCTGCGTATATCCAGCTGTCATGGCAAAGTGAATTTATGTGCAGATCCTGCAAAGCTTACGACTCACCACACTCTCCCGCTGCCAGATGCTCCACCTGCTAAAAGAATCCATGCAGACATGCAGAACTGAGGGTCAAAAGGACATATTTCATCGATACTTAGCGTCTGCGGAAACCAGTGCCCTATGCTGTAGCTCCACATAAGCCTCTGCAAGTCAGTTAACTGGGACATCGCTGACTCGGTCACGCATACTTTCCACAACGTCGACATTGAATGGTCCTCGTGCAGGTCCTGTAAAGACTGCCGTTCACCATACTCCGCTGCCGCCAGATCTGCTAAGAGAATCGATACAGAGGCAGAGGAGTGCAAGCACAAAGGGAAAATATAAATATAAAGAAAGCATTCAGGAAATGTCAGTACTAGTGTCATTGTATCACACTGAACGTTTACGTTTATATCATGAATCATAAATTTCAATATTTGTTCGAGCAAGCAAGGTCAAAATCGGCAACGCCGATCCCTAGTTCATCAACATACATGACAACTTAAAACAGAAAGGATAAGCGTCGTACTCGACTCCTCTCATGGACAAGCTGTTGAAGAAGCTCCGCAGATGGACTACGAAACGGCAAACTGGCCCATCCCGGACGAATTTGCACTGCGTTTCGATAGCATCAAATACAATTTGCAAGCAACACCCCTCCCTGTCTTCTATGAAGGCAACCTTATTCAACACATCCACACCTTTATACCGCTCTCAACGGATCCATCGTGGAGATTGAGTTCACCGTGCGTCATTGGAAAATCCAATACTTTCCAAGCGACCGCGGAAAACGTAACCGTTCTGAGGCCCAGTGCGGTCCACCACAATACTAACTACAAATACCTGCACGTCAACGACGACAAAGACCGACCGGAAAATAAAAAAATTCCCCGAGAGACTGACGCGAGTGGTTCGAAAGCCTAAAAAGAGGTACAGTGCCTTCTACTGCACTCCTAATTGTACTTGTATCTCGAAGCGTGTCGTGTCTCCTATTTTTCTAGCGTGTTTTCTAGGACTGTAGTAGTATTCGACAGTCCTGTATTCCAGAATAAAATCGGGATGTGAAAAATTGGTTGAAGCGTGAGAGTCGCGACTCGTCGGAGCAAGGTAAATAGTCGGCAACGCCGACCCCTAGTACTCATCTACTAGAGACCGGCGTTGCCGATTTTGACCTTGCTTGTTCGAACAAATATTGAAAATTATGATTCATGACAACGTTCAGGGTGATACGATTCTTTTTCTTTGTATTTTCCCCTTGTGCTTGCACTCTCCTCTGTTTCTGTATGGATTCTCTTAGCAGGTCTGGCGGCAGCGGAGTATGATGAACGGCAGTCTTTACAGGACCTGCACAAGGACCATTCAATGTCAACGTTGTGGAAAGTATGCGTGACTGAGTCAGCGATGTCCCAGTCAAGTGACTTGCAGAGGCTTATGTGATGCTACAGCGTAGGAAACTGGTTTCTGCAGGCGCTATCTGTCCTTCTTTCGACCCTCAGTTCTGCATATCTGTATGGATTCTTTTAGCAGGTGGAGCATTTGGCGGTGGGGGAGTGTGGTGAATCGTAAGCTTTGCAGGATCTGCACAGGACGTAATTGAGTGCTTGTTAAAATGAAGTAAACGATATGTGTAGCAAGTTCTTTTGACGCTCGTCCAGTGAGAAGCCCGACTTGACATTATCATCTTGCATGGTCTCGCCCAGGAGAAGAGATAGAATATGTCCCGCTGCCGTTGTAGGAGCCTCCGTAGCTGCGCTTTGCTATGACAGCTGGATATACGTAGACACAAGGATCGTGTTCGATATCTTGGCTTCATAAGATCGCTGATAGGATGAATTATGACGCGTCGACGTTTGCCTGACGTTGGTGAGTAGGAGAAATGAGAGCGACGTTTGTGGATGATAGCGTTCAACAACAGGGAGACTGATGATTTATTGATATTTATTATTGTTTATTATTGACACAGTCCGTCAGATCTTCAGATTTCGTCGCATGCCATATGTATGACCGGGACCTTGCAAGCAAGGCCTAGGTTTGGGACTTTTGCTGATGGGCCTAGGCCAGGCCCTTACAGTTAGTGAGTTAACGATGACATCTTAATGTTACCCCATCACCATTTCAATCAATCTCATCTAGAATAGCCTGCGGTAAATATTAGTACCGGTGAGCATCAATGTTACCTCACCCACCTCGACCTCATCTAGAATAGCCTGCGGTATCATTAATCCTTGTTCGACCCAATCTAACTCATCAAAATCGCATGCAAAAGCATTTCCCTCAAACACTTTGTTCTTTTTTATGTCTAAAAAATTCATATTTGGGGTCAAAGACCCTATGTCGGACATAGCCCTTTTCGCGGTGGGCTTACTCCCGCTTAACTATCATACTAACTTCGTGTTGTGTCGAGATCAGAGAATGCGTGCTCTACTTTACCTGCATGCCCTACAATTGAGAGGATTGTTACAGCAAAGATCTTGGGTGGGTGGATTTCGGAATTGATCAGAAGGTTTTGCACCAAGAAAGAGGATGGAGCTAGTGACTGATTATAAGCCTGCAGGTCATCCGAGAGTTCTTTTGATCTCGCATGCAGCCAAAAGCCAACATGGTAGTCCTGTTCGCAACTTCACAAGTCAACTGGAACATCTTGTTGGCGCAGCGAAAAAGTTTTAGCACGCAGTCAGCCAGCAAGGCTCAATATCAGTCTTGGATACCCTCAATTTTTGCCAGGTTCTTGTTCTTCCAACCTCCTTTCGGATGAGTTCTGCCGTGGACCTCGCAGAACCAGTTTTGCCAAATTGATTTGCAAAACTCTCAGGTTCTGCCAACAATACAATGACGTAGGCCGCAGTTCCGCGTCAATCTTACATGGCATCATTACTCCAACAATGGCCCGGGATATAAACGACACATCGGAGGTTTGGACATTTTACCTCTTGCAAAATTTCAATCAAAAGCAGATCTAGACCTGGCCTGGAACGCTCTGGAGCGCTCTAGATTGCATTTCGAATGTGATTTCACTAGTGGCAAAATGTGGTAAAATGTTGAAACCCCCGCTGTGCGAAGTACGTACTCAGGAGTTTCAGCCAAACGATAGAATTCCGTGCTGGTGAAAGGCAGTGCATTTATAGCGGTAATTATCGCAAGATTGTTTCTTCTGTTCAATCTGTGCATCATGGCGAACCAACTGGTCCTCCCTACTCTCGATGACCTCAAAAGCTCAGTTGCTCCCGATGTCAATGTTCAAGCGGTAGCGAGTCAATGGTTCTCAGCATTCGCAGAAGCGATGCAGTCAAGAATGTAACAGCAGTCTTAGATCTCCTTGTCGATGATGTCTTCTGGCGCGATATACTCGCATTAACATGGGACTTCCACACTTTCCAAAGCACCCCTTCCGTTAAAAAATTCCTCGCAGACCAACTCCCGCTATTTACCTTGTCTTCTTTCAAACTCAGGAATGATCTGGTAGAACTCCAGAGACCATACCCTGATATCGCGTGGATTCAGGCGTTTTTTGACTTTGAAACTACAGTCGGGATTGCATCTGGGGTGTTCCGGCTTGTACCACTCGCGGACGGCTCATGGAAGGCCCATACCGTCTTCACGAACTTGGAAAATCTCAAAGGTTTCCCAGAACAGAATGGGCATAGACGAGACTACCAGTCAAACCATGGAAAGTGGGCCGCGAAGCGTGCACGTGAGATCGAATGTGTCGACGAGGAGCCCAGCGTCGTAGTGATAGGAGGCGGGCAGAGCGGGCTCGATGTTGCAGCGCGGCTTAAGATGCTTGGCACGAAGACTCTAGTAGTGGAAAAGAACGAGAGAATTGGTGATAATTGGAGGAAGCGTTATGCAGCGCTGTGTCTCCATGATCCCGTCTGTGAGTCTCACTCTTTCAGAATATGGTGTTTGCTTCTTGCTCAATGATCCCCTTCTGTATAGGGTACGACCACATGCCATACATTCCGTGGGTCTCACACCTCAGTTCGTCCATGACTGTCTAACTAAAAGCCACATAGTTTCCCTGTCTCGTGGCCTGTCTATACGCCTGCATTGAAACTGGCAGATTGGCTGGAATCATATGCACACAGCATGGAGCTCGATGTTTGGACCAGCGCTACGGTCATGTCCGTCATTCCGGGTACGAAGGGAAAGAAGTGGACTGTCACAGTCCAACGTGCTGACAGAAAGGAGCGTGCCTTTGAGGTCAATCATGTCGTATTCGCCTTGGGCAGCGGTATGGGCCAAATTCCAGATATCCCAGGGCAGGTTCGTTCGATCCATGAATGTAGGATCCTCAGGCTGATGTCAAATACCTACATAGGACGACTTCAAGGGGCAGATGTTGCATTCTAGCAAACACAATCTTGCGACTGATCACGCAGGAAAAAAGGTTGTTGTTGTCGGGGCTTGCACGTCCGGTAGGGGGTCGCACCATGAATGTTCTATTTTTCTCTGCTCACTATAAAGTATAGCGCATGACATATGTGCGGACTACGCTGACAATGGCGTTGGTAAATGATTTTTGAAGCACATTGATGGTATTCAAACAAAAATGGTGCAGATGTGACCATGGTTCAACGCAGCCCGAGTTACGTCATGTCCACAAAGGAGGGCATGCCGAGGTTCATGAGTGAGTTGTCCGTTCTTTACAATTTTGCTATTATAAACGCACCCAGCGATCTTCTGGGAGGGCGGTCCTCCTACTGATGTTGCGGATCGCGTAAACGCGTCTTACCCCGAATTCGTTGCTCAAATTAGTGCATCAACGTGTCACCAAGGACATTGCTGAGGCGGATAAGTGCGTGACTACATATTGTGTCCCAATTACCTGATAGAGGAAGGATTCAGGGAGCTTCTTGACGGCCTGCGAAAAACGAGGTTTCAAGACAAATTTGGGCGATGATGACTCTGGCTTTCTGATTACGGCATTGAATGGGGGAGGAGGATATTATCTTGGTTGGTCCATTTGCAGATTAGAGCGTATCTGAGCTGACCATAGTGCCAATATCAAGACGTCGGAGCTTCACAGATGATCATCGACGGGAAGATCAAACTCAAGAGCGATGGGCCAATCTCGCGCTTTACGCAGACAGGTTTACTTTTCGAAGACGGTTCTACTCTTGAGGCAGACGTGGTCGTCTTCGCTACTGGGTACGCTTTTCTTACTGACCAATAGACATTGCGATTCACATTATCAGCTACGCCGATGCACGTCATTCATATCGTGTTCTGCTTCCCGAGTCACTGCATGACAAATTGTATCCTATCTGGGGCCTTGACAAAGAAGGAGAGTTGAACAGTATCTGGCGCGAAGTCGGTGGGCGCAGCAAGGACGCGGAACTCAATGGCATATGGTGCATGATGGGGGACTTGGCGCTTTGTAGGTTCCATTCCAGGCATCTCGCATTGCGTAAGTCGTACGTTTTCTTTGTTCTTGACTCCGGTTTGATGAGCTTGATGACATTCAGAAATTAAATCACACGAAGAAGGGATTTTCGGGACAAGATATCAGTGAAGGACGTGAAGCGTCCACAGCGTATGTTGTATTTGTTCTTAGTATTCAAAGAGATTGTACAGGTATATTTGAACCTCGACTGTGTGTGCTATTTGCAGACGCTGATACGCATCCAGTGATTTCAGAAATCCTCAGGAATACCCCGTACTAGATTACAGTTGTCAGGATGTGAGCTAGGACTCAAAGGCGACGGACAAATTGCTCATCACACATCACCGTTAACATTCACATTAGAGCGGCGTGCTTCTAGTGAAATCTGTGATTAGCTATCAAGTTCACCTCCGAGTCATAGCAAGTTTTAATGTTTACATCCTTGGAAACAAAAATGCTGTAAACGAGACACTTCTTGGGAGGGTCCTAGCGGCGATCGTTCTGCGTTTTTAGACCAAGACTTGATCTCTTTCATCATCCTCTGTGAGGCTGCTTTCCCCACAGAGGATGATGAAATAGCATGTCCAGGAATACAGAATATGGTCAGGGTGTAGCCGTTTTGACGTGGTCCTGCCGCGCCTTGACACGCATGAAAATGAAAATGCCAAGTGAAAGCCTGTGGCACTCAGAGTGTTCACACGGCGAGAGAATACGCTTAAGGATTCAGACAAGGTAACTGTCCGAACTAAAATGTATTCAGTCAGGGAAAGATCAACCAACGCTACAGTAGATAAATGCGAGCTTATATACTGTAGATCTACTAATCTGATGTAATCAAAGGGAATAGGAAAGAAGGTGATAGAACTAAGTGCATGCCGACGAGGATATTGCTGATGGAGACAAATATCCATTGAAGGCTTTTGCCGAGCGTAACAAAGCCAGATCTGATGACAAATGGAGATGGTCGTGCCTTCTCTACTAAGACTTCCTAAGACTGTGGTGTGATGTACATACTGCATGCTGAGAGCAACAGGCATATGCTCATTGCAGCGGGTTCACTAGGGCCTGTTGAAAACGTTGACCGTTGGTGCGGTAGAAGAAGCGACAAATATCCATGCCGTAAGACCGACGTGCCAGGTACAAACACCAGAATATTAATAGGTCACCGTCAGTACTTACTCGGAGAAATCCAACAGTAACTGTATACTACGTGGTACGAGTTACTGCATACGAGGACCGTGCACCGTGGATGGTTCCATATCCTACAAAGTATGTTCCTCGTTACATAACTTCAAATGCCACTGACCGTCTACTTCCGTCTAGGTCAACGCGACATGTCAGGAGTGCCTGGCTCTGATACAGCGGCAAGAAATGCTTTAAGTGGGCAGATTGCGCAGACAATGTTAGGGCAACCAACGCCAACACACATCATGCAAGGGCATACAGGCGCGGTGTGGGCATCCGCGTTCTTCAAAGATCGTCGACGGGTTGTCACTGGTTCAAGGGACCACACCCTGCGAATTTGGGATGTGGATAAAGGAACATTGGTAGGAGGGCCATTTGAAGGACACGAAAGACTGTGTGCGATCAGTCGCCATATCACCAGATGACAAGCGAATTGCGAGTGGTGGAGATGATCAAACTATCATCATCTGGGACGTCGAGACCAAGCAGAAGGTTTTCAGTCCGCTGGTGAAGCATACAGGCCGGGTGCGGTCGGTTTGCTTCTCCCCCAACGGCAAGAGACTTGCCAGTGGGTCAAATGATTTCAAGGTTGTCATTTGGGACGCAGAGACCGGCGCGGTCCTATCAACACTTAATGGTCATAGTTATGATGTGTACAGCGTCACATTCAGCCCAGATGGACTAAAATTGGCATCTGGATCATTGGACCGTACCATCAGGGTTTGGCGCACCGATAATGCCGAACTTATTCTCCAGATCGCTCACCAAGATGGTGTTCGAAAGTGTTGTGTGGTCGCCCGACGGTCAGCAACTCGTCTCCGCATCAAACGACGCAACCGTTAACTTCTGGAACTCGTCGAACGGACACCGGATCGATCAACCTTGCACCGGTCATACTGACACCATCTACTCGCTCGCCATCTCTTCTGATGGCACCTTCATTGCTACTGCCTCAGCCGATAACACTGCACGGCTGTGGAGCACAAAGTCGCACCAGCAGTTAGGACAGTCACTTAAACACACAACCGCGCGGGTTACTGTGTTGCAATTTCCACGATGGAGCACTGCTCGTGAGTGGAGACTATAATGCGAAAGTTCGGTTCTGGTCTATTAAGACTATACTCGAGCAACATAAGGCACAGGAAAGGATTGGAGTGGTTGAAGAAGCGCGTTGACTCCTTTCTCGCAGTGACACGCAGGTATGCTCTTTCCCTTTATTGTTCTGCCTCAGGCTTGTCATTCATCCACAATCTGTCGTGTGGTGACACACAGATGCGCTGTCACAACAACGACGAGCCTACTGGCGATATCAATAGTACAAATAATCAATCCTCTGACAGTAACGATAAACACTCATTATCTGAGGTGAGTTGTTTGCCTTCGATGTGTATACTTCTCACAAAACTTCATGCAGATCCTCGCCATGAACATTATGGTCCTCAATGCATCCATTGCTTGGGACCCACACACCGCTGAAGAGATTTTGACGCAAGAGATCAATGTAGATGGGAACAATTACGACTTGTACGCCAATCGCTCAGTTGTAAGGGCGCGAAACTCCGAGTGGGACAATGCACTCCAAGACGCAGTCAAGGTCAGATGCTCTGTCTATCATGATGTTGTTGACGACGGATTTATCGCACAGTCAATTGCCATTCAGCCCTCGTTATTGGGCTACAGTTCAAAGGCCATTGCCCTCTGTGGCAATGACCAGCTCTGGGATGCGATGGAAGTTTCGATATGGCTTTTCTATTTTCGAATCGTGATCAAGTTACCGTCGATCTTTTACTATTGATCAAGGTATCCTCAATCATTTTTTTTCATATTCAGTTTTTAAACTAAAAACTTAATATGATTTTGTCCAGGCAGTGGCACTTTTCAATGCTAGTCGCCATGATGAGGCAATGCGGCGAGTTCAAGACCTCGCCGTAACTTATCGACACTCAGATACATTTCTGTGCAGCGTTGTCAACGTGAGCGTTATGGCAAAACAAAACACTCGTCAATTTTTCTAACTTTCGAACGTACTTGCCAGATGTATCTGCATGTGCAGCTTGCAATAGTTGCTTTCGAGGATGGGCGGTACAGTGAAGCCGCCGATCAACTTAATGATAGTATTTCCATCATAAACAGACTTATCCTCTCGCAGAACACTTTTGGAACCTAGATTGATGATATTCACGGTAGTATGTTACTACGAAACTGAATATGATGCTTACAACTGATTCATCGTGGACTGCGCAGCTCTTCGGCTGGGACTTCGATTCCTTGTGGCAAACCATCCACCAAAAACGATGCGATGCGCTCCTCCGTGCAGGTCGAATGGTCGAAGCAGTCGAATCTATTCAACACATGATGAGCATGATTGACGACGCTGCGAAGGAGTGCTGCCTCGAATGGTCTACTGGTAAGTGCATTGGGGTCTCGACGACTTAAACATCGATACCACTGTGTTGGTCATTTAGCCTTCAAGAAAGACTGCACTACGCATTGTATCTTAAAGGGAGATGAGGCTGCTGCTGCGAGCAATTACGACATGGCTATTGAACTGTATTCAGCCGGCATCAAGCTGGATTCCTCGTGCGCTACCCTCTATGCACACGCAGTAGGGCAAGGTTGAGACGAAACCTCTTCACGGAGGCCATTCGGGACGCGGAAATGGTGCGGACAATACCTCTTCGCGAGTAATTATGCTGATACCACTGATGCAAAGCTCATCGAACTCAACCTTTGTCTCATGTTGGTATGAGCCTCAACTATGCAGCGCTTCACGGGGCAACAGCGTTACGATGATGCAATCAATGCCTTTAAAATCATGCTCTCCAAGTTTGGAAGATGCTCCGATGCGCAGATACGCGGTAAAACCCCAAATCGCTCATCTGTGAGTGCGATTGATAACCTTGTTCTGCAGAGCTGCGTCAGCAGTAACGTCAGCCCATTTGAAGTGGAGGACAGCATTCAAAAAGCTATCACGCTCACTTGGAAAATGCCCCGCTTCGCTTAGTCAACACCTTCACTGGGTGTTTATGTGGATCGACAGGCACAGATAAATACCTTCAAGGCGAGCACAGACTACAAGGCGCTTTTGTCTTCATCAATGAAGTATCCACGCCTCCAATAGAGCCCATCAAAGAAGCCGCAATCAAATACTTCCGTTGGGTCATGCTATCGCATAGATGGGAAAACAAGGAGCCGCTGTTGCACGACAATCCAGGACAAAGGTCGTATACGATTTGGGTCCAGTCGGAACCCGTGGTGAAGCTGCAAACGTTCTGCAGAGTTGCTCGCGATGCAGGGTAATCGCTGGGCGTGGAGTGATACGTGTTGCAGCATCGGACCAGAATAACAATGTCGAGCTCCAGCGATCGGTGACTCCATGTTTGTCTGGTACCGCCAGTCAGCTCTTACTATGTTTACCTGTCGGATGTCCCGCCATCGGCGAAGTCTGTGGCACTCGCAAATGCGTTGATCACACGGGGTGGACTGTTCAGAATCCTGGCCCCCACAGTCGTTTCTCTTCTACCAAGCAGATTGGACCCTATATCTCAATGACCACTCTCCTAATCACAAGGAGTCTGGCACTATCATGCAGGAGTTGGAATATTCAACAGGCATAGATACACGGGCCCTCATCGCCTTTCATCCGGGCATGTCGGGTGCGCGAGAGAAGTTTGCAATGGCATCGACGCGTGCCACGACGCTGCAGGAAGACATCGCATATTCACTGTTTGGCATATTCGGCATCCATCTACCTGTAATCTACGGCGAGTCAAAGCAAACGCGCTCGGTAGGCTCTTGCAGGAGATCGTTTGCTCAGTCGGGTGACATTAGTGCCCTGGATTGGGCCGGAAAATCATCCGAATTCAATAGCTGTCTTCCAGCCGATATCACCTCGTACAAAACCTCCGCCATGCACGCTGCCACATCTATCCGAAGATCAGATGCAGATATTAGTCTCGTCGCTGCGAAATTCCGCTGTTGTGGAGTTTGCTTCGACACTGTATGCTCGGCTCGACAACCTGACCGCTCCTCGTTTCGCGAACCGCAGGCTGCATCTGCCTTGCATCGCATTTCCCGTTACAGAACTCAGACGAAGGCGCGGTCAAGATGAGGAGAAATGTTTCACTTATGATGTCAAGGCGGACGGACTTGATGATCTGCTGGTCACCACGGAGGACAAGCTGGTTCAATTCTCGCCTGCACGGTCCACTCAGCAGACATTCTTGCTTGTCCGTCCGTGGAATCGTTATGACCTTGGATCGCCTGACTTTGCAGATGATGCACGGAGCGCGAGTGATTGGTCTGAGTCTGAGTCTCTGTCATACTATTCGTTTGGCGGGTACTCTGATGGAGATAGGCCGGTCCGATTGGATGATATAGAATCTCACTTGCGAGAATTGAGGTTGATCCGTTCGCCTGGGTCAACCTTTTGGCGCACTTTTGCTGGCGCAGCAACGTGGTGGGGAGTACAAGAGGATCGCATCGAATCGCAATATCATTGCGCAAGTCAGTGATTTGGCTGCTGTTCATAACATGATGGACGTCAGGACCCTAGAGATATTGTAACTATAACGCATTTCGAATGACAGAGATTTCTGACATGGTGCTATGATCCGCCCCTTGTCAGGGGCTGCCCCACTCCAGCATGTCAACAGTATTGTTGTTCCGTAACTTTTCTGTTTCAATAGAAGCAACTCGTTGGCAGCCGACGGGCACATTTATGCTCGTTGCAATGGATACCACTATGCTGCACGGGGCCCCACTCGCCTGATGTGGAATTTTGCTGACCGCTAATTGTCGTGAGCTCTTCAAAGTCGGTCAAAGTCGGAGTCCATAGATCTTGCTAACCGAAGACGTGGCTGTGCTGGTGCAACTTTCCTTCCGTCTTGACGATCAACTTTGTATTTCTCTTCTCCATCATACTTTGGATGATCATGCTGAAGTAGGTCACCATGTGACGTTCGCTTCTATCCTCCTTCCAAGTTCACTTTTATTATTTGATCCGATACAGCGCCACTGCCAGCATAATCACAGGTCAAGATACTTGATACTGACTGCTGTGCTGTCACTAACGTTAAACATTTAAAAGACTTTTCTTGGTATAGATTGGGGATGCTGTGATACACAGACAGGCCTAGGCTCCAAGTGCGGCAACACCGTGAAACCTCACTAGGGTACTGTCCTCTTGGATACAAGAATGTTTCGCCATGCCATCATCGGATGGTTCATGACGCCAAGTATGTTCTAATAAATTGCATGTACAATTGTATATCTCTTATCCATGTATACAGGTATGGCTTGGTGCCAACGATGACACGGTGTAAGCCAAAGAAGCGTTGGGAAGTGCGCCTCCATCTGGCATGTACCACTCCTTTCTTGAGGAGCGAAGAATGGGCGGGGAACTTCAATGGCCGATTGGTTCAGCTTTCCTGATTTTTCCTTGACAGGAATCGAAACATGTACTACAGAGCAGGTCGTCGCTATCACTTATTTGTTGCCTATCGTGTCTCTAGTCTAGGTTTCCCTGATCTTCTTCCTTTCCATCCGCTTTTGACGGGGTAAGTAGATAAAAGTAGAAGATTATATACCAACAAAGACGCTTTCCTAATTCGTCGGCTCCTTCCCCTGTTCATTTAGCAAGCAAATTAAATCTTATAATTTCTTCGTCTTCTTCGGGTTTTGATGCTGTACTCTCTCATCTTTTTCCACCAACTACATACTTGTTTATCTTTCCAAACGCTCATTATCCACATTCTTTTGTTACTTTCTTACAATGTCTCTCGTTTTCGTGTCTTCTCGCTCAAGTATCATATCGACCTCGTTTTCTCTGATCTTGCAGGTCATCCCGCCCGCTCTCATGCTGATTCTGCCGCTTGTGTCGGCTGTCTTTCTGGCTCATTCATCTCCTTTTAGTCGAAACAAACTTGTCCCAAATATTCTTTTGGCGTTCAATATTGTCCTACCAGCCATTGCTAGCGGACTTGGCCTCGGAGCATCACTCAACCATGACCTGCTCCTTTATCGCTTCTGGAATGTCTGTTTGGCCTTGCACGCGTGTCTCTGTGAGCATTGAATCGATATTTAAATCCGCTTGGTGCACTAATATTTTATAAGTATCTTTAAGTTCTCTGTACGTATTGTTCGTGGCCACCACGCCAGATTCCCTGGTTCCCCACCGCGCCCTTCGCTTCGTATCGGTTTTGATCACAACATTTCTCGTCTGCGGTGAGTAATTTTTACACATCTCTTTCGTCAAATTCGAATGGCATCATAGCAACAATCACTGGCTCAATTGCAAGCACTCCTGCTTCGCTTTCACCCACATTCTCTCTCATCTCACGAAGTCTTCAACTGCCTCTCGCTATTGGAATCTTCCTTGATATACGCTCCGCTATCGCCGTTGCAGGTCCATTCGCCAATGCATCCGAGAAAGATCGAGCAGGCCTCCGAGAGCTCAGTTCGCCCGACCACCTGTCCGAATAGATCTAGACGGGTCAGTTCACCCACTCCTGACACCTGCCTTTTCCAGGCTCCTTGGCGCATACTCAGCTGACGTCGTCGGTTAAGAGTGTAAAATCCGTTGCAAATCTACCCCCGTCACTCACACTCACACACTCAGGCCAAGAAAATAGTGTGATACCTGAGGGAGCGGCGGCGATCAGCTGGCGTTGCAAGGAGATGCGTCTTCCCGTTACCATGTTAGCGGCGCAGGCAACAGCTGTGGTGTGTGATGCCTTGAAATTTGCTTTAGCAAAGAATTCTCCATTGTGGGCCGCTTTGCAAGCCGGCGACTCAGTGACAACATCGCGATCATCGGAAAACTCTGACGTAACAGTTACCGCTGGACTTGTTATCGCTCACTCCGTCTGTTCGTTGGTCTGGGCGGTGGGAGTGGTCACTAGCCTTTATTGTGAGCGTATTTTGCGCTTTTCATCCACAGCCAGTCCAAGACATCTAACTTATCATTTGTTTTACAGTACTACCGTCTGTCGTCAAGCAGACCTTACCGACTTCTGTCAAGCGTACAGTGGACTCCTCGGTGCCGAAACCTATGGAATTCCCCAATCATCGCACCCCAAAGCACTCGCTTTCGCGGGGCATGTCTTCGGACTCGGCCTCCGATTTTCTCTCCATGAGGGATCCTTTCGCTTCCCCTCCTCCTCCGCCTCCTCCCACCGTTAGCCTTGGACTTGCTGATTTGAATCGTGTGCAATTTTGTGACGTAGCGGCCCAATATCGTTTTCCCGCGCCGAAAGCTAGGAAGACTAAAGGAGGGCGCAAGAGACGAATAGGATTGAGAGTGAGAGCGTTGGAACACCAAGCCTCGGCACAAACTCTACTCCCTTCTCGTCCCCCTCCGGCTTACATCAATGAGGGAGAACGCGGTCTTGGAGATGAGGTCCTATTGGCACAACTTCTTCTGCAGTCTTTGACAGCGAGTACTGAAGCGGAAGCGCAACCCAGCAGCCCAACGAGCGTGGTAGCAACGAGCCATGTGCTGTCTTTTCCTGAGCCTACTGCGCAGATCGAGAGGATGGGATCGAGGTGGAGTGCTAGCACAGCGGCTCTATCGGTATCGACAGGCACTGTTTGGAGCGAAAAGAAATCACGGGCTTCCACTAGCACTTCTGCCTCCGCACGTGCAAGTGGGAGGAAGAGTTCGGAGGCGAGGAAATCATCCGCTACAGGGTTCTCGGCTTCCTCCGTCCCATCGACCTGACAAAGACCGCATATGTTCACGCCCACTACTTCCTTGTCGGCTTCTCGTCGTCCCTTACGGTTCTTAACTCCTTTTGTGTTGACTCGACGCCCATCCAACCTTCCGCGTTTACCAGCTACGCGGTCGTCACTGTCCTTACTCGTCGTCATTGTATTTTGACCGTCTACACACTCTGATGAGTTCCCGTCATCGTCATCGTCATCGCACTCGATTCTTTATTGGACTTTTGCATGGTATCACCTCAATTTCATCGCACCCCGTGTTGTACTCTACATCTTTCATTTCCCCTTATACTGCTATTTTACTGTATGTATCACTGTACCTTTTCACGGTAGTGTGGTCGAGTCCCCCGCATGTTTTTACTTTGTTGTTGGGTATGTTTAAATTTTTCGTATTTTAATGCACGGTTTTTTTCGCGTATTGTTACAGGTTTTTTCGGGATGTAGCTGTACATTGGGTAGCATGTACAGTTGTACTGAGAAAGTCGAATCGCAGATCTCAGCTACTTGATTTGTATTATGGTTTGTTTCCGTTGGCTCGCCGACTCGCCGAGGGCCTGATCATGGTAAATTACCCGGTCAACTTAAACAGACTTCATCATATGACATCAGTGCTCACCGGTACACTAGTTGTAACCCAGGAGATATTCGGGCATCGGCATCCGCGTTACATTTGTTCCGAGCCCGTGATGGCATGAGTTCTGCAATGATTTGATAGCAAAGCGAATAGCTGATATATGAGACTAGCGAGAGTTCCTTCTATAAAAAGGTAAAAGAAAATGTTGTTCGGTCCGGTCCCCGGAGGCTTGATTTTGAATTGATTCTGCGGTCACCCATAAACGTAAACAAACAAACAAACAAACAAACGTCTCACCTGCTCGGAGAAATATCATAGGAGTGAACGTCGCTTTACAGAATTCGACCTGGATTGGCTTGCGTTAACTGAACGTGCGACACTGGGGTTTAGATGGCTGGGCAAACACTCCTTCAGGCTTCAGGCCATTTATTAGCTTTAAACGTGTGCCGTCACTGCCGTGAGTTATCGTTATCATGTAGAACGTGTTTCAACATTACTTCATAGACTCGGGCATGCAAGGCTAGGCTATGCTGTGCGGATGAGCGCTCGATTTTCACGTAGACACGCACGCAGGTACGTCTGAACCTGAACACTCACGAATGCAGTACGGGCAAAGTACGGACCCGTATAAGCCCGTACAGTGAGTTTTCTGCCAGCAAAACCAAGGGATGGTTTATCTGTCAATGATGCCATGTCGTGGATGTGAACTTTGTACTTTCTTGAGGGGATTTGGATCATTTGCTTCGGAATATCAGGTTGAATAGCCTTGGTGGCAAGCTATACTTGGGTTATTCGACTAAAAGCCGCAATGTCAATAGCTGTACATGATGTGGAGTAGGTTGGGTTGAAAGGGGCTTTGTTGGTGGGGGGTTTCCCATGCGGTGGCAGATTTTTGGAAATAAGATGGGCTGAACAGGCCGTTATCATGATGAAATGCTATAGTGGTGCGTTACGATGATGAGCGTGGCAGAATCGCTATTGAGGCAAACAAGTTGCGCCTCCTTTTATATCACGATGGTCTTGCAAGTCGAAGCACGCGGAGACCTAATATCTATATATATCAGACACCTTTTGCTGAAGGTGAGGTTGTTTACGGTGTGTCTTGGCAGCAGTATGTATGCATTCGCTAGCTTGTGTCAATGGGCCACACAACCGAACCCCTATTAGGATAGTAAGATGAGTTTACAGTATAATTTTCCCCGTGTTGTCATTAATAAAATAGCTTGATGGCCGCGGCCAGCGGCCGCCATCTGACTTCGAATCGAGCCTCGTATGACGTAGCCGGTAAGATATAATTGATGCAGCAAACTGTAAGACGCCTGACTAGTACTGAAGCTTTGAAGTACTAGGTGTAAAAGATGGTGCGCCGAATCAGAAGGGAATAATAGTGACGGGCGGGTATAAAGAAAGACTGTTCGAGCGAGTGAGAAGTGCAAGAACTCGACGTTGTGGCGGAGATGAAGGAATTTAAAGCGAATAGCGCTCAGCTGACTGGCCCGGGTACCGGGACATTCCGGTAGGCTGCATCACTTGGTACTGGACACCACTTATTCGGATGATGATTCTACTCGAACTCGGTCTAAATTCGGTCAGCTAAGAAAAGACGAGTGTCACCCCGCGCACCATCTCGACTTTGTTTGAACTATTGTCAATAGTGATGCTAGTTTGATCTTGGAGGTTGGAGGTTGGGTCTCCTTTACTAATACCCACGAGCGTTGCTTCGCTGGAAGATACAAATCAAGCGTAATAAAAGCGTAATAAGCTTTCGATAATATTTTGAACCCCGACATGCTTCTGGCGTGTATGCTTTGGCCACCTATGTAATAGCCTACCAACGTTCTTTCTTTCTTTCTCTCTCTCTTCTTGAAGGCCTTCATTCTTTGTCGTCGTAGCTACGACGCTGCCGCTCATTTGGCCTCACTACTCTCTTCACGGCGGGCGCAGTAGGCTGCCACCATGCTCTACTTGACGTCGGATGCCTTTCCAGTCTGTAGGTGTCCTTGATGTACAGTACTTCGCCTCTTCATGCTAACCTTATTTTACAGTCGTGCCATTCGGAGTCATCGGGTGTGTTCTCTTTTTTTTTCCATTTCTCGAAGCAAGCTGACGATTTTCTAGCTTCTACCGCTACCTGTGGTACATAATCCGTATCATTGCTTCTATCACCTACCGTCCCGTTCCCCTCCCCGAAAACCCCACTTACGTGGCCTCGGAAGATGTCACTATCATTGTACCTACCATCGATGCCGGTGAAGAATTCAAGCAAGCAGCCAACAGTTGGCTCGCTGGAAAACCCAAAGAAATCATCATCATCACTGAAGAGAAAATGCTCATTCCTCTCCAAGAACTTGCCAACGCTGTTGACCCAGACCGTATTCGCGTCCTTACCGTCCCTTTCGCGAATAAGCGGTTGCAGATGGCACACGGTATTAAGAATACCACGACAGACATTATTGTCTTTGCAGATGACGATGCCATTTGGCCACCGACGCTTTTGCCATATGTGCTTGCATGCTTTGAAGACCAGAGGGTTGGAGGCGTAGGCACGAGTCAACGCGTCCAACCCGTAGGCAACAGCATGACAGTCTGGGAAGTCCTTGCGGCATTCCGTCTGACGATCCGTAACATCGAAATTAGCTCCAGCACTCATATCGATGGTGGTCTTCCATGTCTCTCGGGCCGTACAGCTGCCTACCGAACAGTCATCCTCAAAGACCCCGAGTTCCTACACGGTTTCACGCACGACTACTGGTTAGGCAAGTACCAGCTCAACTCGGGCGATGACAAATTCTTGACGAGGTGGATGGTGAGCCATGGATGGAGTACCTATGTTCAGTGCTGCAAAGAGGCAGAATTATTGAGTACGATGAAGCCAAATTGGAGGTTCTTGAAACAGGTGTTGCGATGGACCCGAAATACCTGGAGAAGTGATCTCCGGTCATTATTCATGGAACGACATATTTGGACCACACATCCATATGTCGCTTATACTATGGTGAGTTGACGCCGGTGATGTCATCCTGTCAGCCTTAATTTATTTTTATCTCGTTCACAGGTCGACAAGCTCTTTAACCCCTTCACGCTCCTAGTAGGACCCTGCCTCGTAGGGTATCTCGTCTGGAAAAGTACCATAACGGTTGCAGATGGAGGATACCATCTGCCTTGGTGGAACATTATCCTCTCATACTTCGTCTGGCTTCTCGCAACCCGTACCGCTAAGCTCCTCCCACATCTCTGGCATACGCCTAGTCACATCATCTACGTCCCGGCGTTCATCCTCTTTGGGTATTATTTCGCAATTATGAAGCTCTATGCCCTTTTCACGCTCCATGAAACTGCATGGGGAACTCGTGCAGGCATTGGCGACCCGACCCAGGCGACAGCTGCCACGGACGCTGGCGGCATCGGTGTTAACATAGTACAAGAAAAGGTCTATTTTGATGCGCCTAATTCGCCGACGCCTTATTCAGGCCGTCAGTTACCGTACCAACAACCAGCAGCAGAGATGCAAACTGCTTATACCCCGCAAGCAGCATACGGTGGGCAGTCCGCGTATGCATAGTTATGAATGTGATGAGATCATGACGCATGGACACTTGCAGCACAGACACTTTCATACAATCATACCGGCTCGGCCACTGTAGAGCGGAACATTATGGTAGATCCTCCTCGAGTAGTGAACCTCATTCCATCCCACCCTCGTATCTTATTCCCCGCAATCGATAATATGACCAATGTATATCATCGGCTGCGACCCTCGTACATACCACTCACATAACCTTGCTTTCATTATTCTACGGGATTTCCTTACTCTATTTTGGACTGGCTGGTGATATACAATAATACCCACAGAGCGCTCTTTTGCATCGCAGATAGATACGCCATCCACTGCATACACGCATTGATTTTCTGATGCCGGTAGTTTGTGTTGACAGACTTTCGTGCTGGGCCCATCGATGTTATCGTTAACAATATTCTCGCCGCTCGGACATCTAGGTCCCCTGTGTGTACAATTATAGTCCGATGCCTTAGACGCTACATATCATAAGATATGTGAGTTAAGGACAATTCGCAGTGTAAATCTGTGGATTCCTCTGCTCAGTGGCCCGGACAAGGCACCGGAGGGAGGTACAATAGAATGTTCTGTCCCTGCATCCTGAAGATATGCTACCTAATCTCCAAAATTTTTGTATTAGTCTGCACGGTGTTTTCCGGGTTACCATACTGCAACGTCTCGCTATCCGTATGGTTGACATAGATCGTGCAATCCGGAACCTGAAGGAACAGACCAACACGTGTCAGGAGTTGACAGCTAGCCGACCTACGTCATGCATGAACGACTTGAAGCCCCAGAAAAGGTCCCCGCTTACGATAGGGCTTGCTTCGATCGAACTGAGGAACTCCGGAAGTGATGAAGCGAAAGCCACGGCGCTGCTTCCGGTCCGATCGTGTTCTCCAGCGATGTACGCTTTGTTCATGGATTGGACGAGGCTGATGTCGCTTTGGAGCTTCGCGATGTCAGGTGAGTGGAGATGATCGGACAAAATCTCGACAGTGGGGATGGAGAGGTGTGTTGCATTAACGCGGGTACCATCAATGACAAGTTTGATGGGGGCAAGCTCCTTGACATACGACTGTACATCCACCAGCGCAAGGGCCAAAGCCACCTAACAAAGAAACGGACATACCGCAATCTGTTCTGTCCATTCATTCGGGACCCACATGTCTCCAAAAATAGGTCCACCGAGCTCGTCACCGGTCCTCATACGCAAAGATCGTGGGATCCTCGGCGTGTCGGGGACGCCCATACACAGCAGTAGTTCGATATGTACTTCCGCCAGGAATAACTTTAGGATTGGGCCTTGCTGGCGATCTGCAATGCCATATATTCCATTACTAGACGACTCGGGTCTGTCCTGGACTCCTGGCATCTCTACTGTCCACCCACACGCGTCAAGAGGTCCGCCGAAGTGCAGCTGCCCTGCCCCGCTTACAATAAATGAAAACATGCGACGCTTGTCGCAGTACTAGGTCGGTGGCGGAGTATGATCGGTGATTGATATCGGCCACGACAAATTTGCTCGATGATACGATACAAAATGATGAACTCTACGTACTAGAATTGATAGTACGAACGCGGAGTCCATGCACTGTAAATGCGATGAGATGTGCATATCAGCACTAGCCAAGATCTGTACGCACCTACGCAGATGCACATCTATCAGATGAGTCCAGGTGCTATCAATAATGAGAGTTTAAAGTTGGAGTGATCATGACTTATAACACCTTGTAAATAGGTCCGAAAGGCATCAAACAGGTACTGTTGAAACGCGGGCTCTGGGACTTCAGCACAAGCTTTGGATGGAGTTTGTGTCGACTTGTGAATATGACCGACTGGACGGTGGCTTCTAGTAAGTGTCAAAAGAATTACATAAAAACTACAGGTGTGGTAGAGAAACTCATCTGGGTAGCTATGGAATACATAAAATCATGATCAGCTCAACTAGTCAGAACTTGAGCCTTCACTTCCGGATACTAATACTGACTCCTGGGGTGTTGAAGAATCCCCAGAATCGGTGCCGGGAGCCTCAGTGCTGCCGCCACCAAGGAACAACAGGTTGCTTTGAGTACATCTGTTCCCTCTGTTCCCTCTGTCCCCTATTACCACCCCTGCATCGTCAAGCTCATTTCGGAGGAAGCCAATTTACAAATCGGTCGCTGTCAACTCTTGTTTGGTTATCTCAAGTTCATCATCATTGATGGACTTGATTAGTTCGAGTTCCAGGGAGCGGAGGCGTTGCAATCGGGCTTTCGCAGCGATGACCCGACGGGTGACCCGGGAGAGCTCGAGCTTGCGTTCAGTCAAGTAATTCGAGACTTCAGAAGAGCGAGTGCAATTCAACTATGAAAATATGGGATTTGAACTCTTCAGGGTATTATTCATAAAATGCTATCACGTACTGATGTTTTTAACACCTTTCTTTTATTCGTGGGGGAAGAAGGGACTCTTTGAGCATCAAGTTCATGGTCGTGGTCACCTGGAAATAAGTCATACTGCGCGTGCTTGCGTTTATTATTTTGATGACCAAGACCATCCATCATCATGGTAGTACCCTTAGGTTTGTAGACAGTAGTACTTGGGTTCAAACGGAGAGAGCTACTTTTAAATACGAGAGAACTGATCAATGCTACGGGCTGCTACAGTCACTTTTGCCGGGCGGCCCCGAGATCAAGGAAACGTAATTCACTACAGAGTGCTACAGAGCGCTCTGCTGTAGTTATTTGCGTTTCAGAGCACTCTGTAGCACTCTGTAGTGAATTACGTTTTCCTGATTAAGTTGCTCGGCTGTGAATTCCGGGTTCCCTGATGTGCACGAGGCTCAACTTCAAGAATGTCGGAGTGTAGTACAAAACTTCGAACGGGCATGTTAAACCTCCACTATCGTCACCGGACTGTTTTCCTTCCCCGATACCCACTTTACTTTAGTGAGCACTGGGGAGTCTCAGGCCCCTAGGATTCTGTAGAATTTAAATGTCATGCTGTCTGTATTTTTTCTTGTGGAAAAGTTACTTCCCTTGATAGGTCCCGGGTGTCGCCTTCGACGCTATCATCCTTGTTGGTTTGAGTGCAAAAGTACGAGTGCGTTCTACTCCGTCATACTTTCCCCGGTCCGTTGATACTCGATTACAAGAGCGCGTATTCATTTCAATTCGGAACACTCGACATAAACCAACTGCTTCAAATGACACTCGTGAGTTCTCCTTTCTCAGTACATTCTGCGATTCCCTCGACTCACGAAGATCAGCTGCCATATTGGACCTCAAGTTATACTAGGATTCGTGTCACATTTCAACTGCTCCGCTGTGTGTACGACATCGCCAGTATGCAAATCGTCGAAGGCAATAACTAGTGTCGGCAGATAAGCGGCTTGTCCTGGTTCCTTAGGCTAGTGGATACATCTCGAGTAACCGACCCAACGGCCAAGGCTTGAGGCCGAGTAGCCACCGACACTCATTGACTCGGAAGTGATATGCGTGGCAAGTTTGACAACTCGAGCTACCAAGATCTGTGATGTAGACATTTTTTGACCGAAACAACACCATCTTATAATTAAACACGAGTCAGCCGCTGGAGACTAACGTCTCATGCAGTCAGTTGTCACATCAGATAACTTGAATGGGGAGAACGCCTGCAACAATGCAGCATTGGCTCCTTGAAAGAGAATAATATGATTTGGCTCTTCGCCTACATTTATCGGCATTCCTGTGTGTGCATTCAAATCAGCGAATGGAAGTTGGTTGATAGCTTCATCATATAACGCATGAATTGCCGTTGTCGTCACTACTCTAGTTTCTCGAACCTAAACTTCACCTTCATCGCATTTGAAAACACCTGGAACACTTCCAACTGTCTGTGTGATGTTGATCACCACAGACTTCACACGGCTTCAGTAAGCCACATCGCAAGGCGACACATCACATCTACGAACCTCGGTTTTGCGGCTACGCCCACCAGATGGACTTCTCGGAGTGTTCATGTTTAAATTTGTCTTCGGCATGCTTCGGAGGATTAATCTGCGGTTTAGCCTACAACCACGTGAGTGCGTCACCAAATCAGTCAAGAAAGCTCACGATGCAAGTAACGAGTTCGCATTCACTGAGATCCAAAGGCTAGATAAGTGTTTCGAATATGTGCATTTTGCGGACACAGACCAGTAGCAAGGTTTGCATATATCGAAACCCATATGTCTGGAAAATGTTCACTTTGCGACGAAGGAGAGATATCCCGATTCACTCACAATTCTGCTTCATTGCCAGGAACTACTCTTTCACAATCAGTCCAGTACTGTACATCTGGGAAAGAATCTCTTACGAAGCTCATGATAAAGACTACAACCAGGCTTAACATAACATCAGCCCCAACATGCCAGGATGGTCTTGCCACATACCTAGTAATAAGGCCAGTTTCTGCGAAGTGATTGAAAGGGTGAGCCGTATCTGCCAGAAAGTGCACAGTGCTCACCGAGAGTCCACAGAACCAAACGGTCAATTATCGTCGTCATCCTGTAAATCATTACGACGGAACGAATTGGAAGTAATGTAACGTGCCTTAAAAATGTCGATGACCGTTGCTTCCTCAGGTACCACACCATGGACAGAGTAAGTGTCAACTCACAAACCAGACGCGAGGTGAGCGAAAGCGTGATCAGTCTGTTTTCATCAATTTCGAATGTCACAAGGTTTGTCATGGCGAAAGCTTTCACTGTCATCACGAGCGCAATAGACTGAGCCAATAAACAGAGTGCCAGCGAGACAAGGGGCAGAGTAAGTGTTTTCGAAAGCTTCCACAACCGAAACACGAAGGATGACTACATACATGCTGGTCAGAATCTCCATCAAATTCGATGAATGATCTTACCTCTACCAGTGCCCCTGTAATTGCAGTGAAGAGGATAACTGCGTCTGCTCCCTGTGGGAAGACCGACAGCGTCAGAGGGTTGCCGTAGCCACTGACAGCAGCTTTCCACAGTGTCGCTGATACACAAATCACGTGTGCAATCTGCGATGCGCTGTACAGTTTGATTAGCTCGGGTAGAGCAGGGAGAAAGGCTACATAAGTCACTTACAGCGTGGCTGCTACCTGGAAACATGGTGTTCGGTCAGCGACCCGTGTTATAAATCACATACTAGGATCACTGACCGTGAGTTTCATCACTCGATGATCGTCGGGGAAATTTGCATAATAGATATAAATCTGAACGACGAGACCGCTGAAGAGGCAGGCATTAATGAGGGCACCCAGCACCACTGGCCCAATCATGATGTATGCATTGAATGGAGGGAGTACGTTCTGTGGGGCGGTTGGGGTGGTGGGATTGGTGACATTCATGATGTAGTGTGTTAACTTGGTCCACTTTGCAAGTCATATTAAATGACCTGTCCACCGCCGCCACAGCTGATGCAGGCTGTCCAGTTAAAACCCATGCCTTCCATCACAAGGGAATTGGCATAAATCCCGTACAAGAATCAACCTTGATATGGTCCGTCATGTTGCTGTCTGGCTCTCATGGTCATCATTTCAGGTACAATCCATATTTCGACACCCACTTGAATCGTTGTACACTGGCCGACAAATACATTCGGTCGGCACGTTCATCTCGTGTGTTCATAGACTGACATTGAGACTCTGAACATGTCAGATGGCGGCATGATCACTTGGACGATAATGAATGAACTTTGGGTCGTGGTTTAAATTTAGCATATACTGGCAGTTCCCCCCTACACCGCCAAGTGTCGCTTTGGCCCGAACCGAGGTAGTGCGAAAGTTATAGAATTATAAAAACACATAGCAATGTACAGGGTATGTAGCCTTGCCACATAAATTAAAATTTAACCTACATAGGGTACATATGCGGTATCTAATCTTCCTTTACACAAGTCTAATTGGTTGATACTTTTGAGTCGTTTGGCACGCGCCCTGGGCGCTTGGCATGCTAAGCAATCTCTGTTCTAAGCGGAGATTCTTTTCGTCACCTAGCACAGATGGGCACGTAGTATTTTCACAGAAATCGTTGTATTTCATAGAACAAAGCTCCAGAACGGTAATGCTTGTCCATTCACGAGGTGATACAGGGCCGAATTTTGGAATAAGATATACACTCCTGTGAATATGATGCTTGCCAGATGCTCTCCATTATATAATTACGAATGAGGCGGGAAATTTTATACAAACCATGGTTTGCTTCGGGTTGCCCGAATGGCGTGAACCATTCCACTGTCACATAAGCAAAGTGGGTAGGTAAAATTTCAGGTGTGCGAAATAAGGCAGCTGTAGCTTGACTTGTCAGCGTCTTGTGGACAGGTGCCGCCTTCGACGCTATCATCCTTTTTGGTTTGAGTGCAAAAGTACGAGTGCGTTCTGCTCCGTCATACTTTCCCCGGTCCGTCACTTGATACTCGATTACAAGAACGCGTATTCATTTCAATTCGGAACACTCGACATAAACCAACTACTTCAAATGACACTCGTGAGTTCTCCTTTCTCAGTACATTCTGCGATTCCTTCGACTCACAAAGATCAGCTGCCATCTTGGACCTCTTATACTAGTATTCGTGTCACATTTCAACTGCTCCGCTGTATGTACGACATCACCAGTATGCCAATCGTCAAAGGCAATAACTAGTGTCAGTACACGTCTCACCATCCTTTGACAGTTTAATCCGCGTTCTCCACCTTGACGCAACAACTGCGTTGCTGCCACCTCTCGCCATGCCGAAGGGTCTGGAATGCAGAACACGATGGATTGTCTCTTTTCTCCCGCTGATCCTTTGCACGTGAGTATCTTTCTCGGCAGTCGTCGAACACTATCTCCTCAGTATATAATTACATGTTAACGTCCTTAATTGCCGTTGCGCAGAAACTCCTGCACAAGCTGTCCAGCACCTGAGGCCTGAGATATAAGGTACGGCACCTGCCTCGCCTCCGCCGCTAAATACTCTGCCATTTCGACGGTATCCGCAAATACTAACTGCCCCTTGATCCACGATCCATCTACCGTTTCATCCGTTTGTTGTTGACGGCATGTTGCCGCCACGGTGCACTGCTTATTTGTTTCTGATACCAATGTGTTACTGCCTGATGCCACGCCTTCAACATGGCTGACTACCCTTCAAGTTTCATCCATGACTGGTCTTCTCTATCACCTGGGGCTCATTAATGGTTACAGCTTTGTATCTTATACGATTATGTAGCTTGCAGTTAGGAATGTCTATCCTGAATCTGAATGTTCATTCATATTGATTGGTGCAAATTTGGTTGGATAACATGATGAAAATTGACACGGATCCTATACCAATGCGTCAGGGACTGGCGTGGCCGAGCGCCTTTACGATCTCCATTAAAGGTCTGACCAAGTGAGACTAGATCTTGGCAAGTTTCAGCTTAATTCTTAAATTAATGTACACTTCATGGTCCGGATAATGTCTAAGAAATACAGCAATTTTACGATGTTGGATATCTTATGGGTAGAGTAAGCGTGAAAGGGGAATGTCGAAATTGTGCTACGTTGGAGAGAAGGTGCAAATTGTAGTGCGCAATCTCAGTCCCAAGGAAGAATGATTGGCATCTAGTACTCAAACCCCTCTACCGCAATATTCCACTTCCAACGCCCTTCCGCAAAACCATTTGAAGTGTCCTCCAATAATATCTCGTTGCGTTTCGCGACATAGACCTGAGGACCGGATAAGGATGAGGATATAATAGCAACATGTAGAGCAACAGCGCACCGTCTTATCAGTCACCTTCTGCCGCAAAGTCGAGATTGCTTCTGGATCAATTGGTGATTCAAGCAGCTCCGATAAGTCCTCAACCGCTTTTTCCAAATCCCTACGGGAAAACGATTAGACAGATCCGTGGAATATGATAGAGCAAGGGAGAAACTCAGATCGAATGTCTTACCTCTGGTTATCCTCGAACAGTTCTTTCTCATTTCCCTTGTCCAGATAAAACGCCATTGCGTATGTCCATTTTAGCGTTGCGCGGCATCGTTCTGCCTCTTCTACAGCGCGTTTCATGAATTGCACCTCAATCCAAGTGAGCGAGGACGTTATCTGCATCTCCTCCATCTTCTTCTCGGTCTTGTTGTACATCTCGACAGATAGTTTTGCGGACTGCTCGTGGTTCGCCCACCGGTTGTAGTAGTGGAGGTAGCGCTCTAGGGAAGCACGGGACCTGGATTGCGCGTCACGGGCGTCCACACCGGCCTTCTCATCATAGCGATTGCACGAGTACCACGCTGTCCCGTGTTCAGACCAGGGGCCTGTGTAGAACAGGATGTCAGGATTAAACGAGGCGGATGTATAAGACACAAACCCATGCACACCCAGCAGAATTCATACTTGCATTTCTTGCAAGTCATGTGGCTGACAAAACAGTCAGCGTAATCTCATATTCCCCGAAATGAGACACGCACTTGCAGCCACCATTTTTCTCTATAGTACTCTGACACTTACTACACTCCTTTGTGTTACTCTTGATCCAGTTTGCAGTTTCGCTGTCATCCCTACACTTTTTCAACCACATCTTGGCGACGGGACAAATGACTGGGCGATGGTCACTGTCGATAGAGCACCCAAAGCAGAACTTGTGATTTGCACCGCAACTGACGGTTGGCACCATAGTTGTGAGAGATGAACGGGAGGAAGCAGAAGGGCACGAGACAGTGTAAGTGCACGATGGGTAAGGACAATATTTCAGGTGCGAGTTGGCACCAACAAACTGCCGGACGAGCAATTCTTGGAATCGCTCCCGAGTCCGCCCATCTTCATCCTGACCATGATTTGCTAAAGTAGATATAATGAAGGGGTCAGGTGCGACAAGTGAACAGCCTTCAGCCATGCAACGGATAGAATGCTCGCCCTCCTCGCGAATCTTGGAGGTTATATATGCCGCCCAGCAGCCTGCACAGAAGGAATGGTCGCACGATAGTGAGAGGAATGATGTCTGAAAGTCGTCGAAACAAATGGGGCAAACCCAAGGTTCGGCTTTGGGGACTAGGCACGCGAGGTAAAGTGAGTTAGACGCATCAGTTACGAGTGACGTACCTGGTGTCAGCCGAGTTGTTCTGCGGCGGCTGCCTGATGAACGGATTGGTGCAGGACCAGTTACAGAGGGAGAGGCGCGGGAAGGGGTTGATATACCAGCTGCGACAGAAACGGAGGATGCATTGTCCATGTACTTCTCGATGAGGCGCTCCTTATTCCAATTCATGTTACGCAGCAATAAGGAAGCTGTACTGTCCTATACATCACGAAGAAGAATTGCAGAACAGAACCATCAGTATGAAATCAAACTCGAGACATTCATACGGACATCGACGCCGAATATACTTGATATGTGGTCCACATCAGCAGTCGACAGCTTCTCTACCGCTTGCTGGGAAAGTGACTCATGTTCGATTTCATACGCTTTTCGAGGTGAATGTTGAGGGACTTTAAAGTCGTCCGCGAACTCCATGTCCATGTCATCATCACTGGGTGCTGAACCTGCGATGTTGTCGGCAATCGAATAAGCTACAACAAGAAGGGTAACACACCATCATCACCTGTGCTGATCATGTCCTCATCATCATCGTAGAAAGCGTCCTCGTCGTCTGAGTAATCGTAGTCGGAAGACATTATCGTTGTTGTGGGCGATGTCGAAGGTGTCGTCTGCGGCGTGGGCCGGTCTGCATCGATTAGCATACCCTGTAAGCATTACCAAAGCGGATAATCTTATTATGTAACCAGTCACATGACTAGTCGGCATTGCGGCATTGCCAATTTGCTAAGTCATTTTGAAGTTCCGCTTAGGCAGAGTCACGTGACGCTTGACTCGTTTCAAGAATCGACATGATCCAAAAATGTTATATGCAAAGATTAAAATTCCTTGATTCTCTGCGTCAGATACCATCAAGATATCCAGTCAGACCAATAAAACCTCCCATTATCTTGTTTAGAACCATGGCGTCAGAAAGTCCCGCAGGAACACACAAGGATCCCGTCACGGGAGAGATGATTTCCAAGACGTGCGTATCGAGTTACTTATGATCATGATCATATCTGCGTGCTCACAGATTGCACAGTGAACTGAAGCGTCGCGAGAAGCAGCGTGAAAGGGATGCGAAGAAAGCCGAGAAAGCCGCTGCCGCACCACCCCAAGCTGCATCTAAGCCTGCAGCCGCAAATGAGGATGACCTGAACCCAAATGTGAGTCATCTCTGCTAGCAATCGAACACTGATCCTGACATAATGCAGCAATATTTTGAGCTGCGTGCTCGTACGATCCAGAAGCTCAAGGAGACTCAGTCTCCCAATCCCTACCCGCATAAGTTTAACGTCAGCCAGAGTATAACCTCGTTTGTTGAAGAGTACAGCAAGGAAGGCTTGATTCCCGCTGGTCAGAAGCTCGACAACGTAATTATCGCTCTATCTGGTCGTGTGCACAATATCCGGAGCAGCGGCAACAAGCTCAAGTTTTACGACCTACACGGTGAAGGCTCGCAAGTGCAAATTCTCGCAAATGGTCCGGTGAGACCCGTCTCAAACATTGACGGCTTACATGTATTGAATCGTGTACAGTGATGCGGATGACGCGGATGAATTCATGTCTACACAAGCACTCTTCCGGCGCGGAGACATCGTCGGTGTCACTGGCCACCCCTCGCGCAGTCAGAAGGGTGAGCTCAGCATCTCCCCCTCGTCCATGGTTCTCCTCGCACCCAATCTGCACCAACTCCCATCTGCCCACTTTGGTCTTAAAGACCAGGAGACCCGGTACCGTAAGCGTTACCTCGATCTCATCATGTCTCCCAGTACACGCAACATCTTCATCACACGCGCACGCGTGATCAATTACCTCCGCCGCTACCTCGATAACCTCGGTTTCCTCGAGGTTGAGACACCCATGACGAGCATGGTTGCAGGTGGTGCCACCGCACGTCCATTTGTAACACATCATAATGATCTGGATTTGGACTTGTACCTCCGTGTTGCACCTGAGCTGTACCTGAAGCAGCTTACTGTTGGTGGACTCGACCGCGTGTACGAGATTGGACGTGTCTTCCGGAATGAAGGCATTGATTTGACACATAACCCTGAGTTCACTCTCTGCGAGTTTTACATGGCCTATGCGGACATGTATGACCTGATGGAACTCACGGAGAACCTTCTCGAGGGTATGGTCAAGTACCTGAACGGCGGCAGCACGATTGTGACGTATCACCCCGAGGGTAAGGACGGCAAGGAGCTCGTGCTGGACTTCAAGACGCCGTGGAAGAGGTATGACATGATCGAGACGCTCGAGGAGAAGACAGGAGTCAAGTTCCCCCCTGGTGACACGCTGCACACGGCGGAGACTAACAAGTTCTTGCGAGACTTGTGTGTCAAGGTCAGTGATTTTATCTCGACCTTTGAGGAACGTCGCTGATGTGTCACAGCACAACGTTGAATGCAGTGAGCCCCGGACTAACGCCCGACTCCTTGATAAGGTCTGTATTCTTCAGTTTCTTTTGACGCCGTCATTAACTCGTGTATAGCTTGTTGGCGATTTCATCGAGCCCCTGTGTATCTCTCCTGCATTCATCAGTATGTCTTATGTCATCGCTTCTCCCCTGTGCTGACCACACTTCCATCTATGCAGCTGGCCACCCTCAAGTCATGTCACCCCTCGCCAAGAACCACCGCTCACGTCCCGGTCTGTGCGAGCGTTTCGAAGGCTTCATGTGTGGGAAGGAGTTTTGCAATGCGTACACCGAGTTGAACGATCCATTTGAGCAGCGGTTGCGCTTCGAGGAGCAGGTAAGACACGACCCGTTACTTTCTTTACTGCTCACATTTGTTCATCATGCAACTTCAGTCGCGCCAAAAGGAGCAAGGTGATGACGAAGCACAAGGTGTAGACGAAGTATTTGTTGATGCGTATGTTCTACTCCTGGCCCATTCATTGCTCTTCCTAAACCCATCACATACAGGCTTGAGCATGGTCTGCCACCAACCGCAGGCTGGGGCATGGGTATTGACCGGCTCATCATGTTCCTTACCGACTCCCCTAGTACGTATCGTCCGGTCTAATGTTGCACAGGTGCTGACGGTCGTGTGCAGATATCAAGGAAGTGCTTTTGTTCCCTGCCATGAAGCCTATTGAGACAGCAGGTAATACAAGCGGAAAGGAGCCTGGCCCTGCCGGGCAGTTGTGACGGTAGAGTCCTTTGAGGTGATCTAAAAGTAGGAGATATCGTGATGGATACAATAGATAGTTGTGTTTTGCTTCAACTTTTTGGCAAAGTAATGTTTCCAAGTCAATTACTTCCCAAGTCACGCTACTTTAAGACCATCATCGCTCGGGTCGTTCAGGGATGTTATGCAGGAAAGTAATGATTTTCGGGTGTGCTGTAAGGTGACGCACAAACTACTTACTATGTAAATACTAAATAAGTAGACGCAGCTCTATGGTAGTTTTTGTAAGATCATCACTTAATGTTTCTCTTCCTAACATGCCATGAGTACATGTCCAAGACTAGGACAAGGAAACTTACAGCAGCTTCCTGGCTAGCTTCGCTCGCCTCAGTATTTGCTGGAGACTCAATTTGAGCAACTTCTAGTGCAACCTCTTGTTTCTCCTCCTCGGATGGCGTTGAATCAGCCTCTGAGGGAGCAGAATCTGCACTCTCCTGGGAAACAGTTTCGCTCGATTCTTCAGAAGTCTCCTCTCCTTTAGCGACAGCTTCCTCATGCTCCTGAGCGTCCTTAGGAGAATCCGAATCCTTCATATCATATATAAAAACATGACCGAGTCGGTAAGAAAACAAACGCACGAATGCCTGCTCCATCGACTGCTTGATCTCCTCACCAGACACCTCAGTACCCTCATCATCTTTCATTGCGGGAGTCTCTGCAGCAGGGTGCGGTTCGACATGCTATGCAAAGCACCGTGAACACAGGTTACTCCCGTTAAAAACTGCAGCATTACAATACGAATTTCATGTGCTTACATGACTGGCGTCCTGTGCAGCACTCGTGAGTTATTTACTGAACATAACAAAAGATGGACATACACTCTGGTGTGCGCTGTGACCGTGGTCCGCCTCATGGGCATGGCTGGTCTTGCGCGCAGATGGTGACAAGAGATAGAGCATCTAAAACCATCTCTGAGCCTTGCTTTCGATGCAAAAAAGACGCGTCTGAAAACCCACCGCTGGACCAAATAGCAAAGCCGAGCCAATCTAAATATTTCGATCCAAAAAATCATTCATTTAACTCAAATTAGCGGGTGCATTGCAGGGGCACGCACCATCCATGGCGTATCACTCCCGTAGTTGCCATGCGATGCATGCGAGGCAGTCGAGGCCATAGTACGTCTGCTATACGCCGCAAACGATGAGCGTACGCTGTAGTTCACTCTCATTCCGTAACGGAGGAAGGAGAAAGCACTCTGGACAGGACGAGACATTCTAGTGAGGCAAACCGTAGCTATACGGTGACGTCGAGGGTCAGAACTCTATGTAGTACCAAGTTGTGCAACACAAGCAAACGAGACGTGACGCGTGAACAAGCGGACTCGGACAACTTATGTGACGCTGAGGTGGTGTGAACTTTCGCGGATAAGACCGGAATGCCTTTCGTCCCGAGGCGAATACGAGAAACTACTAGGTCGCTGGGCTGTTCGACCCCGGATAGAAGGGAAAGGATAACCGTCGGAAAGAAGGATGTCGGTCTCTCATCTGTTGCCCAGGCACCTAAATTACTTATACAAATAGGTTGGATTCATAACACGAATGTTTCTACGGGCAGAGACACAGGTCTCGAATGTGGCAGAGCTGAATTTCTACTATGCATTGCAACACCTTGTAACGAGATCTGGGAACGGGGATGTGGAGAGACTACATTAATGTCACGGTCGTTCGGATTCCGATGACTTACAAAAAATAGTTTTGACAGCTAGAAGTTTGCTAACGTGCCACATCTCGTCGACCAAAATTTCCGCACTCCGAGTGTCGGCGAACGCTTTTAAGTGTTTGACAAATCGATGAGCTGATCCCGTTTGCAGCGCTTCTTGAACTTCGGATCAAATCTTGAGATGGGCATTGGGCATGCATGTCGTAAGACTGCAATGGAATGTCCGTCGCGACGTGCCATAACCGCGTCTGAGTTGACAGGCAAAATAGTGTATTTGATTTTGAAAAACTATTGTGAACGATAATCTGTATAAAAAACACATTTATTCCGCGTTATTTGAGCCTACGGATAGTCATCCACTCTGTTGAACCTATTATGGGAGATCTTGAATCATTCAGAATGCGAGTGGAACGAGTTATTCGCACGAAGGTATATACTGGAAAATTAGAAGTGACCGTTCGACCCTCCAAAATCTCGGAATTTATGTTCCAGGATTTGGGCGTCACCAGGCGGTACAGCCTCACGAATGATATGTCCTTGAGGCCTGTTGCCAACAAGGCAAACGTGGACATGATCTCTTGCGTTAGGTCAGGGATACCTGTAAGACGACCAGCAACATATTTCAGCGTGATCATGGTTTGTCGATGGGGACGGAGGGAACGGGACAGGGTGAACGGGACGGTATGCAGAATGGACGCACGGGACGGACAGGCCGGTCTGACAGAACTTTCCAGATTCCAGGTTCCTTCGCGTATACTACTGTTTTTAGCACTCGAAATTCATGGGCAGTGTATTTCGTGCGACAAATAAAGTTGATACCCACATTGTGATGTTTTGTGGAATTGTCGTGGCATACGATGGGTGATCAATGCCCCTTAGATAAACGTTCCGTGTTACACATGTTCAAGGGCGCCCTCGAAGGCACAGAGAACAACAATAAACACATGGATGCATGCGAAACTCGGACGTACCTAAAGAGATACCGCTCAAGCCGCAGCGTCGAGTCACTAAGGCAGTATGCTGTGGCCATTATTAATCCTCGTAAGCCGAATAGGGATCATCATGCCTCAGTCTGCGGTTGTCACAAGTTGCCACCTAGTGAGTCGGTGATGGCCGCCGGGTGGAGCTGAAGATCCACAGGCACTAACCTAGGGCCTGTGTCGAGGACACTTCAACTCCGTTGGGAAAAGCTACTGCAACATCATGATGTGCTGCCGCCTCGGTGATCGGATTACCCGTGGTCTCGGAGATGATCAATTCGAGTCACGAGCAAGTTCCCTCGAAAGATGTGATGCTATTGAACTAAAAAAAATCAGTTCAGTATCAAAAGTCCATCACGACAGCGGCTGTCAAGATGTAAAAGGGAATAAAGGACATACGTTACGGTTGCTGCAACATGTTTTGATTTCGAGTTTCATAGCTTACCTACTAAACAACGATAGTTTGATGGGACTGGAAGCACTTTGATATTCGTTACCCAAAATCCTGTACAGTGTACATACGTGGGATATTAACCCTGTCAGGCATGCCGCAATCGACCTTCCACTCTATCTCAAGTTGAAAGTGCCCAAACCGAAGAATGACCAAACGACCAGGTCATGCCCATTCCACTTCTGAACCAATCCTAATGCAGACCTTCGACGTTACCAACATCGACAAGGAATACCAGTTCTATGATGAAGAGGCTGCAAGAGTCAGCCAGAAAATTGATGAGGAGCTCAAGGTCTGTACCTCATTTTCCTATTAACTGAGAACTCGTGGTCATCGAGATCTGCAGAGAGACTGGGTGCGGCGCAAGGATGCTCAGAGAAGACAAGTCAAGGGTGCGTTCTGTCGCTGAGGAACACTACCCATTCCGAGTTGACTTCAACTCATGTGATCATACAGTCATGCTTCTTGGCCAGGCAGAATCCGGAAAATCAACACTCCAGAAGCAATTTCAGTTGTACTACGCTCATCATGCCCTCGATCATGAACGTCCCCTATGGCGTCCAGTTGTGTATTTCAACATCCTCAAGGCTGTTCGAATGATTCTAGATGAACTGGACCACGAACTCAACAACCTTTCGATTGATGATTCAGTGGAGGGCCAAGCTGTTGCACACTCCCTAGCCCCCTTGGGTGACCTGAGTGAGGAGTTCTCCAGGCTACGTACTAAGTTAGTGCCTCTGGTTGCAATGGAGGATTCGCTGGCATCCGAACTCAGTGGTGGAGTCGCTGTGACCGGCGGCCGAACTGGTGTATATGTTCGTGCAGGATGGCAGGCCCTTGTCACCCCTTTATCGCCGAACCGGAGTCGTGCACTTCCTGGTACTGGCGGACTTTCTCCCGCTGTTGCTCAGGTGACCAGCCTGGCTTCGAGGACGCTCATTTCTGTTCAAACCGAGGTAGATGAACTTTGGAAGCACCCGGCCGTTCGGATACTCGTCAACAACAGACGAATCAGGCTTGATGAGTCTGCACCATTGTATGACGAACCATCTATGCATTGGGTATTGTTTATTGACCGTCCTTGCAGCTTCCTGGATAGCATCAAACGTGTCGCGCAGCCTGATTATCTTCCGTCAACGGGTAAAGTGCATAGTTGTTCTGAAATTATTTGCAAATATTGAATATATGTCTGATTTAGCCGATCTTCTCAACGTTAGACTGCAAACGCTCGGTGTGGCCGAGCATTCTTTCGATATAGAATTATGCGGCTCTAGGTACAACTGGTTGATGTACGACGTCGGCGGAGCTGTACGTGTGTGTCTGTTTTTCTTGTTTTACTGTTTGACTCAAAAAGGCGCTGCATTCATTTTCAGCGTGGCCAGGCGAGTTCATGATATTTAATGATCTAAACAGATCTTCCGTCTGACTCCGAACCATCGCATCAGCGCCACGCATGGGTACCATACTTTGACGATGGTGGGTGTTTTGCTCTGATCGTTGCATTTGACGCCCGTGGACACGGGCACCACGGAGACAAATTCATTGTCCGCAATAAGGAATGTTTACTAACTGGCCGTGTTTCTTGGTTTCTGATTAGCAACTGCAATCATCTTTTTGGCGCCAATCAGTGCATTTGATCAAGTATGTCTTCGTGTATTTTCCCCTTGTGCTCCTATTCATTGTACCCGAAATAGTATCTTGAAGAAGATCCTCGGACCAATAGAGTGGACGACTCGTTGCAGCTATTCACAGCCATATGCTCAAACAAACTCCTGAAGAACTCGCATTTGGTTCTGATGCTTAACAAGGTTTAAATTATTATTCTTTATAACTCCTACCATGTGACTGATGTGATATGACTGTATACAGACTGATTTGCTAAGGAAGAAACTAGAAGCTGGGGTCAAAGTGCGGAAATAGTGAGATTTGGTGATCAATTGTTGGTTGGCTGTGCTCACAGCTTGGCGATAGTATCACATCATACGGCGACCGCCCGAACACCTACGCCGATGTGTCAGAATATTTCAGGGCACACTTTATTCAAGTTCACAAGCGTCATGATATCAGCCGTCGAGCGTTGTATGTTGTATGTATAGACTCTTGTCTCGAAGTCACCTTGTTCACTAATAATTGTGTCGCCACCCAGCACTTCACCTCCATGCTGGTGAGTTTTCCCGTCATTCGAGGTTTGCACGAGATCTAATTAATATAAATTCAGGATATCCGGGCAACGCAGGACATTATAGTTAACGGTACGTTCTTACAGACGTTTACCCCTCGCCCCAAGCGCTCATAGCAGATACGTCAGTGGGAGAGGCTATTATCCGATCACATATCGCTAAGACTGGTCTCGCGTGATCCCCCCTTGGTCAACACTTTCTGCCGAGGATATTGACATAGCACTATGTTTATCTGACTACCTTCCAACATGACACTTCCCTCCCGACTAATGATACCTGATGATCTCTCCTTTCTTGCTGGTTATTTTACAAACTTCATCTATTGATATCCCGTCCATCATTGTCACACCTCCGCATCTCTCAGCCTTGTTGCATATAGAATTTTATTCGGTTGTCTCCCAAGTGAAAGGGTCGGTCCGATGGCATAGATGAATTTGCACACGCATTTAGCGCCAGCTGGTGTCCATTTTAACTGTCACTCCCACACTCTTGCCTGATAAGCAATTTCTGTCTATGGTACGCCTTTACATCTCCCGATGGTGATGATTTTGATCCTTTTGTGATAACCAAGATATTCAACGCCTTGTCAACTTGAGATATTAACGATTATCGCAACCATGCCGAAGGTGAAATGCATGCATTGCGGTGTGGTCCTCGAACGCCACAAGATGCCACACCATATACGAGAACTCCATAACTTCAACGATCCTTTAAAGCCCGGGCAGCCCAACCGAAATGCATCCAAGATGTTGTTCGGGGAATGGCAAGCCAAGGAAAGCACCCACCCAGCTCCTGTCATCACTCAACCGGAACGCGCAACATTCCAGTGGGAAATCCAAGACATCGTGCATGAGTTCACCGCCTTGCCGGATCAACTGAGACAAGCGTGCAGCGAGAGCGTTGAGACCCTGCCTGTTCTTGGGGTGAGTCCATCAGCGTTGCAACAGTCAGTCGGTGTCGTGATCTGCGCTGCCATCAGGCATTGTACGCGTACACCTTCACGCATCTTCAACTATGCGCTCCAGAGAAACGAAGGTCGGGATCATATTTTTGAACCAGTAGTTTGAATTCTCATACGCAACACCAGTCTTATCGCCGAACTTGAAGACCTAAAGGCGAAGTTGATAAGAGAAGGCGATACCTGTCTTTCGAATCTAAAGACTACGAAGGATGGACTTGTTCACATTCTACAAATGGTGTGCAAGGCTTTGGTCAGTGAGGAGTCTACTAAACGGTATGAACAGTCACAAGTCGAGAAACACATTTGCAATACTGGCCTGATCAACGAAAAGAAATTGCACGACCTCGACATCAACAACATAGGAGCGTTGATTGTCGAGCACATAACATCGAATGAGCGTGCCCACGCTTTCTACGCCGCCGATGACAACGCACAGTTCATGGTCGAGATACTGCAAAATGTAAGCGCTAACTTGAGGTTCCACAGTTACCCTTTTGACATTCGTAATAGCTACTTACGGCTCGGTCTGAAATTCTGGAAAAATATAGAAGGTATCTGGTGAATGCTGTGATCAAACTGTCAAGGAAATCTGGACGGTTCCCACAGAGTTTGCAACTTTGTCGCATTCAGGACTTAAAACATACCGAATTTCATGGCGGGTTTGGCTTGATCTATCAAGGCAAGCTAAACGGCCGCCTTGTTGCCGTGAAAAAGGTGCTAGAGGGTAAACGTTCCAAAGAACAATTTAATAAAGTCAGTAATTTCGATTCAGACGGCAACAAAAGTTCACATGTTGTTATGTCTTGTAGTCATTTTCTAACGAAGCGGTAGTCTGGTACTATGTACGACATCCAAACTGTCTTCCGTTCTACGGCGTATACGTCTTTAATGACGCTGAGAAGACCTGGTGTCTGGTATCCCCCTGGATGACAGACGGTCATGTCAATCACTACCTTAAGGAGCATCCTGATGCTGACAGGTATCCACTGGTAAGTACAGTTTCATTTCATACCAAGAGATCCGGCTTATGGTAGTGGAGATCCTGGATGTTGCACGCGGCCTGGAGTACTTGCACTCGATGGAGCCAACAGTGAGTCATGGCGATCTGAAAGGCGTAAGTGTATGTGACTACCTGTGATTCTGGAGAGTTCAAGCTTTGCATTTTCAGGTCAATATCCTGATAACGTCTTCCGAGCGTGCATGCATAGCGGATTTTGGAATTGTAACGGCTCGAGACCCTAATATTCAAATGACCACAACAACATCCGGTGTCGTAGGGACGCTTCACTTTATGGCTCCAGAACTTCTAGCCGCAGAGAGTGCAGCTGATCTCAAGAAGTTGGACAGAAGGCGGTGCGACATGTACGCATTGGCTTGCGTCTGTTATGAGGTAGGAAGAAAAAATAGTTCGTTCGGCTTGACCTACCACAAAATTTGCAGATGTTTACTGGGATGTGCCCATTTAAAAACTGGCCCGGGAATCCCAAGCCCTTAGTACTGAGGGGACACCGGCCAGAGCGGCCACGTGAGACCCACCAAGTGTTAGACGACTTTATGTGGAGTCTCATAGAAGCCCTGTGGAAACATAAACCGGAAGAACGACTAACAGCAGAACAAGTGTGCGAACGAATCTCTCACAAGATGGATACTGAGAAGAAAAATACCGAGCGCCCGTCCACTGAAGTGGAGTGGGATGTAGGTTTTCTGGCTGATGCCGCCGTGATGATGGTGACAGAAAATCCTTTCGCGCTTGCGCATACGTAGGCTTGAACTCGTATGTACATAAGTATGTTGTATAATTGTGTTGGCCATGTATATATATATACTAATGCTGCCACTCTGATATGTGAGCGCTTGAGCACTGAAATCTAGATCTGGAGGATCACTGTGACTGCAGGGCAGTATCCATAAGTTGGTATCTGATCAAGTGGTAGAAGTAAGTCGTCCCTTCTATATGGAAAAGGTCTGCTTTGATGCCGGCTCCCTTGCCGAAGCACAAGTTCTGCACAACTATGTGCAAAAAACCGGTCGCAAATTGATCCTCAGACTACATGCGCATTGCGCGAGTTCACTTACCAAGTGACAGTAGGTACATGAGGACCGTGGGAATATACAAAAACTTTGTAGGCTAGGATCATCGACTTGGTCAAAACACTCATTTTCATAACCTTGCACCTCCAAAATGTCGACCAGTGGGCTGAAGGCGATTGCCCCTGTGCCCACCGCGGCAGATTTCTTGGACATTGTCCTGTCCAAGACTCAGCGGAAGACACCTACAGTGAGTTGTGTGTTGAGGGTATCGTCCAGAGCAATCTAATCATCTTAATGTTCCAGGTAATCCATAAAAACTTCAAGATCAGCCGCATCCGTAACTTTTACATGCGTAAAGTCAAGTTCACGCAAGACACTTTCGATGAAAAACTAGGAGCCATATTGTCAGAATTCCCCCTACTCGACGTGAGTTTGATCAAGCTCTCCTGGGGGGATTAAAATTCACAAACATGAGGCAGGACTTACACCCTTTCCTGGCGTCACTCATGAATGTACTGTACGACAAAAATCACTACAAACTTGCTTTAGGCCAACTTCGCACTTGTCGACATCTCATCGATCAGGTTGCCAAAGATTACGTCCGGCTTCTTAAGTTCGGTGACAGTTTATACCGCTGCAAGCAACTTAAAAAGGCAGCGCTTGGTCGTATGGCCACTATCATGCGCAGACAGAAAGATCCTCTTGCCTACCTTGAGCAAGTTCGCCAACACATTTCCCGTCTTCCCGCCATCGACCCTAACACCCGAACCCTACTCATTTGCGGCTACCCAAATGTCGGGAAGTCGTCATTTATCAATAAGGTTACGCGCGCGGACGTTGACGTCCAGCCATATGCTTTTACAACCAAGTCCCTTTTTGTTGGCCATCTAGATTACAAGTACCTGAGGTGGCAGGTAATTGATACCCCTGGGATTTTAGATCATCCGCTGGAGGAGATGAACACGATTGAAATGCAGAGTATTACGGCTCTTGCACACCTCAAGAGCTGCGTGTTGTATTTTATGGACCTAAGTGAACAGTGTGGTTACACTGTGGAAGCTCAAGTGCGTATTGCAGCATACATTTTGTGTCTGGACCACATGCCAATTTTTACCCGCAGTGTAAACTGTTCCATTCTATCAAGCCTCTATTTAATGGCAAGCCGACGATACTTGTCATCAACAAAATCGATGTAACCCGCCTTGAGGATCTTACGTCTGAGAATCGCGCCCTCGTCCAAGAAATCATTGACACTGAGGACGTCCAATGCATCCAGGTGTCATGTTATTCTGATGAGGGGGTCATGGATCTCAAGAACAAAGCATGCGACGCCCTCCTAGCACACCGCGTTGACACGAAACTCAAGGGCACCAAAATTAACTCTGTTATCAACCGTATACATGTGGCACAACCGAAAGCTCGGGACGACGTTACCCGTGCGCCATTTATACCGGATGTTATCAAAGAGCGGAAGAGGTACGATAGGGATGATCCCGACAGGAAGAAACTTTTGCGAGACACGGAGTTAGAAGAGGGTGGTGCTGGTGTTTTCAACATCAACATTAAGCGTAAGCTCCTCTGTATTTTTAATGTGCCTCCTGACATGTCATACAGAGGATTACATCCTCGCAAATCCTGAGTGGAAGATGGATGTCATGCCCGAAATCATGAACGGCAAGAACGTTGCCGACTTCATTGACCCCGATATCGCCGAAAAACTTGAGGCACTTGAACGTGAGGAAGAAAAACTCGAGGCCGAGGGCTTCTACGATAGTGACGAAAATATCTTTGACTCCGAAGACGAACGTGAAGCAGTCGAGGCTAAAAAAGCTCTTGGGCACAAAATACATTCACAGAACGTCAAGAAAGCTATGAAGAACCAGTCTCGCTTACCACGCACAGCGGGCCTCCGCACGCTGTCTGAGCTCACTACTGAGCTCAAGAAAGCAGGTTATGATCCAAGCAGTATAGAGGCGAGAGCGGGGATAATAGCCAAAGCCCAAGGCGCCAAGCGGAAACGTGCTGAAGCAGATATGGATATTGATATGGAGGATGGTGATGGTGATGCAAGTGAAGGTGAAGAAGGTGACTGGATGGATGTTGATGGCGAGGAGCAGACGCCGAATAAACGAGTCAAGGGTAACTCGGGTACAGTTATCGCCAAGCACCCGCGAGCACCAAAATCAAATCGTCAATTTGCTGGTATGCGTGATCAGCAGGTTTGTTTTTATCTTTATTTGGACGAATAACTTTTTGAATGTCTTTATTTTAGCAAGCGTCCAAGGCCGTCAAGCTACGGAACCTCGGACAGCGTGAGCGCAACCGACTGGCTAAAGCTGGAGAGGCTGATCGTGTCATCCAAACTAAAATGGTGCGTGATCATGAATACATCTTGACTTTGTTGTTGATCAGTTCCTCAGCCAAAACATCTTTTCGCTGGCAAACGGAAAGCTGGCAAAACGAACAGACGTTAGCCTGTTCGTATTGTACACTTTCATGTATTATTTTCATTATATGTCATGCAATCCATTCCATTCTTAAGTACAACTTGAACTTTGTCCTGCAGACAGTCAAAAAGTCCAACGATAAAAAGAAGAAGGGTATTTAGACCATCCTAGAAGATAAGTATGTATGTATGTACAACGACGCGCACAAAGGTGCACAAATCACAATATTAACCTTTGAAGTTCGTCTATCGTTCTGGAATATGTCGTGCGTGTATCACTTGAAGGGACGTCCTACAACGTTTCCTTGGTGAGTCGTCAGGTAAGGTATAGTGTAAGGGAGAGTGGAGGTAGAGAAAGATGTGCGGAGGGAGAGGGTTTCGCAGTAACGGAGGATGTGGCCCAGGTTGATAAAGAATTGGATGCAGGTCCATATTTAGTCCCAATCAATGGTAATTCCGCCCGGGCCAGGAGCAGCAATACCAACACCTCTTTCAGATTCACGTTTCAGCCACTTGAGAGCACGCTTGTCATCCTTGAGGTGTAGTTCGAGTCTTTCCAGGCACTTCTTGTTGTGATCCTGCGATAACGGGCACGTTAGATAATCGAAGGTTCCGCAGGTGAAGGATCACTGATCGCTTACTTTCAACCATTGCTTCTCTTCCTTGGTAAGCATGCTTTCTTTGACCATCCGTGTCTGAATCGGAACACACGTGAGGCGTTCAAACCCAAGCCACACGTCGCCGTTAAATTCGCCTTTCGTCTGGTGGCCGATACCATGAGATGCCATCGTGATGTGGGATACAGGATCAACGTACCTTGACTCTGCGAATAGCCAACGCAGATTCAATGCGCATTCCCCATCGGCCATCAAGATCTATAATTCACACCATGATGAGTCACGACGGGGGAATTTCGGCTTTTAACTCACAGAAACCAGGCTCGTTTGTTATGACGTGTCCAGGAACAAGAGGAACGTTGCTGGAGAATCCGTGTGGGCCTTCATGAACGTTTAAGAACGAGCCAAAACCGTGGCCTGTGCCGTGCTATGTCCAAAATCACGTATCAGGTGATGGTCAAACATACGTCAAGGAAGCGTCATACCATGTAATTAAGTCCGTCCTTCCATAATGCACGTCGAGCAAGAACGTCAAGTTGGGAGCCGGTGGTGCCCTCCGGGAATACTGCGCTATCGATGGCAATCTGAGATTATAAGGTGAGGAAGTGCGGGGATTGATATGACCGTCAGTGACGTACGTGACCCTGCAAAACGCGGGTGTAGGCTTCTGATTGGTCTACTGATGGCCTTCCAAAATGAACTGTACGTGTTGTGTCACAGGTGCCATCACGATATTGACCTCCAGAATCACTGGAGTGAAGGAAGTTAATGGCCACGAACTTTGATGGGATTCTCGATGCTCACTTAAGGTAAGGGGTGTCTCGATCAATCATCCGGGCGCCAGATTTCGTAGGCGAATAGTGAGGAAGAGCTGCAAGATCCGAAATATCAGCGATATGAATTACCATGCTGTGGAAGCTGCCTACCCGCGTTAGGCCCGCTTGCAGAGATATTCTCGTATGCGAGACCCCAATAATGCTTGTTTTGCCTCCTGTACTCTGTGAGTCGCCATGCTGCTTCATACTCCGTAATGTCGTATCCTTGTTGGATCTTGTGCTCTAGCCATGCAAGCCATCTAACCTAAACGAGAGAGCATGAGGTGAGAATCAAAACTGTCAACCGAGGATACACACATATGCAGCACCATCGCGAAGGTATGCACGCCTCAAGCCTTCAAGTTCTACTTCATTCTTAATGGCCTTGATGCTGTCAATGAAGGATGGCGTGACGGTATATCGGAAATGCGTCAGCATCAAGGAGATCGCATAGGAGGTCTCTGGAGAGATAAGGACTTTGCCCTCGCCCCATTCTCGCCGGCGGAGGAAAGCCCAGATGTCGTTATATTCCTTCCGTTCGATGTTGAGGGCACGTAGGTGATCCTCTACTTCATCGGTAAGCTTGACGGAATCTAAGAATAGAACAACCCTATCAAGAGAAATGAACAGGTAGGTGTAGAACAGAGGATTAAAAGGGATGTCGGAGCCACGTAAGTTAAGAAGCCAAGCTAAGTGATCTCTGTAAATCTCCTCAAGAGATATCGGTGGAAATTGGACGCACCAATTGAGGATAAAGAAGTAATCAAGGTACCGATGTGCATCTGGGCAGGAGTCGGAGCTGCTTTGGAGTATGAAGGGACAGCCGGAGGTTGAGCCTGGATCCAAGCGCGAACCTCTGCGATTTTTGTGCTAGCTTCCCTGCCCGTAAACTCGAGAGACTGGATAAAAACGGGTTCCTTGGATCGCAGGGGCTTTTCTTTCCAAACCATGTCAATAAAATTCTGGGGAGGATAGATGAGCTTCGAGTTCTTCTGGTTGAGTTGTGTATTCAATAAGGTAGCCTTCTCGTGGGAGATCATGCGGGCGTCTATACCAATCTTCGAATCCTTGGCACGATCCTGATATAACACAACTCTCTAAGGAAAAGCCGCGGGATTAAGCTGATGACACGCACAACCAACCAATCAATCCAATCTTTAGGGCCATCCACAGCCCCACCAGGTATCAAATGCCAGTTTGAGTCAAGTTCATCGCGAGCTTGCAACCAGTAGCGCGAGTCGGTTACTAAGTAAGCGGCCGTCTTCGAAATAATAGCTTGGCCCGCACTTCCAGTAAACCTGACGATCACGTAAGATCCAAAGTTGGACGACCAAGACAAATAACTCACCCAGAGATCCATGACCTACGTTTGTCACTCGCTGCAACGTACTCTGACTGGTGGGGGTCCTCGCTGGGCACAACGCTGAAGTAGGAATGTCAGCCTGAAGAAACGTAAGGGTTGGCTTTGCTCACTAATAATCGAGTTTCTCCTTGACCATCAACTTCCTGATCTCGTCCAATCTTTCTGTCGTGTCTACCTTCTCCTTGATGGATTCGACGTCATTAATCTTGCGTTCATAAGCAGACCCAACAAGCGTGCTCGCAGAGTCATTCGAATAGAAGGGTGGACGTTTGCTGCCGCTCGACCTGGAGGAGGTGCGAGTAGGCGATTTGTAAAGCGGAGGTCTTTCTGAATCGACAGAGGGCGATCGTTCCAACATCTCTCTTTCCCTCTCCTTGACTTTTCCCAGTCCCCACCCATATCCCCATTTCGTAGATTTCTTCGAATCAACCCTGGTAAGAGCAGACTTGCTGTCGTCACGAGAGTGTTGCGAGAACTTGGTGCGGCTCTCGTTAGCAAGTGTAGGGACATCGTAAATCTCTGAATCCGAATCAAAAGATAGTTTCTCTGTGTCTGATGCGACGCTCCGTGTGGTGGAGCGGGACCCGGAGCGGACAAGCTTATTCTGGGAGCCTGTGGAATTGTGCGATCGTTTCGAACGATTGGAATGGTTGTCAGACCTCTGAGACGAACGATGGGAATTATTGTCAGACCGCTCAGAACGATTGGAACGGTTCTCAGACATCTGAGATGATGCATAAGATTTTTCCGAGTCTGTACGGACTATGAGAGGGCTGGCTTCGCGAGTTCGTGAGCGATTTGGGAAAGGAAAGCACATGGGCGGCGGGGGCGGCGGTGGAGGCGGCGGCGCCATGATAGATGGCGGATGATGAAGGTAAGAAGCAAAGAACCCGTGCTGGTAATATTTAATGAACTCAGAACGTACTCACACGAGGTTGGACGGTGATTATTACCAAGGGTGCCATGGCATGCGTCAGATTGAAAAACAGCAAGCATGTAAGTAATAGAGGTAACCTGTGGGAAAAATATGACTAAGCGCTAAATTGGGATTATTGGAAACACGGACCACAAGGTTAAGTACCGGCCCAATTGCCAGTTGGTCATTTATGGGCATGGAAGACCTCGAGGACAGCTCCGTGACCGATGAAATCAACGTCACGGCTGCGGAGAAGAATCAGTAGGAAAGGGTGCTAAATGAGGGGTGTTGTCCAGCCATACTATTGGAACGCTTGGCGATAGCCAACAGATATGGTGATCAGTCCTGGGATCGATCCCGCGGGTATGCGAATGCCACGTACCAGCTGGTGGACAAAGTTCATATCACACCTCAAAAACACGAGGCTGGAACGGCTTGCCATCCAGCTTCGGTCCGCATTTGACTTGTTCCTGACCCTAGTACTAATGTGTGGCCTGTAGGGTTGCGGAACCCATGAACCCACGATCTTCCACGGGGTCTAGATTGGTTATTCTAGATCCGAAATGAATATAGTCACAAAGATCATGAGGATATCGATATGTGTATATTTCAAACCAACGACGACTTATCGAAGCGCAATAGACCACGTCGAGCTTAAGACAGCCGACGAGAATTTCAGGCATCTTCGGTTAGGTACAGTTTTCAATACGCGGAGACATGCAGAGCCTTCGTCAAAGGTTGATGCACTGCAGAGCACAAAAAGACATCTTGTCAGAAGGGCGCATGACGCTAAATTTGACCTCACTGCGCGGTACTGTCTAGCTTCAATTGGCGTGTGTGGTTCTAGACACACATAGTTCTGGAATGGAGATCACCCCCTACTTAGTACGCCACCATTGCTCCAGCCACGGAATGATCTGAAGAAAAATAGAACCTCATAAAACCACTTACCAGTCACATGGCTGGACCCCTGGCGCCTGGCGGCCTGATTAAAATTCGTCGCAGACCAGAGAATGGAACAGAAGTAAATCTCAGCTGTTGTTCATTATCCAGACCTGTGAATATGATGGTGCTGATCTGGAAAGAGGGTACACGAGCAATAGCGCGCGATGTTCAAGAACCATCAACTCAGAAATGGAGGGGAAGAACAAAATATCCTGTCAGATCGCGAATAGTGCCATGTTATTGGATTTGACAGAGTGTTCCTTCAAAGCTCCAACCTGCTCCAACCGTTCGAGTTCACGCAGGTTCACGCAGACACAGCTAGGTAGGACGAGATGAATCACTGATTGACGGACCAAGCGTGCGACGAGAGGTGTGGCGTGATAGGAGTCTGAACAAGACTTTAAAACACACATTGGTGCTGTAGGCTCATCAGTGAGACCTAGTGGCTTTCGAACCACTATCAAATGAGTTGACAGCCTGTAAAGTTGTTCGCCTGGTGGCAACAGTACCACGGTCCAGATAGGGATGACGTCGGGCATCTTAAGCGTCGAGGAAGCTATTATCTAATTACGTAAATAATTATGCAATATTTACATCAACAGTAATAGCCTAGTACTTTTGGTAAGATTTTTTTTAGGTAAATCTCGTTTCACTGACTCTGAGTGCTCATACTAAGTAACTCGTTCCGCAGGACAGCGCTTACAGGTAATACAGTAAGCCAGATTTTCAGTTGGATTTGAGGCCCCCAGATCATCGAGGTTCCGGCTGCGTTAAGTTTCTTGAAGACCAAGACCAAATGGGACATCGTGTCAGTCCATGGAACATGACTCGGAGCTTCTCCACAGGATGGTCGACCTCGACTGGACGAATATTCCGAGTCCATGATATACCGACGACGGTGAGAGTTTCGTGTATCTCCTGTTATGTCGCGTCTTGACGGGACTGATTTCAACTTTGTTACTTATTACGTTGCAAAGTATGTCACAATAGCTTGTCTCTTTGCTAAACGGCCCTTAGTTTGCCATACCGAAGCTCTGGATTTTCTGGCTTGAACATAGTAGGACATGTAGGTCGTCCGCTCGTTTATGTCATTGATTCTATCCTTGTCAGCCCACTCTCGAAGAAATTGCCGTGTGCGTCACTGTGATCATGACTACGATCCTCTACTCACAACTTCTTCCTCAGCATCTTCGATGATCAGGAAGTAATTGCCCAGGCTGCGCACATGCAGGCCCCATGCACTATGTGGACGATATACCTGGATGTTCTGTCTGTCATAGGGCTTCGCCCTGACAAACAATAAACACTGATCCAAAAAAAAGATGTGGACGATATCAAAGAGAAAGAGACAAATTTTGAGTCTGAAGTCACTACGACGAATTAAGCAACCCGTTCCCGACGGACTCAGCACATACGAGGTGGAATGGGTAACATCACCAAGGATTTAATCTAGTTTCACCTCCATTCTCATTCTTCCTAATCTTCATGTCAATAGTGATGCTTTACGATCAATTGCGAATATGGTTGGGTTTGGATCGATCTCATCGGCATGCGAACGCCACAGCGAGGCACGCGGAAAACAAAGTTTTGTGTCCTCTCGAGAACGCGAGATTGGACTAGCTTCAAGTTGCCACCCAGCCACCAAATGACTCGATACATCGCCGGCCCGACCGCCGAATGGTCTACGCCGACTTGACAGTTCACCGACTTATCTGTTAGTCTTCTCCTAAGTTTTCTTTTTGGCGGAACGATAACACCAGAGAGCAAGAGAGCAAGTCAATCCTCACCATACCAGAGCTCTGAGTTCTCTGGCTTGAACATGCTGCACGCGCTGTTTCATTGTTATCGTGCTTGCCGCCTGACCGCTCAAGCGCTCATCCTGGATGTCAAGGATGTCAAGGGTGTCACGGGCCTAAAATATACGACCAAGTCACTATTTAATCGTCGTATCGTTGCACTCCCTCGACTTGATAACAAACCATGGGTTCTAGTCCCACTGTCATCACTGAAGGCTCTGCTGCCTACACTCACCTTATTGATTCGAGACCATGGTACAGGAACAGGCGTATGTTCCTCAAAGAGTACGCATAGAGAATGAGAGTACTGATAACATAATAGGCCTTATCATACTGAACTTCTGGATCAGTATCATGCAAGTTTCAGAACACATACTAATGTACACCCAGTTAGCTTAATCCTGACAGGTTTGTTACGTCCTACACATATGGTTTTGATGGTGAGTTTCATATCTTGAGTTATTGACAAGCCTGCCATCAAGCATTTAGGTAGCATGATGAGTACGTGACTGTGTGGGTTTCAAGATGACATTCTAAACGCGGAACAGACGGTCTGCAGTCTTTGACGCAGTGGAATGAAGCGTTTGGTTATCCTGCTGGTGGGAAGGTGTGCCTAATGCTTTACGTTGATTAAACCGTACTCATCTGCTAGCAAGCTTGGATTACTCAATGCCATTCAAGTAAGCTAATCTTAATGATTGCAATCGACGGAGTTGGCTAACTACAGCACGACCTCAGAACATCGGGACCTTGTGTGCTTACCCGTTTGCACCTTACATGTCTGATGGCATGGGTCGGCGCTTCTCAATCGCATTCGGTGCAAGTGTGATGGTTGCTGCCACCGTGATCCAGACTGCTAGTAATTCTGTGCAGATGTTTATTGGAGCACGGTAGGAAGTAAACGGCTACTCGCAAGAGTCACTACTGACTTATTTCCGCAGTTTCTTGGTTGGTTTCGGTCTGACATTCGCTGCCTCCGCTGCTCCACTCCTTGTCCATGAGGTTGCATACCCTTCTCACCGTAGTCAGGCAAGTTCAATGTATGTCTCATTATGGTAAGCTGTTCTGGTGCCTTCGCCCGGACGTATTCTTATCATCCTTCAGGTTCCTTGGGAGCATCGTGTAAGTTATTCGCAATATAGACTTCGCTTTCATGCCAGCTCACCAGTTGTCACCGCTTAGTGCGGCATGGAGTGTTAGTTTTTTTTCATTCGAAGCCAAAAAAAACTAAAGTGATACTCTTCATAGACTTATGGCACATTCACCATCCAGAATAGTTGGGCGTGGAGACTTCCTTCTGCACTCCAAGGTGTTTCATCTCTGATACAAGTCTTATTGATCTGGTTCGTCCCCGAGTCACCACGTTGGCTCGTGAGCAAGGGAAAGTGAGTATGACTCTCCTCGAAACGTAACAAGTCTGATGTGTGTAAAGGGAGGAGCGTGCTCTCCAAGTTCTCGCTTACTATCATGCAAATGGCAATGCGTGAGTGTGATCCATTTCCTTTTGGTATCAACGCGTAAACCAAGCCTATCGTGCAGACAAGATCCTCTTGTGCAGTACGAATTGGAAGAAATCAAGGCTGCGATTGCCTTTGATCGGGAAGTAGCTGGCAATGTTGGCTGGCTGAGTTTGATCAAAACTCCTGGAAACCGAAAGCGTTTGCGCCTTGCCATCGCGATTGTTGTCTTCTCCCAGTGGTCTGGGAATGGTTTGATGTAGGTTCGAATGCTATATCGTAAAGACATGATTCTGACAGCTCGTTGATTTTCAGTGCTTACTGTAAGTTAGCTTCATTGATGTATTACGTGAATGCTCATGATTGGATTGACAGATTTGAACAAGGTCCTCATTGCAATTGGAAGTGAGTGAGTTGTGGCTTGACACATACCGACCAGTTATCATTCCTGCGTAGTTACGAACCCGAAAACGCAGTTGCTGCTTGTAGGTTTGGAAGAAGTGCGTGATGCTCGCTCGTTCACGGATTTTTCTAGAATGGTGCTCTCAATACCTACAACTTCTTTGTTACTATCACTGCCGGCTTTAACTCTACCCGTGTGGGTCGACGCCCACTGCTCCTCACATCTTGCACCGGTCAGCATGGTCCTCGGGCATATAGATATAACTGGCTGATTTAACGTGTTAGGTATGGTCGTCTTCTGGACCGCGCAGACGATCTGCTTCTCCATCCACCAAAGCACCGGTAGTATCGCAGCTGGTAATGCAGTCGTTGCTTTTATTTGTGAGTAGTACATAGGAGCTGATTAAATCCGGAGCTGACAAGTTTTTAAATTTTCAAATACAGTCCTGTTCTACACATCTTGTGAGTAGTCTATTACTCTTGTGTTATTAACCTACTCACGTTTATACAGACAACGTTCGTCTTTCTAACTGATGCGTCTTCTTCATCCTACCTGAAATCAAGTAATATCAGATTGCATTTCCACCTCTCCTTGCGTCGTGAGTCATGTGAACTTCTGAAGTGAAAGTCGTCGTGAATTATTCTACAAGATACCCCGTCGAAATTTTCCCGTACCCCCTCCGTGCTAAGGGTTATATGGTAGCCAACTTCATGATGACTCTGTCTCTGATCTTCAACCAGTATGGTTCAACTTCTTTGTCCGTTTAAAGGTCCACTCACATTCGCAGATATGTCAACCCCATCGCCCTTGAAGCGTACGTCTCAAATATGAACCTATCTACATCTGCTGATATCGAATTCGACGCTCAGTCTGCAGTGGAAGTACTACGTACGTGAGATCTCGCAAGTTTCCGACGTGTCTTCATTCATCCGATGTTCTATGTCAGCTGGTGTACATCGCTTGGCTGTGCTTCGAACTTGTATTCTGCTACTTCTTCATCGTTGAGACAAAGAATGTAATTATATCGTCTTTACTGCGCATACACGATCCTCGGCTAATGAAATCTCGTCAGCGCACTCTCGAGGAAACTGCCGCGTATGTTACAGTGATAACGACTGCAATTTTATATTCACAGCTTCTCCACAGCATTTTCGATGGTGAGGAAGGCGTGGCCCGGATTTATGACAAGGCTGCTGCGCATGCAGGTCTCACGCACCGCATTAGCACGGAAGAGAAAGATATGAAGTCAGATTTCGCAGTCGCTATGACGGATTAATCTTTCCGTAAGCCCATCCCAGTCGGATCTACTTGCCTTTTATTGTTCCCGATTTTCATGATAGTAATGTTTGAAATACAATCCGACGATGTAGTAGTGCATCCTCCGCTTGTGAAGTTGAAATAGTTGACTGGTTACAACATTCACTGTGTGATTTTACGCAATCAATTGAGTTGTCAAAAATGTTCAATGCCAACGTGAGGCATTTCTCGCGCAGTGTCATCCTTGGAAATTTGAATATTCTGGCCAGTCTACGTGTTTTGTAAATGATAAGGGAGTGAGATGGAAAATTATCTGATTCTGTATAACAAAAGAACTGAGAGTAAGAGAGCGTTTGCCTAGTCTCCCCTACTAGATGGTCCTTTACAAACGAAGATAAGATAGCGGTCTTGTGAATTCGACGAACATCACGTGCGTGTGACAAAGTGTGACGCTGTGCGGATATGTGCCGCAAAGGTGTGCCGAACAGTGCCGAACTCATGCCGAAGTATGCTAGGTAAAAGTTGAAGAATATGGTACAACGAATACTATAGGTAGATTAAGAGCAGCAAGAAGCTTAAGTACTCAATGAGTTATAACATTAGTAGAAGATGTGTATCGCGTGAATTAATGTGTTGTTGGGAGTGTACTATGACAATCAAGCTCCTCCATAATGGATTGCGGGAGAACACGATGGCCGCGGTATTTTTTTATTGCACGTAAGTGTAGTATGGACTTGGAGCACCTTCTTGCTCAATGTCCAAGGTCTTTTGTTTTTTCCTGCCAGTAAATGCTTTGTGAGCCTGGGCTATTACTAGATTGTCTCTCGAACGTTTCTGTGTGTTCTGTTGCCCATGTGTCTTCTAGGCAGATGATGGCAACGGCTTCACGGCAAACTGCGTCGGAGTATTATGCATAGTACTGTGCCACTGACAGTCACTTTCAATAACAGAAGAAATTGGAATTAAAAACTTTCCACTGCACTTTTGTTCATTTTGAATAACGTGAAATGTTCACAATATTACTACTGAGGTAACTGAGTACGCGATTGATGTAGAAAGGGCCTGACCAATAGTTATTACATTTTTTGTCTTTTGTCACTCTTTCATCACGTTTGGCACGTGACGTTCGTCGAATCTACAAGTCCGCTCGTTCCTTGTGTTTGCCCAAAATATCGTCCCGAACCTAATGGAAGTATAACGAGAACCGTGAGGCCAGGCGGGTACTAGCAGTCTACTAAAGATCAGTTTAGACAGTCTCCTACAGTCAAGAGCTATACGTTGAGCAGTTTCAAATTGAAGTGAGTTGACATCGCAGAACAAACTCAAGTTAATACTCATTATCATGATGGTGCAAGACGCGCTTCGAACTGTTGCTGAGGGAGTGGCGGGTGCGAAAAGTCATCAACGACGAGCACAGTACTAGGTCGTCGAGTAATCAAATTTCTTGTGGTCACGGTATGTACCGTAGCAAGCAAGAAAGCGGTGTCTCGAAACTTAAGTTTTCGGGTAGACTTCGCTCGTTCCTCGCGCTTATTACGTAGCTGTAGAACACAATTCACTCCGGTGGTTCAACAAATAGATGGCCGACTCCACCATGTGCTTAAGTCATAGCATTTGGCCAGGGGCGCTGTGAAGCTTTAATAGTACTAGTACATCGAGTAACTCAATGTCTGACTTCTGCCTTGAGATATCTAGTCCTCCAAAAATGATTGGGGTGTTTCCAGCCTGATCAATGATCAATGTTACATTAATGATTATTGTAGTAGGGCCCCGGGCCATCAATGGCATCAGGCCTCAGGCCCCAAGTTGTCAGCGTTATTCGTGATATAAGGTACGAAATAATTAAAATTATTTGATTCCGTGAAATCGATCAACGGTAGCAATGTGGGCCAGAAATATGCTTGCCACCAGCGGTCAGTCAGCTTGGCGCTCATGATCCTGTAAGATAATATCGCTGCATCCCCGCATCCTTTCTTTCTCTCTCTCGTGATTTTGAGTCAAATTTGATGTCATGGTTTTCATCCCGTCTCGAGCTCAGCTCCAGCACCAGGTAAGCACTCATCAATTCACGAACGAAAGCAAATTTTTGACAACACCATCGCATTGTTGTACCTTCCTACTTATCAGGCTCTCTCCGTAAGTGTTCATCGTCGGTTTCTGGCGGTGAGGCTGAAATGTTCAATACAGTCCCGTGCTACCGACGGTAGCGATGACTCCAATGGTTCAGATTGGAGTACTATGCAGATAACAACCCCAATAATTGTTGGCGTTGCACTCATTATTATCTTTGCTGTATACGTTATGTGGGACAGATGGTCACACCATTTCAAACCCCACTTTCACCGAGTTCGAGATGCATCCATCTCGAAATTTTCCAAGATCTTCATGCCTCAATACCGTCGTCGAGTACAGCATACTAGCATGCCCGTTACGCTGGATGAGTCCATGGTCACTCCGCGTTACACACGAAGATATCACTCGTATGTTCGATCGGACTCAACTGATTCACAAACACCACTAAGAAACTCCGTCGAATTCTCTTTCCCGCCGCCCAACGGATATCATTCTGATCCTTCTAACGGGCCGGCACCTGGGGGTTCTCGGCGACCTGAGAGGCGGTTATGGCGATGGTGGCGTCTTTTTGGTGTGGGTCCTCGAGAGGTCAAGCCAAAAGTACCAAGCCATCGCTGGGTGGTAGAGGGTCCCGATGAAAGTAGTACTGTGGGACACGGGGATGGATCGTTCAACAACCAAAGCGTTGAGGCGAGACAAAGATGGGCGAGCGGTCTTGCACCGGTGCATGAACAGACGAGTGATGACGAGGGTGACTCCAGTCGAGGGATTTATGGCGGGGTGATCCAAATTGGAGATCCTGATTTCTCCACTGCACACTCAGCAACACCGATGAGTCCGACAGACCACCAAGGTTTTGCGATACCTGCGCCTCCTGGGTCAGTTCCTACATCGGCCAGAACGGCTGCACCGGAATACTACAGTGCAGTCGAAGGTCCATACTCGACATCTAATTTGCAGGCCATGACAACCGCACCAACAACTTATATTCAACAAAGTTCCTCCACCCCGGTAAGTCCTGAATGCCGGTTGTCATGTCTGTATTCTCACTAATTTGTGTTAATCAGGGACCTACCCACTCCAACTCGCCTGCCCCTCCAATGTACAGTTCTGTTTCAAATAGTAGAAATTCTACGGAGAGTTTCGCCTATCCTGTCAACCCTGACCTGACGGCACTCTATCCATGGTCGGTGCGCGCTGTGGGACGAACTCTCCCGCGTATGTATCAGCATGAACGACAGATGTCGACGGAGAGCATGCTTGCGAACTCTTCCCCCATGGTACCACAGAGTATGTACTAATTGATCGCGTTCCTCGAGGGTGAATAGACGCCAGTGGACACTACCCTAAAAAATGAAGTTTGTGTAATTGTTTTTGCATTCATTACCACTCGTAGCACCATGCCTGCCTCCCTGCTTCATGCAGCTCAATGGTGTCCTTTGGCCCATGCACGCCTTTCAGCACAGTCTCACTGCTTCACGCTCGTCCGCTGGCATATCTTTATACTACATATCTTGCTGCTTTGCCATGTCTTTGGCACTCAGGACTCATTCATCTCTTTGGTTGTATCTTTCGTAGTCACTGTAGTGTGCTTATCTGTTGTACCAGCGCTATTCTGAAGCTCCAACTAATCAATTGTAGTGCTGTTATCCGAGTCTCTGCGGGATGATCTGTCACAATATCGTGTCCTAAAATGGACTCAAAGCAGACTCGAAGTGGGCACGAAGCATATGCTCTTCCCACAATATTTCAATTATTTGCGAGGCCGCCGGAGACAGGTGACCTCTTCCATGTACGATCATCTTGCAAGTTCCTTTTTGCCATTGGTTTTCTGTTCGGCCCCGCGAAGCTTATGAGTCCTAATCGTGTAGCCTCGCAGGAGGTCGGCCCCTCCGACTCGGAGTCAAGGTGCCGTACATTGTGCAAACAATCAAAATAGGAATTTTCAGTGCAGAATACAACGATCAAGGATGCACCCCACATTTCCGAGATGTGTGATGATATATTACTACGTATATATCCGACTCCAACGCTGGTTCTAGTAGGGTTATGAGCGCGCGGCTGCGTACATGTGACAGGCTGGTACCATAAATATATGTGACAAGCTAGGCTCCCGGTTTCTTAGAGAACAGCACAGGCGGATTAATAGTACCTGATATGACTCGGAGCCTGAGATGTCAAACAATCTGCCAAAGAGGCATGTTGGTAGGACACTTGTGAGAGATATATGAATTGTGCGTGAGACTGAAATGGGTTTACAGGCATCAGGGCATACCCCCGGGGCCCCGGTCCAGGCCCCCGGCCGGTCTCTCAATCGGAAGATAGAACATGTTCGGGAACTCAGATGATGACCGACAGCAGCTCCTTGGAGGAGAAAGTCAACATCCTCGCACCTCGTATTCGTCTCGAAACGCTGACTTGGAATTCTGTGTTGAAGTCTGGAATTCACGGCCAATTGAAGTGCGTGTTGACCGATCGACCCATGGCGTCGCGCGTAATATTAGCCCGACGTTCCTTACAGCTAATTCCAAATCGATAGGCCAAAATCGATTTTACACGACTTCACCTACGTTGTTTATCTTTGAAGTAATTAGTTGGAGATGTCAACAAAGGCCGCGGCGCAGCGCACCTTCAGGATCGAGAGGTCATATCCACCGTTCGCGTCATGGTAGGGAATCGTCGACACGTACCGGAGTCCGTCGAATAACAATTGGTCGCAATGCATATGTCTGCCGACATCATGAAATCGAGGGATATTGCCCATGTCACTCACTCCGGTCATCGTACCGTCCGAGTCAATCGTGCGCTTCACCTCTCAGGCGCACGGCCCACAGCCTGAGGGTCTGTCATTCATGGCGTACAAAACTCGATTATTTCTTACACCATGACGGTCACCCGTACCTTGAAGCTTGTGTCGAGCGCACCCCGGATTTCTACATGAACTACATGCACTACGGGACGTGAGGGGCATCAATGCTTCACTACAGACCATCGAGAAGACTTTGCGAAGGCGTAGTTTCACGCGTAAAAGGTACGAAGACCTCAGACTAAGACCACTCCATGCTTTTGAAAGTCTCTAAAATTTTCCTTGGGCTAGGTCGCGAGGCCAACCGCCGAACGCAACGAGGAGATTCGTAACCTTTATCAAACGTGCCCCTCGACACGACTTTTAGTTAGCATCGCCAGGTATCGAGTCGTCTGCTATATACCTTTAATAGCGGAGCTGAAATCTATTGTCATGGTCATACTATGTCATTGTTTGCCACACGTGCTGGAAACGAACTAGAACTTCACCAGGGCTGCTGGTTGGGAGTGGAGCATGGGGCTACAATCACTCGGCTGGTGAATGAGCTCAAATAGTGGTGAGTGGTCGGGCTGCTAGTCATCATACCAAGTCAGCAAGCCCTTATAAACAACGTAGAGTAGTCTTTGTAGCCCAACAACATCATGCTCAAATTTAGAAATTAGTGACGTAACAGTCAGGGAAGGCGGGGAGGTGGTTGTCGTTTCGCTCCAAAACTAAACAAAGGCGGTGAGTTTATAAAATGGAATTTGGCCTATCGTTTTGGAATTAGAGCTTTTGAACAAATTTCGTCCAGACTCAGCTTCCAGTGAAGCTTGAATCATCTAACTTAGTTGGAGTCTCACTCAACATTCTACATCAGCATCATTTGTCTCATTGCTATCATGATTCTGGGTCAAATTTCTGCTTCGGTATTCATCGACGACAAGGCACTACCGGAATATGAAATAGTCGAGTCCAGAACGGAGGAAGAGAATATAATGACTTGTTGGATTCCCTCGGAAGCAGGCAAGGTATAGCATTCATCATACTTATATACTGGCGAAAAACTTAAATGCCCCATAAGAAATTTGAAATGAGGGGGGAAGTCTTAGAACCACAGTACCCAGGTATCAAGGCATCTGCGTTTGTGGATGGTTATGAATGTCCTCCATGGGTCGTGCTCCCGCCCTGGACGGGTACGTTGGAATACGATTGCATATCCGACGGAACAACGACTAGAGAACTAATGTTCAAAAAAATTGAGTTTACCGGTCAGCATGTAAACTAATGTCCAGAGCTTGCTTCTAACACTGTACTTCAGATGACGACTCAGTGCTCGACAATTATTCCGGCGACATCGGTCAAATCGTGATGAAGTTGGAAAGAGGGACGTACACCAAGGTCAGGAAGGCAAAGCCAGCTGGGTCAAGTGGGCACGATCTTCATGTGCATGAAGACAAAGTGCATGAACGCTTGAAGAAGGGTCGCTCCCATCGGGTTGGGTATGTATTATTTCGTTGCATACCTCACTTTCTATAATTAACATTTGGTCAAGTTTCGGGAAAGAAGCACCAGATCAAGAGGAACAGACAACGTACAAAAGTGATTTGGACGACTATCCCTGGACTGTCTTCATATTCAACTTTACTTCTTTGGGTGGGTCATAGTGTTTACTACATGTGTTCCCAACTCACACCAATCCCCAATCCCAGACAACCTGCGGGCAATGGATATAGTACCACGGATGTCGAATCCGCCAATCCCGGTCGATGGGCCTAGCGACGGTCAGTCTTCGCCGGTGGACATGCGCATCAGGGAATTAGAGGTGACTTTTTGCTTTGGTGGTGTTATTTCTTTCAACTTATTTTTTTGAAGTTGGAGCTCCAGCGTTTGAATGCCATTCAAGCAACAAGGTCATCCTCATCTGGAGACCAGAAGCCCTCACGTGTTAAGTTGGAGTCATCGATTTAACCGACGGTCCCCGCTGTGGATTTTTCGAAACCTAACTTGGTACAACTGCCCACGCCACATTTCTTTTGATCTTCAGATCTGTCGCAGCAGGGTTTCACGACAAATACCCTCGTTGGTCTGGCAGCGGAATCCTATCGTGGAAAGTTGGAATTTTGTCGGATCCGCACACTGCGTCGATTTCTGCTCTGGCGCGAGCCTCATCAGGGAACTGGTGGACAGATATCGAATAGAATGATATAGATAGCATCATATAGTACACAATCAGTACCGCCAATGGGAACGTGTACAAAGTTGATGACATCTATGATTTTCAACTGTAAGGACTTCACAAGAAAGAAAAAGGCTCATGTTTACCGTCTCAGACCCGACCGAAGAGCAAAGAGCTATGAAAATTTCAAGAGCCCAACATGATACCTTGCCAATGTATGCTATCGCAGCCTCCCGTGCTCAAGGGCTTACACTCGTGCGCCACATCAGGCAGGTTATATATAACATAGGCAAACCGCGGGTTAAAACAAGGAGCAAAGTGGAAAGTGGAGATATCAAGCGTGATTAAGGCTTGTCGCATACTTCCACATAGTTTCCATCAATATCGTCCCAATGTTGACGACGTATGTGAGAAGCCAGAGCGCAGTCACTGCGCGGCAGATCATATTTTGAGATGAAAACCCTGCTATCAACATCGCTGGGGGTGGAATGCATAAGGGGCTAGAGAGACCCTGAAATGAAGGGACAACTCACCAAAAATGAAACAATGTAGGGACCAGGCGATGAAGAACATGGGGGGTGACTATCGACAACAGGTAGGACAACACGAAGTATCCGCCTAGCTTAAGTTGCTGATCATATTTAAGTCAGTCGGTGCAATCGGCATGGCGAGAACGACCCTTACCTCTTGAGTCCAACGCCGATCGGTGTATAGCCAGCGTATCAAGCTCGAGCCGGATGTCAACAGCGCGATCATAGCGAGCATGAGCGATATAAAGAGCAGACAATGAGGAGCGGGTGATGTATGGTCAAAGCATGGCACAGGAAAGCCGGTAGTGACGAAAACACCACTCATAGTGAGGAGGACGCCTGCCTTTTTGAAAGCATGTCAGTCACGGATTCAGCTCGCGCGGAGTAGGACAGCTTACTGTGGTGATAGTACTGGCCAGGATAGAGCATAACTTAGTTCTAACGATTTCGAATGCTTGCCCTGATTGGAGGGACTTCCAATGATCTTCAAGATCTGGGCGTCCAAGCGCAAGAAAACAGACCACCCTCGTGAAGAGGGACATGTGATCGTGATGAAGGGCCTCAGGGATGGGTTATTCTTCAGCAAGTGCTCTTGGATCAGCAGTCACATATGACTTGAAAGGCAGGCGTAGTTCAGCGATGCAGCAAGGATTCCAAAGTTTTCAAAGCGCACCTCAATGGAATAGAGTGAGGCCATGGAGTAAAATAGAAGAGTACAGATGAACTAACGTACTTCCCATACTGGCATTCGAATGGGGCTTTATAATGGGAACTGTAGGTTAACTTAAAGGAAATACGTATTTACCCAACGGTCATGGCATGATGGCGTGATGGTGACTGTTAAACGCTGCCGTCATTCTGAATTACATAACTTTCAATCGCCTCATGCAGCCAGGACGACTTTCATTCGTCTCATGTAGTGGACTTTCATTTGTCTCGTGCAATCGACTTTCATCCGTTTCATGCAATTGCCCACTCCGTGCGAGCTGAAGCCGGCGGCGCTGACATACTTTCAAAAAGGCAGGCGTCCTTGAAATCGACTTTCATGCTTCTCATGCACTCGCCCACTCCGCGCGAGAATCCGGGACTGACATACTTTTAAAAAGGCAGGCGTCCTCCTCACTATAAGTGGTGATTTCGTCACTACCGGCTCCCACCCCCAGCGATGTTGATAGCAGGGTTTTTCGTCTCAAGATATGATCTGCAGCGCAGTAACTGCGCTCTGGCTTCTCACATACGTCGTCACCATCGGACGATATTGATGGAAACTATGTGGAAGTATGCGACAAGCCCCAATCACGCTTTATATCGCCAGTAATTTCCATTTTCCACTTTCCACTTTGCTCCTTGTTTCACCCGTGGGAGGTGGTGTGTATACTATCACCTGATCCGTAATGCACAATCGATGGGTAATGCACAACGCACATCAGAGCTCACAACTCTGGCATCATGGGAAGTCCCATATCTGCCCCGTCGACTGATCATACATGGGCAACATATTTTCTAGGGTGTTGTGGTGATCGTGTGCACTTTCTTGCTGGTCCATGTTGGCATCAGTGTTGAAATGGGTTTACAGGCATCAGTGCACAGTCTCCCCCGACCGGTCTCTCAATCGGAAAATAGAACATGTCCGGGAACTCAGATGATGATAGCAGCTCCTTGGAGGAGAAAGTCAGTGTCCTCGTACCTTGTATTCGTCTCGAAACGCTGACCTGGAATTCTGTGTTGAAGTGCGGAATCTCCTTGCCAATTCCAGTGCGTGTTGACGCATAGCATATAGTCCGATGTTCCTTACTTACTAGTTGCAAGGGCAGTTAAACTGTAGGTAGGCCCTAGGGGAGCTGAAAGATAAAACGCCCAACGCCCAACCTCGTGACCGTCACCGAAATGAGAATATATACCTAGAATAAATCTCCGACCCCCACGTGGGAGGGCTACAAATCCCATGCGTCAGTCGATGTGCAAAGCTGTGCCCATACTCCCGATTTTCTTTCCCGCTTGAGGCTGACTCAGCGTGACCGGTGACCAGCCGATGCCTTGTCTAACGATCCATCACTGATCTTTTACCACAGCGACCAGGCGGCTGGTGTTGAGACTACCGAAGCTCAAGGGTTTTTTAAAATCTATCCGTCCTGCCAAGATTGCACATACCTTACAACATTGCTTCAATTCCCTCAGTGATCTTCCCGCCTCAGTCCTCATCGCCGCTGCTCGCTCCTTGCCCTGCGATACAGCAGTCAAACGAAGAAGCCTAGGGGTCCCTGTGCCCCATCGTATCTCTAAAGTCGCGAATGCCCTGGTGTGAAACGTACCCCCACCAGTCCGCCGTTCACGCCGGCCGTTTTAGATGCGCACTTCTTCGAAGGTGCAATGGCTTGTTTTTGGTCGTAACGTGATATGTATACAATAAAACGCGTTCTCACCCGCTTGCGCGGGGAACCATTTCCCGCTTGACTGTGATTTCTGCTTATTTTGAAGAGGTCTTTGGTGTTTCTGTAGCCGCAGCACTGCATCGCCCTTCACGCCAAGTACTTGACACCCTTGACCTGTACCTGCAATCTATGGCAAGCCCCATATTCACAGGGGTTTTGCAAGACATTGAAGACAGCAGTTTCACAACATTGAGCCAGTTTAGATATTTCTGACAATCTTCCGTTGTTCGTAGCGCCGGACAACCATATTATGGTGCGTTTCAAAATTTCAGGAAGGTGCCATTGCGTGAGCTCCCAGGGGCCAATGGCGTGAAAACTGGAATAATTGGGACCAAGCGTGACAGAAGTCACCCGTCAAAATACACACAAGGTAAGATACGCATGGCCAACCAGTGCATCGCGACAGTCCGGCGAACTCGAGTTCCCGGACTCCACGACTCTCACTCAAACTTTCTGTAATGATCAAATAGTAGTAGTCGAATCCATCGAGTTCTCGCAAATTCACGCAAGCTGTATTCCATTTCATCCGATTTGAGAACGAGGATTTCCCTGATGTTGATGTAGAGAGAGCCTGTATATTAAAAACTTGAGTATGCGCCTGATCATTGGGCGAGAAGTGGCAGACAGGTTGATTGTTAGTGAGACAGCAGCCGTTTGTACAGATGAGTCACGGTACAGGTACAAATGGGAACAACATAATTGTAACTGTAACTGAAACACCAGTCGACTGAAATCTAGAGAAATGGGAGGACATGAGTGGCAGCTATGAGAGACCAAGTGAAAAGCATCACAACAAAATACGCGAGGTACAAGAAAAGCTAGTGTACATCAGATTGTGTGGAGAGAGCTAATATATATCTGAATGATCTATTGTGGCGACAGCTCGAAGTAGTAATACTTGAGGTGAAGACACAAGAAAGGACTTAAGACGATCACTGCAATGTCACCAGGTAATAGCTTAGTTTCAAGAACGCCAGGCTTTACAAGTCTATCTACTGGGTCTTTTATAGGCTTGTCAGTAAGGTAACACGTGAGATAAGCAACTTGGGGCGCGCAGCGCGGGGCAACGCGGGAGTCGAGATAGTGAGCATCAAAGAAATAAGTAATCACATATTCAATGGAGGGTTTCTGTTGGTGGCCCACGGTGTAGACGCCACACCTATTCACACGCCGACTTCAATGAGGTTGGCCTTTGGCAACAACGGGACAAGCCTAGTTTGCTGTATTTCCAAGCCCCTGGTGCCACAGTATCTGCGATTTCGCTCGGGTTAAGTGATGGCTCGTACTAATGAGAAATTCTTCTTACCTGTGACCTTCGTAACCCCAGGACTTGTGTCCTCGAACAAACATTGCCATCCCGTCAAGATACTCTTTGACTAGGACGTCGATGGAAGGTCCCCATGAAGGAACCTTCGCAAGACCGTCGATGAATCGTTTCTGAGCTTCGGCGTGATAATTCGCTGCCCATGCCATTGCACCGCCTCTGTCGAGACCAAGCTCCAACATGACAGTACTGACTATGTTGTGGTCTTCGTTCCCAGCCGCCTGCTCTTTGTTGTACGAGATCATGTCCTGTGAATGTCGTGAGCATACCTCAAACCAAGACGTCCTTCAAGGATACCGATTTACATTGTCGATCAGAGCTACGTCTGTGATGCATTCAGCAAGCTCCATAATGACGGGGTTGTAGAACACTTCATCAGGAAGGTCCATTCCCATTTCAACAATGGAATAAGTTGGTTTTACGCCACTCGTGTACCGGCGGAGCTTCAGGTAGTCATCGATACTGCGCTTGCTATGACCTTGTTCACGGTCAATAACCTCGGTAACCACTGCATGAAGGTATGCAGTAAAGGTTTCAAGGAAGTGACGTTGAGAAGACAGGCTTGCAGATTGAATCGTACGGGCCCAAAATCTATGCAAAAATTCCTTGGGCACAAATAATCATCAAACAATTTAGAAGCACTTACTGTCGCACGATTTCACCAAGGATATGTTCGCCTTCCGGTCGCATCTTCTGAGGATTGTGAAGGGCATCGAGCATGATGTCCACTATCTCCTTCGTGACTGCTTCATTTTGGACGTCGGTGTAGTCGTCAAAAATGAAGAAAACATTCATCAAATCACAGCCGATCCGGAGGTATTCTATTTTCCAGGAATATAATCAGAGTTCCTTAACGCGTGAATTGCTGCCTGAGGTGTTAAATACGAACCTCTTGATGCATTGGGATAAATCAATGCGGCTAGGCGGGCTATAAACGCAGCACATGTCAGACCATCGTCATAACTGAGAGCTAGCAAGATAGGTCGAACCAAATTCGCATTTGTCGAATGCTTCTTGTGACTTAGGAGTCAGAGCCTTGAAATCGCGGAACCAAGCATCGGCTTCAGCTTTCACGTCTTCGAAATGAGGATTAACGGTACGAGGCCAGGGCCAGTTAACCATAGTGTCTGGGAGGTATATGGTCTTTGGGCGAGTATCCATAGCGTCCAAAATATAGTTTCTGATGACTCGGAGGAGTGCGAACGTTGAAAGAGGGGCAAATTGTTGTTCGACGGTCAAGTTCGCAACTTCCAGCAGAACTTATATACCTGTCCGTGTCGGAATCGGCCTACTTCACGCGCATATCCGCGATATATGGATGTGGTAGATTTTTCGTCACATGTGCTTATCGGGCTACCGAGCGTGACAGCGGATTGCGTCAGGAATCAGGCTGCAAGTTGCTGGCAAGGGTATGGTCGGCCTTGTGGAAGATCAGGAAAGTGGAGCCAGAATTGTCAATTGAGAGTGACCTAGCCTCGTATGAACAAGATGACAACACGCACTGCGCAGTATGGTGCAGATTAAAGGAATCTGTGTTGGTGTTGTGACGGAGATTGGGTTTTCCCATTGTGAACTAGTCACTCATATCATTTGCCCTCGAGTGAATGGTCTAGAAAGAGAATATTCAGTGAAAACCAAATGACTCGGATATGCATTACCTGTATCACTGGGGACATCGCCAAACTCTAGCACAATGCAAGAGTCCCTTGCTTGACCCTCTCAGTATCAGCCTGTATTAAAGTTCATGAACCTCAGGCTGCGCCAACTCTTTTTTTATACATCCATCCAAAGGTTCCGAAACAATTAACACCATTAAGTTGATGTGCTTGTCCATTCATCTTTTCTCGATGAGGTCAAATATTCTGAGGTGAAAGCGGTCAGTAAAGATATGAAGTCAAAAGATTGTTGCGATGCTCTACCGTGACAATGTATTACTTTACATTACTTTCTGGATCCATTCCGAGTCACCGGTTCACTGATGACTATAGTGAAGACAGACTATTAATATAGCTAGCCTCTGGCTAACCAAAAACAATATACCGTGACAAATGCGAACTTTGAACACATTAAACTGTTCAACATAACATAGCTATAATATAGTCTGTTCAAAGTCTCACCAGTCCCGAATGCCCAAGAATCAAAAGAAGGTGGCAGCTGCTCGTGCTAGGGCAGCACGGTGCTCAGATCCAACTGCCGAGCATCACAGTAAATCTCCGAGTAACCCATACACAAACCCCTTCCGGACTCGGAGTTGCGGGAACAAACAGCGGAGTCAACGGAAGTGACTTGTGCTGGACTCCGAATTTGAGGCGGATTGAACTGCTGTTTATGTAAATGCTGTCAAATAGTTGGCTAGTGAGCACTTGCTGATCTCCTAAGCAGGTGCCCTCGGAGCGACGTCATCAGACGGTATAAGTACCACCTTGTTGCAAGGTCTATCATGATCACGACGGAGCGTGATATGTAATGGTGTTGGAAGATAATCGATGATCTGTCAATATTTCAATCACCTATCATGCTGTGTAATCATGTGAGATATGAGTTTAAAGGGACCCTAAACCGTTCATTGGTCTTTGAGTCCGCTGAGATGAATGTGTATGCTGACCGCTTTACAGCATGTAAAGGCACATCGGTTCGCGCTCACAAAAGCTCCCCGCTATAGATTTTTCGAGACCTGACTTAGCACAACTGCCCATGCCACATTTCTTTCCATCTTCAGATTTGTCACACGATTCGCAGCAGGGTTTTACAACAAATACCCTCGTTGAGCTGGCAACGGAATCCTATCGTGGAAAGTTGAAATTCTGTCAGGTCCGCACACTGGGTCGATTTCTGCTCTGGCACGAGCCTCGTCAGAGAACTGGTGGACATATATCAGTTAGGATGATATAGATAGCAATATATAGTACACAATCATTACCGAAGTAAGAACGTGTGCAAAGTTGATGACATCTACGATTTTCAACTGAAAGGACTTCACAAGGAAGAAAAAGGCTCGTATTTACCATCTCAGACCCGACTGATTAGCAAAGAGCTATGAAAACTTCAAGAGGCCAACATGATGCCTTACCAATGTATGCAATTACAGCAACAGCTTTCATGAACTTGACTCCCGTGATCGAGGGTTTCAATGATTATACGCATAGTCTTCTGAAATAGAGGTCACGAAGGGATCATTCCTTGGCCCGAGCCAATACGTGACCGCCATGATGAATGACGCCGTGACTCCGTTTTCAAATCAACGTGATCGGGTAGACCTACATTATTGATCGCAGCTAGGGACCGACGTGTTGAGGCGTTCCATAATACCCTTAGGGGTTTCCAAGAGATTTATCACGAGCTCATGGACCCTGCGGAGATCATATACGGATCCTGGTACCTCGAATTTGATACTTCAATATTTCGATACGGAACCGATATAAACTTACACGAGGCAGCCGCGCAGCACAGGCTCTTCCTCGCCGTTGGACAGGTGACTATTCTCCCATGTACGATGATCACTTGCAAATGCCTTCTTGCGCCAACGGCTTCTGAATGTGAAACTTGCCCTAAGTAGATGTGGGAGGTCGGTGTCAGCTCAAGCCAAACCGGCTGAGCCCGTGGAATCATCAAACTTGAAGGTAGAGAACAGAACGACCAGGGAAACATCGCAATCCATTCCGAAATCCAGAATGCTATATCTGTACCCAACACTGGTATGAGGTGGTGCAGGCATAGTGCGTGCGACCTGGTGCCATAAATACATGCAGGTAAGTGTTCTTTCCTTAGAAACAATGACCTTGCTTCCCACTGTAGGGGTATCTCTCTATGTATCCGGGGGACAAGCTACTTCGAGATGTCTAGTGGTGGGAGAGGAGTCACACCAGATCTTTCTGCTTGAGCTCGCGTGTGACAAAATGCCAGATGTAGTGCGACCATCCCTCGATAACGCCAGCACCTGATATGAGATGCAAACAATCTCCTCCGGCATGCTGGTAGGACAGTTGCTTATGAGATATGAACTGTGGGTGAGACTAGAATTGGCTTACAGAATCGGGACGCAGCCTTCCCGGTCGCTCAATAGGAAGATAGTGGATGTCTGGGAACTCAGATGATGACAGCAACTCCTTGGAGAAAGTCAGCATCCTCACACCTCATATTCGTCTCGAAATACTGACCTGGAATGCTGTGTTGAAGTCCGGAATCCACGGCCAATTATACCACAAATTGGCCCATGGCGTGATTGTCTCCGTGGGCTCGAATATGTTGTGGCAATTCTCGTGACCAGGCAGGTACGCTCTAACGACTACCTGTTTTGGACGTTTGCCACCATTTATATGGTATTCGGTGATGGCGTCTTGCACTTCAGTTGCCCAAGTCCGCATCGCGACCTTGAAGAACGCAAGAACATTATGGATACCATAACCTGCATCCTCTCCAGCGTCCTCATCGCGGAATGCACGCAATGTGCCAGTTGTCCAGTGTCCGGCAGTACTCACAACCAGGGTGCCATAGTTGGCATCCGGAGGTGAATCAAGGAATGTGGGCATATATTCTGATGGGGAAAGCGACCAAAATCCCTCATCGCCAAATACGGACTCTGCCTTGGTGTATTGAGAACCGGGATCTTGACTGTCCAAGTCGGTGGGTTCAATAGAAAATGCTGAACTGTGATATATCGTGTCTAATTGTGTTCCGTTAAGAAGAAAGTCAACACGTCGGAATGAAACGAGTGGTGTGTTCTCGATTGAGAAGCCCTCCGGCATGGTGATTTCGGGTATTATGGGGGACGACGGCGACAGGAATAATTTTTGCTCCCATGCACGGTCAAAGTAGGGATTTTCTGTGTAATTTGGGGTTGCACGGACGTGCGGGTATAACAGACACGACAGCGAAAAGAAATGGCCTTCCGTTATTGAGTCTAAAAGGGAGGGAAACTAATGCATGAGAGCCAAACGGCAAAGGACAGAGCCGACATACCACCCAGTAAAAGCCACCCTCCATTCTCGACCATGTCCTTGACCATCGCTGCCTTATTGAGAGGGCGGACATCACACTGGCTCGAAGGTAACCATTTGTATGAGGAGACCTTAGGAAATCTATTCCATGCTTCCTCGCTGTCTGTGCCCAAATGCCAGTGATATTCACGGTCTGCAGCACAACCCTCAAAGCCCGCGAGAGAAAGTGCCTGTTCTGGACTCGTTAAATTCACTAAATCAGACGTTGGGCTATATACCCAACGCCCGTTTGACCACTGTTCTGGAGGGCATGGAGTATGTTGGTCGCTGCTGTGAGAATATTGAAGACCAGTCTGATATGCGAAAAGAATACGAGGAAGAGAATGTGTAGAGTGTGATCGCGAAGGTGACAATGGCAGCAAGTAAAAAGACTTTTGAGGACAAGGACCGGGGTCGGATGGAGAGCAGCGAAGGGATCTTGGCCATAATAGATGGCGGATAACTTAAAGAAGTCGAATTGGAAAGTCAAGGGAAATGTGATGGGCGTTTTGAGCTGCGGCTCCACATCGTGTGCACAAGTGATTGCCTTACTAGCCAAGCCTTCCTTAAGCTTCCTTGACTGCGCAGCTGATCGTTTTAAAATTAGCCGAAATGGTGCCACAGAATGTGCCTGCTCCCACGTCTACAGGGTACCAGCTGATCAACCTGTACATGGTATACGTACTAGTAGTATCTACTTGTCGAAAACATTCCAACAATATTTACGGTCAGTTCTCAAGAATTGTGAGGATGACTAAGCGCGTGCCCCGGATCACGCAAGCTTAGCGTTGACCGGGACCCCGGACAGCGCACGCTCATACAGTCGAGCAATTGTGGCTACCGTGCCCCATCCATACATGAGCTGCTGAACCCTCTAGACTCACCATATATTAAAAAAATTGTACCGAGACGCGGGATGGATTCTATAGGAAAGCGGACCTGTACATATTAGAAGGAACGACTATCTTCCTTCGTCTATAAAGGGCTGACACCGGTTCTAAATATACAAATGTTGCACTGTTAGGCAAGTACTGTTACTCAGCTACATGATAGCTTGAGCCTAGGCCCGACTATTAGATCTCGTACGAATGCACCTTGCATATATCACCTAGAAATTCTAGTGTCAATGCACGTATAGAGTTCGATAGGAAAAGACTCACAGTGGTCAGGCGCTTCCGAACACCTCGTAACTCAGATGTGCATCTTATTCACAGCGTGGTGAACCTGTGGCCGCGCCGCAGTACTGCCGTATTTCATTCGTTTGCGGATACCATGAGTCGGATGGAATCTATTCAACAGTCCTCTCAAGCTCCAACAACCCTGCCTGGCGATGTTGTCTCTGCTTTACACACGCTACATGAATTTGTTGCTACTGCAATGTGCATCCCTCCGCAGATAATCGTTACTTGCAGAGATGATAAACGTGCGTTTGGAAGAGCAGCGTTGCAGGCTATGAGCTACAGGGCAAGCGCCCCCTTGTCCAGACTCGCTTTTCATGATCTGAAACAATTGCAGAAAGCAGTAGACATGTTCATTACCAGATTTGCCACGAAAGAAGACTGGTGGATATCTGAGTATCGGTACAAGCCCGAGGTCACGATTTATGGTCGATTCTATCGACAACATGGCGAAGAGGATGATGGTATGGTCATCCTCGACGAGCGAGGATGGTCCGAACTCGTTGGCAATGTCGTGAAAAGTGACAATCGTCTTCACGTCGCTCAAATTCACCGTCACGACGTATGTTCTGGCTCCAATGTTTGGCGTTTGAATGAGCTGAGTTTCTGGCAGGCAATCATCCTCGAAAGCATGATCCGCGACTCCAGCTAATATGATAAGGATCGCAACGAACCGAATAACGGTTATCTTGGGACTTGAGTCACATTCAATCAGTGTAGCAGAAACGGATATATAGATTCAGTTTGGTAGTTTTGTAGCTTTCACCACTATCTAGAAGACCATCATCGCCAGATGTACAAAACAAAAGGCATAGCGCTGCTAGCGAAAGCGAAGCTGCAGAAGTCCTTCTACGCCGAAGAATAATGTCCCTTCCTCATGAGCATAAGCGGAAGAGTGATAAGGAATCGGCGAAGTTGAAAGAATAAAAAAAACTGCTTTGACGCGAACTTATGTGGCTCGGTGATTTCCGGACCATTCGGAAATCACCGCTCAGCCTTAGCATGGTATGTGAATCAGATATCGATACTCTTCGACGGTTCCTGTGCATTATTGTCTTGCTTGTATTGTCTGCTTGCTGTCTGCGGTACAGCTTATTCCACACCGGTTTGGATGCAACTGCAGTGTCCATTCCAATTTCAGCTGTGCGATCCGTGTGCTTATACTTATTATTGTCCAAGTAATTGACGCTCAGGCAGCCTCAGCTTGCCTTCACAACCATATAAAGCATTTTAAGGTGCAACTGGACTCTGTCAAACTTCCCCGTCTTTCTTCATTAACAAAGTCTCCCGTGATCAGACCATATAGAAGGAAGATAGTCGCTCCTTCCGTATCATGTCGGTGACACGGTTCGTGCCTTCGATAGAATGCCTTCACTGTCACAAAGTTATGGCGGCTCGGGAGCTAAATCTTCATATTCGAGAGAAGCACAATCTCGCGAGAGATTTCCAGGCGTTGTATGCCAGGAACTCTGGTTATCATGGTGATCCGCATCGACCCGCAGCTTCTCCTCAATCGTCCACAGGCAACTTGACAAGCACTCCTTCTGAATCAAGCAATACACTGAGCACAGAATCCGATCTTACGCTGAGTACAATTTCAAGCACACGGTTTTCTGTTTGGCAGCAGCAGAATCCCGTTCGACCTCCCGCACCAACGACCATCGATGACATTGCGCTATCTCGTAATCACCGAACGGACTCTCCCCAGACTTCTACACAGCATCTTCGCAACTCAGTGAGGTTTCAGGTGCAGGATCTGGTAGATGAATTTGAGGGCGTGGATGCAGCAGCGAGACAGGCATGCATCAAAGGGATGCGGTGCATGCCCATTTTTCCGGTCAGTGGGACCTTCGTTGTGAAACTGCGCAGGGGGTCTGACAGCGTCTACGGATAGGCAATGTACGCGCATGTGTATACACACCTTAATGTCTGTGCCCCCGATAAGCCGAAGTACATGCATGACCTATCTTCATTATTTAATCTAACGTTGCTGTAGCCTGCTGATAGACCTGGAGAAGATGAGAAAAGATTGGGTATCACGGGACAACATGTGGTGTCTTATAAATTTCAAGGCCATCAAGGATGCATTGTCTGGACTAATGAGCCAGGTCAGCGCTTGCCCTCCCTCGTTGCGTATCGAGTGTGATTCAACTGATCTTGTCCAGGCTCATGTGGAGTTGCACGTCTGTAACCAATCTCTTACCGGCCAGTCCAGACTACACGCGCTAGATATTCAAGATATCGGGGCATTGATTGCCAGTTGTTCAACCGACTCACATGCTACTTCTCAGCTAATCACGCTCAAAGACGATAAGGCCCAGTCTATGCTAGACTTACTGCAGGCGGTAAGGCCGACGCATTTTCGACACCATCGTTCCTGACTTGCTCGTAGCTGCTCGTAATGAAGTCGGATCAATTAGAAGGATGGTACAAATGTCGGTTCTTGGATACTATCATCCGACTGTCGAGGAAGTCGGGTCATTTCCCTCGGAGTCTGCAGCTTCGCCGAATCGATAACCTGCAGCCAACCAGCCTCCATGGTGGGTCTGGAGTAATTTCCAAAGGTGAACTCCTTGGTCGCGTCGTAGCCGTGAAAGAGATTCAGGCCGTCGGCCGAACTACCGAGCAGTTTCTGAAGGTTAGTATGGTTCTTGCGTACCAAGGAGACTTCGATAACATCACTGCCTGTAGGATTTCTCGAATGAGGCAGTCGTTTGGTGTCACATCCAGCATTCCAGCTGCCTTCCATTCTACGGTGTATTCCATCTTAATGATGGTGCACCTAGGACCTGTCTGGTGTCTCCTTGGATGAAGAATGGACATTTGAACGCGTATCTACAGCGAACTGATGCTGATCGTGCACCTCTGGTCAGTGATAGAATTCTGGTTTTCGGTGCTTACTGAAATAAATGACCAGGTATTGGATATTGCGCGGGGTCTCGAATACCTCCATGGAATGCAACCTACAATCGTTCATGGTGACTTGAAAGGGGTATGCCGATGCTTTGATCGTCGAGAACGCCACTGAATATTTGTTATAAGGTCAATATTCTGGTTTCCTCCTCTGGACGTGCGTGTTTGGCGGACTTCGGCCTTGCAACCACACAAGACTCTCAAGCCCAGCTTCAGACCACCATAATTTCTGTTGCGGGAACCCCCTCCTTCATGGCGCCTGAACTTCTGGAGGCACGTGCAAATTCACGCCTGTTGTCAGCCCTGGATAGACGCCCATGTGATATATTCGCATTTGGCTGCATATGTTACGAGGTACGGATCCCCATCGTCATGCCTAACCATGAACTGATCACTTTCCAGATGTATAATGGAATGCGTCCATTCTGGGACTTGTCCCCACAGGCAGTGGATGCCAATTTCATAATTGGAAGCCGTCCCTCACGTCCTTCGGATAACGTGTGCTTTCAACGAGGACTGGATGATGACATGTGGGATTTCATCCAGAATTTATGGCACCAGGATCCAAAGCTTCGAGCCACTGCTAGCCAAGCTTCTTTGTGGATGTCGTATAAGATGCGCATGGCAGGCAAAAGCACGGACAGGCCACCCGCGGAAATGGAGTGGGACATTGACTTTTTGACGGAATGCACCACGGAATTGGCTGATTTTGACCCTCTTTCTTTTGCATAAGTAGCACCACAAGTTCGTACCGACGTTGATTTCGCTCTCTGATGTAGAATTAATGTACCAAAATTTCTGTCACGCGCCATACCCAATGTTGAAGCATCATGCACATACCTCACTGCAGCGGTAGCAACATGTCATTTTAGCTTATCTCTTCGTTTGTCTTGACAATCATCTGTCCGTGCACCAGCCGCTTTTTGACTTGAAATGATATTGGTCTGATATCTTCACTGTGCAATAGAACAATCTCAAATCTTGACGGACGAAGTCAACTCGCGTGCTTCAAGGCGATAGGCAACGATACAACCGTGCATCACAGTCATGTTTATATGTAGACAGTAGACTAGTTTGTATTTGTATTATACACAGAATTTAAGCTAAAAAACCACAAACCTAGACGCTAAACCTAAATTCCTCTTCCTGCCAGCTATCCCCAAAGGCAATCCCGATCCCCGGAACTTTCGACATACTACTCTTCACATGTGCACTTGCCCTCGGCTGTGTTCCCAATTTCCCACTTGCTGGACCTGCTTGGGGTTTAGTACCAGTGGCTAGTGCACTTGCGGGACGCGTCCTAGTCATCACGGTAGTAGATGGCGCTCGAGATACAGTTGTCGAAGGCGCACGCGTTGAGGGCGTTCTAGATGGGTGTCCCCTCACGACTGTAGCACTTGATGTTGGGCGGGCCGGTGGTTTCGAAGTTGTCATACCTAGACGCGTAACGGCGGGACGAGAAACAGTTTGTGGGCCAGATCTTGGACGGGAGGTATCAGCCGGAGTCGAATGGGCTACTGTGGATGCAGCGCGAATAGTTCTCGACGTTGTAGTTTGGGTTGGACGAGTAGTGTTCTTCGATGGCGGAAGAGCTCGAGTCACCTCGGGCACAGGCTTCGGTGCAGGATTGGCCGGCGAGAAAGGACTATCGTCATCTGATGGTACGCAACGGAAGTCAGGATCAGGATAGACATTGTGTAGCATTAGCTTACCAATATGGGGGAGAGATAAATCGTCTAGGGCGAAGAATTTGTCATCAGATTCAGCTGCCGTGAATTCCGTGATTGTAAGATGCGTCGGTATATCGTCGATCGGGTAGGAGTGGGTAAGAGCGAGGAGCGTTCTCCCGACTTCTTTATAATCCGGAAGTTCAAACGGAGATTCGTATGGCAATTCTACTCACGTTGATACATCAGCAGAAGAAAGCGTTTGTCAAGGTTACCCACCAGGTAACTTTGGAGGCATGTACTCAATTTCGTCGTAGTCTTCTTCTTCAACCGATTGGCTGGGTGCCGCTATGACCTCTGGATTGATGTCTATATCACTAACATCCCAGTGATTTCCACCAGTGAGTGGTGTCTGAAAGCTCTTGCTGGCGCTGCGGGGAAGTCTAATATGTTTTCGTGCGGAACTTGGGCGAAGAAGTGCACCAGGCGTGACATCAAAGATAGGCTTTGTCATTTGTAATGGTGTGGCATGGTTGACGATGCGGTTGGGAAAGGGCGTTTTGTCCCCCAGAGGTCGGGAAGGTGCGAGTATGACTGGTTCCTTTCCCTTGGATTTGGTTGTTCCATCATGACCTTTGAGGATCTTCTGTGGTTCTACCGTACCTTGTAAGAGTAGGTAACGCGGTCTTAAAAAAGAAAAGTAGCTCACGCAATGTATTGAGGTGAAACGGAGTTTGTGACAATGCTGCTTTCTTCGCTTTCCCGTCGACTGTGACGGGTACGTGGCGACCGACGTTTTCCTGGAGTGCACTTCGTGATTTCAGCATTCTATTGCCTGGGGTCTTCGTCAAATTGCGGTAGTCGCCCTCAAATGCTATACCTATTGGGCGGGAGCTGATCATCGCGGCAGTTGGCGAAATGGGTTTGATTTTAGTGACTACAGTCTACTACTTAGTACTTAGTGTTTGCGAGTGTGCCACAGACACGGTCACGTGAAAGTCACGTGCATTCAATACACACGTCGGCCACCCTCGACTGTACCACTTAGAACAACATTTGCTCCTGTAGTATTGGTGCGTGCTCGTTTCTTGATGTCGTGCTCCTGGTGCTCCCGCACTATCTAGAGTCTTTGCTTAGCCTACGCGAATTACTACTTGCGCTCCTCGCCACGTTTGAAACTTAGGTTCGGATAACCTTACCTCTCCCAGTCGTCCATGCTACTTAATGATATATGCTATTAGGGACTTTATTCACCAGGGCAGACCGCAGGCCTGGATTTCAAGGACTAAAACTCGATGCCAATTGGACGTACACTTAAAAGGCTCTGTTAGCCTTCTTCAATTCAGCCCAAGTTTCACATGCCGAAGCTCAAGGTTCTCTGGCCCGAACACGCTAAGATTCTAGGTGTCACTCGCCCGTTTTTACTTATAATTTATGTCAGGCGCGGATAGACTTACCACCTCACCATGACGGTCACATCACCGTTCACCCCGAATTCTTCTATGGGACTTACAACAAAAGATCTTGAATGTGAAGTGACTATCCTCAAAGCATCTCCCTCTCTCAACTTCACAACGAAGCATGGCTTCTGGTCCTGCTGTCGTCAAGGCTCGGCAGCCTACCCTCACCTGTTCCATTCAACGCCATAATACAGGAACACCCGCGTGTTTTTCACAAGAGACAGCACGAGGAAGGAGAGTACTGATGTCATGAAATAACAAGCCTCGTCATACTGTGCGTTTGGATCAGCATCATGCAAGTTCTATAACATCCTAATTTACAGCTGAGTTAGCTTAGCCCCCACAGGTCCATATTGGCGTATACGACGATGAGCCTTACACCTTGGGTCACTGGCAAACATATCGTTTGATTGTCCTACTGGTCAGAAGGTGTGTCTACTTTTCATGTTGGTCAAACTGTACTCGTGTGCTGGCAAGCTCGGATTTCTTGCTGCCATTTAATCAAGCTAATTATAACAGCGGTCCCTGAGACTCGCAAACTGTAGGACAACCTCAGAACGTCGGTGCTTACAAGTTTGCACCCTACATGGCTGATGACTTGGGTCATCGCTTCTTAACTATCTTTGGTGCAAGTTTGATAATTGCCGCCACTGTGATGCAGACCGCCAGTAGTTCTGTGCAGACGTTCATTGGAGTCCGATACTGGCACTGCGACTCATTCCCGACATCTTTACAATTTCCAAACATTCGCAGCTACTGCAGCCCCACTATTTATCACCGAGGTCGCATATCCTGCCCACCGTGCTAAAGTAACTTCGTTGTGCAACCTGTTATGGTGGGTTGTTTTAGTGATTTCATGAGGACGTGTTCTCATCATCATGCTTCAGGTACTTTTGGAGTATCTTGTAAGATTTTCGCATCACAAGATTCGATTTCATTCCAGCTCACCAGTTGCTCCACGTAGCCCGGCATGAAGCGTGAGTTGTCATTTGAAATAATAAAAACCAAGGTTATCGTCTTTGCAGACTTATGGCACCTTCACTATCTCGACCAGCTGAGCGTGGAGAATGCCTTCTGCACTTCAAGTATTTCATCCGTGATACAAGTCTGGTTGATCTGGTTAGTCCCCAAATCTCCACGGTGGCTCATGAAATCCGACGCTCAGTCTGCAATGGAAGTGTCGTGAGCTCTCTCTCAAATTCCTGTCATATTTCATTCATTTAATGTTTATCTCGGCTGGTGTACATTTTCTGGCTGTGTTTGAAGCTGTCTTCTGCTACTTCTTCATCGTTGAGACGAGGAATGTGTGTTGCATTTTGTTGCTCGTACCTCATCCTCGGTTCACGAAACTCTCGTCAGCGCACTCTCGAAGCAACTGCTGCATATGTCACAGTGACAACAGTGACGATGACTGCGAGATTTGATCCTCACAGCTTCTTCCTCAGCATTTTTGACAGTGACGAAGGCATGGCCCAGACACATGAGAATGGTGTCGCACACACAGGTCTTGCGCCGAAGTTGGAGTCTGATGTTACTACGACACATTAAGTCTTGCAAGATCAGGGGAAAATCATAAAAGTACCGCCGAGTGGTCCGATCAGAATCACTGTACATGGGTAATGAACAGAGTAAGAGAGGCACGAAATGCATTCAGTATAAACAAACAATCCCGTGTGCGTCAAGACGTCTTTTACTCCCCAACTTGCAATGTCATGTACTGATCCGTTCATCTTTGCGTCAACTTTCAACCCTCCAGCTGTATTTAGATTTCAAAAATAATCCAACGCTACAAGCTCGTCAGTCCTGTTCGACATAATTTCCAGGACCTACTCACTAATACCACTATCCACATCGTCAGAATCTAGGTTGTTCTCTGCAGCGCTGACCGCTAGGATCTGTGCGAAGGTAACTGACAAGAGTAGAACATAGAAACTAAGTTTGCTGATGTTAAGCACAGTCATGTTGATTATATTCTTCGCTGAGGTATAGTTTGAAGATGCGTTGTTTTAAGGTGAGATGGGGAGTTGCACCCTTTAAATACTAATTCGTGAGCATACAAGGAAGCATATCGGTTATCCCACTTGACCATTATTCAATTGACTTGATCATCAAATCTGAAGTGCGTTACTCTCGGCTAAATTATTTCTAGATGTGATTGATTGTTCTGATGGAACTGATACCACGGCTGTAAGTACTAGCATATCACATTGTACTTCAAGTTTTGGGGTGCGGATACGTTATAATTCCCCGGGGAGCATTCAACTGCAGCATTTCTCTCTACTTCCACCGTGGAAAATACTAATCTCCGTAAAGCACGTTCTGTACTGTTTCGCTTTGGTATCAGAAGTCCTGACGTGATGATGCTCTCCGATCAAGGGATTAGCTTCGGTGGATGGCGCTCATGCGCAGTAGTGCGCACCATCATTTATATCTTCGAATTGTAAAGAACCTTGTTTCTCTACGCCCCGCCTACCTCCGACTCTCCCATGTACGCTCATCCCCAAGCACGTCCGAAAGTCTCAAGAAAAGTCACCGTCCTTATCGCTCGTAATATCTCGGTTTCGTGTTGTCCATGCACACGTCCTATCAATCTATGTCATCACCGATCACGATTCCCCTTCGAACTCACTATCAGCCTTACAAAATCCATTCGTACGTCATCGTTGGTGAATAGGCAAAGCTGAGCTATCGATTCGCTTCCGTGCAATCATGATGGCCGCACCCCGCAGAAGTCGGCACTTCCATAAAACTCGTATTTATAGCTACTTAAATTCTCAACATAGATATCATTAATCTCTCTCTAATACAGCTCATTACGAGGTTGACAATTACTTTTATATTGATAGCTAGACCAGATTTCATTTTTTCTTCTTATTTACCTGTGGAACTGGATAAACAAAAGGGTCTCGCTTGTTACGGTACCTTTGGTCGGGCGAAATACCCTTGAACAGTGCTGGTCATGGGGCTGTTCGACATTCGCAAGTCCAGTAGCGTTAGACGAGGAAAGCTGCAAGTTTCGTCAGACCCACCATGAGTACTTCATGCATTCGGGCTGCGAATTGCAATTGGGGCTAATCATCATCGAACTTGCATAGACTCGGACAACCTCATCCATACATGATTGTACATGGTCTCACTACACATCCTTTCCATTTTACAACCACAGCACTGATTGATGGTCACACTCGTACTTAGCCATGTCTACTAATAAATACTGTATTTGCTCGCTCACGTCGATTCAATACTAACTGAACTCGCGCTCTTGCTTGACGTGACTGTCGAGCTAACCTTGAAACACATGCTATTACAGTAACATTTGCATAACTGCTAACTTCTGTAGGGTGCTGATTGCACCGGAAGGGATAGTACACGAGGAAGATGCGGTGGAAGGAGGTACCTGACCCATTTAGAGTATGAGGCTCGCGTTATATCAATATAACACTATGGGCTGACTAACCCGATAATTGGTTTGCCTCCGTCTACTACGTGGTCTCGTAGCTCCGAGACGCTTAAAATTTCTTCTAAGTCTAGTTCAAGTACTAGGCACATCCTACGTTGGATTATACATCCAAGTTGCCTCGGGTTATGTGTGGGGCTAAAAAGTCGTTTCCGCGGCGACTCTCGAGTTTGAGTGCTGAGAGCGTCGCGCTCCTCCTATCTCGTGTTCTCGATGCAAAGCTCGCAAGTCGAATGTAGAACCGATTAAATTTCTTTGCATTCTGGACAACATTAAAACCTATCTTACATATCGATAATCCTGCTCTGTGAGTGATCATCGAGTATCACCGTGAGAGCCTTCCTACGAGTTGGGTGAAATCGACATCCGCACCGCGTCGACGAAATTGGCGGATACATTGGTGCGACGGTTTGTCCGCCTTCACAGCCATGAACAGAATGTCATCAGGTAGCGTGACCTCCGGTAGTGACAGTAAGTAATTCATGGCGACTTCGCTTCCGGTCACAGCTGCCCACGAAATTGGAGTATGGGAGCTGCTACAATTGTATCGGCCATACAAACCAGGTTTGAACGAAGAAGGCTTATTGAGATCGACGCTCCTATTCAGGAGAATCCGGAGGCAGCGAGGGTTCTTGGCTATGACGAAAATCATGGAAGAACCCCAACCAGGGGCAAGATCCATGTCCGGTGGATAGGGGTACTTCTTGACGAAATGTTCGACTATCCACGGCTTGCCGTGCTCAAGTAGGATGAATAAAAGTGAGGGCGAAGTTTCAGTGGTATCCAACCCCCTGGTTTTATACTCAAATTCGCCTGGAGCAAGCACAGGGTGTTTCGCATTGTTTCGAAGAAACTTCGTGTTCAGCCGCGTCAGGGCGGTCATAACGTCAGGATCTTCATCCGAAACATGTCCGAGGTGCTTCCATACTTGGTTTGCATAGCTCTGCAACGGATGGTCTTCACTGACATCGTCACGATGTGACAATTGTGAATGGCGTCGTATAGCTGGATGTTCACATATCAAAACATCAGTTCCTAAGCTCATATACGTGAAAGATAGTATCACACCTTCTGGGTATATCTCATCTACAGAGACAAAGTCGTATAATACATACGTAATCAAGAGCTTGCAGATCCGTGTGTGTATGCCTGAGATCGATTTGAAGATGCCTTTAGAACAAGTGATCAAGTATTCCTGGTTGCAAGCACATCAGCCGGCGAGCAGGATGACAAAGATTGATATATCATACTTTGACACTATGATGAAATAGAGCGACGACCCTAGTTTTCTCATCGTAGGTCACGAGGCTTCCGCACGCGGCCACGATATCCATAGGATTCTTAACGCCATAGTTCAGATTAAGCTTTGGTTGTCCGACTTCAATCATCATCGCTCCGTTAAGCTGATAAAAAACCAACGGGGTGAATGCGCCGGCCAGCCAAAGTAAACAACTGTGGGCGATTTGGTTATCCCTTGGTCCTCTCCGTCCGATAGCCTCGATAATCCTATTATAGGTCTCGTAAAGACCAGCTGGAATTTTATCGAGGGTTGGCTCAATATCGACGAGTTTGTTGCAAGCCACGATTTCGTCCAGTTGACACTGAACCCAGCGAAACCTGCGTGCGATCATATGCCGATGAAGTTCCAAAAAGCGAGCGGAATTTGCTTTACTCACATGCCCTGGGCGTTTTCCAACAATTTCTCCGAAATTGTCTTCTTCAGCGCATCGGGTAGTTGTGACAAACGCTTCTGATTTTCCAGCTGCTCCTCAATGTGCACGCGGATGTCTTTCATTTGTCGTGCGTTGTCCTTCAGCGACAATTTGGAGATGGGGAGACCATGAAAGGCGTCTTGGACGTCTGGCATGCTTCTACTGGTGATGAAAAATCGTAGTCGAGTATCTTCAGGAAGTTTTTCAAGATGTCTGATTAGGTCGAGGTAGTCCTTGCATTCATCCAAGGCGTCAATCACAAGAACTGGTCGATGAACCATCTCGGACACCTCAACAAGAAGCTTTAGTAGAGACTCCAGATGTGTGGGATGAGGCTTTGCATCATAGTTTTGCTGCCAGAATGTTTGCAGAGAAACAAGGCCCCCTTTTTTGTTCGATTCTTGCTGCTTGCCTATCTGTGTGATCCAGTCGAGCTCAGATTGTTGAAGCAGCTGAACGATCAAGGAGCGGAATACTGCAGCCGCGTTTGTGGTCCTGTCGTCTTGAAAACTGCAATAGAAGTAACCGAGCGTCTGTGGCTCTTTTATATTGCTACCCTGAATTTTGTTGATAATGGAAGAACTGTTCAGAAGTTAATCTGAGCTCTCTGACAACTCTTCAGGTGAGTCTGAACCTACGCTAGTATTGTCTTTCCATGTCCAGCTGTTGCTAGTATCAACAACCTGCATATAATGGTGAATGATACAACTCACGCTGGCCATTCAACTATAGAAACGCGTAATCTGAATTATTCCAGTCCTTATACTCTTTGGCGTCGAAAATCCAATGACCGATCTTGGGGTTGCGTTGACGACAAGAGGCATTGTGCTTCTCAATACAGGACACAGGGTTCATCCATTTAAGGAACTGTCGACGTTGCTCATCTATGCACATTGAACACGATGAGAAAACAGCTGGCGGTAAGTCGTTTACCTTTCTGGTGCTTGTTTAATTCCTGGACTGTTTGATCGACGTTCTTGAGGATTTTCCTGGCGCTGTGTTAGCATTAGCAATCATCACGAGCGAGTCAACTCACCGCGGGTCTATTGTTAGAATTACTGTGATGTCGCGATAATAGCCTCTCAATTTTTCAGCAATCCGTTCTGCTTCTTTTTTCCTGAACGGCCAAAAAAGTTTGGATATGGCGCGCATGTTCTTCCTCTCCTCCTCGTTCAGTTGGAGTTCCTTCAGTTCTCCCTTCAACTTCGTGACTGGTCTATCTTCGGACACCAGTCGCGAAACAGAAAATTGGAGATCGTCTGAAAGAGAGGTATCTTTCTCGATCATCATGATCGTGGTCAGGATTCCAAGGATTGAATCGAATTCATGCAGCAGACTCTGATAGGACGAGTCAGCGTTCTTCAAAGAATTAACATAATCACGGAGAAGAGCTGCAGCTTGCACTACTGCTTGAATGGTTTGGAAAATAGTGATACTGCTAACGGTGATAGTGCATAGGGGATTCATCATATGGGGAGGTGGAAATGTAAGCCTAGGCGCTCAGCAGCACCCTGACTTTGAACCAAGGAAAGGCGCTTGGCATTAGTCCATTTACATCGAAATCATAATGCAGGGACCCAGCCGCGATGACCGGTAAGGTCTGATATAAAGCACATGCGGCAGTATAGACGTTAGAACTAGATAATTTTAGCGAGTACTTATCCAATGAGTGACGTTGAAGAGAATAACCGCCAGAGAAGCCAGCGCCTGTTGGCTAGGGTCCCGGGAATTTGCACCAGGCAAATTTGCCCAGCTAATTTACCCTGCAAATTTACCGTGAATGACAGTGTCAATTTCACACCCTCGAAAACATAGTGTCAATTTGGGTGAATTTGTTTCTACTGGACCCAGAACACCTGAAAAGCTTATATATGATATACTGGACAATCCTGACAGCTCAGACGCTTGAAAGATTTGCATAGCTTATTGTGGCTCTAGTATCTACATAGTTGAAATAAAATTTATATTTGGTCGAACACCATTATGCCGATGACGACCGAAATATTATGAAAATTAAGAACTTGAAATCAGTCCGTAATAATTCCAACAGCGTTACAGCTTACATGGAGCCAAATCTCAAGGATCGACTGGCTGAACTGCGACACAAGCATGGCGAAAGAGTGGCGGAAAGAAGCAAGAGAGTATATGGCGTCCCAGGCAACAGGAGGGAAAGCAAAGGTCGCAGAAGAAGCATTGGACTCGGATTCTAACGAACATGTTCTTGCGTCGGAGGTAACAGAACGGCCAATGAAGAAAGCGAGAATGGAGTTGCAGGCTGCATCAAGTTCAAAATCAGTCATGCCATTCAATAAGGCATATGTTACGGAAGGAACAAAGCAGTTGAAGATGAATGGGGATCACGCACTGATGCTATTCGTTACGTGCACTGGAGTTCCGCCAGATATCATCAATAAGCTTCATCGACGACACCAATGGATGACGAGTGGGAGACATGGGAGTCTGTAGAGTAAATTACAGTCAATTAGGTGAAATTCACCTGCAAATTAACGCTAATCAGCGTCAAAAGCTGGAGCTTTCGGGGGCTCTGCCCCCGAACCCCCGTCAGTAAATTTGTGTGAATTTCGTGTCATTCACACCTGTAAATTTGGCCCTCTGCGAGGGCCATGCTAATTAGCCTGTCAACCAGACGCCATACCCTAATTCCCGGGACCCTACTGTTGGCCTATTTGTAACGCTGAGACCCTGCATTGTTGCAGATAATCAAGAAGATTGACCGCTACTCCGATAACGTTCGTGCGCCCATTGACCCATTTGTAACGCTGAGACCCTGCATTGTTGCAGATAATCAAGAAGACTGACCGCTACTCCGATAACGTTCGAGCGCCCATTGGCTCATTTGTAACGCTGAGACCCTGCGTTGGCGCTAGGTAGATGATTGATAAGACTGACCGCTACTCAGCCGATAACATTCGTATGCCCATTGGCCTATTTGTAACGCTGAGACCCTGCATCAGTGGCGCCTATTGTATATATCGATGATCCAAATAACCTGAAGCTTGGGAATCCGGATATTGCTTGAATGGCCGCTTAGGCGCTCAGCAGCGTCGTGGCTTTGAACCAGACGCCCATTAGTCCATTTGCAACATTGAGACCACATGTAGTGGATGATCGATCAGTACTGAGTACCTTATCTAACGAAGAGAATAACCGCCGGAAGCAAAGTTAAGGGCCTGCTAGATCAACACATGATGTATGTAGTACAGGTTTGTTATCATTTTACTCTGACTCGTCAAGTTGTCACTTAGCGCTGTAACTTAATACTCCAATAACGTTCATACGCCATCTCATCGAACGTTCATATCATGCGGCATGCCCATTGGCCGCCTATTTGTAACGCTGAGACGCTGCATTGGCGCCTATTGTAGATGACAGATCGATGAGACTGACCGCTACCAGTAACCCCGACGATGCCCTTGCAGACACTTCGATTGTTCTGGGCCGGGCCAAGCCGAGCCTCAAGGACGGCCCATGATCCCATATGATGTTCGTCATGCCTATATAGCCGCCTGACTGGTTGGTTGTGTACTACTACCTTTCATTTCTGTCCTCTCACCTTAGACTCTTCCCAATCCTTGGCTCCATCCCTGAAACCCTTCCATCAAACTCATGTCGGGAGAATCAATCGCTTCAAAACATAGTAGCACAGACAGTGCCTACCTTGATGAGTGAGTCGCAACTTTCCTGGAATCTCAGTTCCCCATTTGACAGCGACACAGTGAGAAGGAAAATTATAGACCTTCGGTTGTGACTTCACCGGGAATGTGAGCATTTCTTCCTTGATGCTTTGGCGCCCTCCTTACACGAATTCCAGCTCAGACCCTGGGCCTCCTCAGCCAACAGAATCTCACATGCAGGACAATTCACCCGTCGCTATGTGAGTTCCACTCAGTCGCAATCTCGAACATGCTCATGTCATCTCAGCGAGGAGCAAAAGGACGTAGGGCAGGAGGGCCAGCCAAGTCCAAGCGAAATGTGAGCAGCCAAATAACCCAAGGGGTCACAACTGACGATACTGTACCCGCAGAGCGAAAGTCATGAAGGAAGTATTGGAGATTCTCAAGGACTCAACAATTGCCTCGAAGACCGGCAAGGACGACCGCTCTCGTTTTTGGGCAGCATACAAAAGCGTCGCTGAGGAACACGACGATGAGTTCCTGTATCGATACAACAATGACATGAAGATTATATTAATCTTTGTAAGTTGCATATGTTCGCCTTTGCCTTGTGTTGGGATTGATGTCGATCAGTCTGGTCTGTTTTCCGCCGTCGGCGCTGCTTTTATTGTGTCCATGGAGCCGAATCTCAGTCCAGACCCCAACGACACCACGCATGCCCTTCTTACACAGCTCGTCCAAATCGGACTCGGCAACTTCACTGCCGCGGGGTCTACGCCAGCAGCGCCAGCATCTACCTGGTCGCCGACCACAGCCACCATAAGGATCCAATGTATCGCCTACGCAAGCTTGTCCTTCAGTTTACTCGCTGCTTTCGGGGCCGTGCTGGGAAAGCAGTGGCTCGGATACTACAAGTCGGAGCGATATGGCCACGGCTCGGAGGAGGAACGAGAGCAGCGCAGACAAGAGAGGCTCGACGGCATCGGCACATGGTATTTTGAGGCTGTTATGCAATCGTTCCCGATCCTACTGCAGTTCTCTCTTCTTCTTTTTGGAATTGCCCTCGGCGCCAATATGTGGTACGAGCAGCACAGTGTCGCCTGGGTCATCATTGCAACCACGGTCTTCGGGTTTTCGTTCTATTCCCTGACGGTGATGGTATCTTTGGTATCTCCCGCTTGTCCATTTCAGACGCCGATATCAGAGATATTGCGCAAGTTGAGCAAGTTGCGCATTCACCATGTGCTTGCGGCATGCTCGTTCGCATGGCGCTGTTTTCAGCCGTTATTCGGCGCATTTCAGCGCCTTCTACACTGGCGGTGCTCTCTGACAAGGGACGCGGACCATGAAGCCCAAACTCCTACCCAGAACCTGGGGAATCAACCCCTCCCTAAGCTTGAACTGCAGGACACACCACCCACCAACTCTCTCGAAGCACCTTGCATCAGGTGGCTAGTCGAGACATCTACAGATCCTGAAGTATGTTACGCCACTGCTAGCCTTGTTCCTCATGTCTACTGGCCTCTGGATTTTGACGTCTCAGCTACTCTACGTCAGCTCTATAACGTTTACACAAGCTGCTTGGACCTTCAAGGGCAAATTGTACCGTCGTTGGAGGAGAAGGCATCGGCATATACAATGGCTATTTGTCATCTACACTGCAACGATATCCTTCAGAAATATCCTCACTATGGCGAGGGAAGCAAAGACCTCGACGTGTTTAGCCAGATGTTGGAGAGGACGAAGGTCAATGACAGTGTACTTGTTTTGACAACCAAGCTGTTTGGTGCGGCATATGTACCACCTTCTGACTGGCAGTCTTCATCGAAATTTGGGGCTTATCCCGACTATGTCCTCCAGTGGCTGTCTCACGTTCTTCCTTTCCACTTTGTTATACCGCCTGAGGATAAAGATTTTGCAACAAAACTCGCCATGACAGTGATATCAAAACTCCTATCCTCTCCTTCCTTTCAGTCGCCTCAAATCGCAAACTGCACTCTTCTTGCTTGCATCATGTTTGGGGTTCAGTTTGACAACTTGAAGAAGGACATCACTCGTGTTGATAAAAGGTGCTGTTGACTCATTTGATCGCTCCTCTTGTATATTTAATGAAGAGAATGTGTAGTGTCGCTCTGCCTCAACTTGCCGAGTCTCTTTGGAAGAAAATCCAGACAATCCGCCCAGAATGGCACTTCGACGACATCTGTCAAAAGCTTGACCATGATGTATTTCCACCTCCGTTGATGTGGAAGCTGGGCGTGTGCTTGAAGATTTATTCACGAGCGATGTCATCTCAAGACGATTCATCGGCAGCGCTGCAAAAAGTGAAGCGCTTCTGGTTCCATGTCGTATCCTCACGCCCCGCATCTTCGCGCCCCGCATCCTCGCACTCTGTATCCCCTTTAGAGCCTGCCTGGTCGTGGGCGTTTCAAATCTCGCGGCAAGGCATTTCCCCCTTGCCAGAAGACTTCGATTGGCTAGTGGAATACCTTGGCGATGTTTGTGCCAACGACCACGAGACAGCAGGTGACATCCTTGTACTACTGAGTAGTATGACAGTGAGCTGCGGGTCCGCTAAACTATACATCGAGAAGCTCATCACCTGCATGGGCAGCAGCATGCCTCCCCGTTTACGTCATGCTGCCCTTCGCGCTGCTCACGGTTCCCGAGAAGTCTTGGCCTCCATCAATGTCATTGATGCGTTCTCCCCTGCTATCCTTACTGCGGTTCGCGCGCAACAAGGTGCAACACCCGCACCCACCAATGATGGTCCTGATGGTCCTGACCGCTTCTTCCATCCTGACCGCGACTTATGCTATCTCGAACTTGTTTTTGCCCTGGCGAAGAATTCGGCCTGGAAGCAATATTTGTTTGGGGATTACCATATAGGTCGGTGCCGTAGCATCGCTGCGGAGTGCTACCGGTCCGATATGTATACCAAGAATCTCGACGCTCTCCGTCCATATGCATTTTACCTAGTTGGTATCTTCCTCCGACTGGGACCTGATTGTAATTTCGTTAAACTATTCAATGATTGGGATAAGCAGGAACTGCAGACCATATGGAAGCAGGAGCCGCAGGAGCAGGAGCGGCGGTTGGAGCAGAACAAGGAGTGGCAGTGGGGGCAAGTGCGGGAGGAGTGGAGGCAGGAGCGGGAGGAGCAGGGACAGAAGCAGAAGCAGAAGTGGCAGCACATGGTGAGAAATGCGTGGCATTCCGCTCCTCTCACAATTGGCAACACACACTGTGTCGAACTCCTTTCCGATCTTGTGGAAGAGACGAAGAAGTTCATGGGGTGCATGTCAGTGGCTGAACTCGAGCAGCTCATCGAAGCTGTGGATTATCTTATAGGGAACCCGGAAAGGCGGGGTTTACTAGAGCAGAGAGAGAGGGTCGCGATTTCTGTGAAGGACTTGAGAGATTTAGCCAAGAACAAACTCGAGAAGCTCAGGAAATAGTCGCTGGGCAGGAGACAAGTCGGGATATCTGGAGAAATTTACGATTAGCTAATGTAAATTCTGTAAGTCATTGTACACAAGACGCGAGCAAAATCTGTTCCAAGATTATGTGCGGACAGTCTGTAGCAAGCTGGGCATGTAATTTTTATAATCTAATGTAGGAAACTGAGAGACGAGTATGTATTATGTTGTCGAGCAACGTGACAGACACACTATGTAGCATCCACCTGACCTTCCCAATAAGTAACTATAATAATAGTAGCCGATAACGTGTCTCGCCAATTATCACATTAGTCTTTTGCTCAAATCCTCTACACCAGCGATAAATCCTGCCCCAAATACTGCAGGATGTCCTTAGATATACCTGCATCTAAATATCGGCACAGGGTAATTCGGGTAAGTACGTTCCGTTCCGTTCTATTACTTATCCGGTAACCCCCACTTCCTTGCCAAACCTCCCGCTCCTCCTAGAAACTATTCCCACGCCGTTCTCTTTCCCTCCTCATCGTCCTCTTCAGCGTCAAGCCACTTGCCGGTGTTCTATAAGTGGACCTACTTGATGTATAACCATGGTTCCTCCTCCAGAAAGGTCTCCGGCTTGTCCAAAGCCTCCATCAAACATAAATTCTGTGGTCTCAGTCGTCAGACCATGGTCTTATCAGCTAGTAAGCAAGGTGAACGGAAGGAGTCATTGCAAAGCAAGAGAAGACAGGAAATATCAGGTGAGTGTTCATGTTTTTTTTTGTAATATACGAGCCGTTGAACATAGATTACTGTTAGAGATGTCTTCTGTAGACTGTGAGATAGTCGAGAACATGATCTCTGACGTTGGCATGGACATCGACAATGAACCTTACACGGCGCCACCAGGTGAAGAAGGTCTTGATATCAGCCATGAGGGTGGGGAGTATGAAGCCTTTGAAGGCTTATCAGAGCAGGTCGCTAGCTTATCAAACTAGTAAGTATGCCCTAGTCCAATTAGCTGTTTTGCTTGCTCATACTTTCAGCTGCTATGTTGATTCCTGCACACGACATGACCGCTGTCTTAATAACCGAGGGTCTTATATAAATACAGTGTAAGAATGTAATGACACCACAATTACACTGGATAAGACTTCTTGCCAGTCCTCGATTAACACGGTCTACGACTTTTCTTCTTTCGTGGTAGATAACGTGTGAGTTCTTGGGAGGCTCGCTAAACCAATCAGTCAGATTAACTTAGCCGGAGCTTTATTATCTCTGATTGAAACTATGGGATTGTCTAGGATATACCGTCTAGACACTTGAACTGGTTTCCTGAATATACGGTTAACTGTTGAGAAGCTGGTCTCAAATGTGACTACGTGGACCAAAGCTCGTGTTGGTCAATATACAAATACCTGGTGAGAACGCTGGTCTCACAAATAACAACAAATGACAAATATAAAACAATGACAAATAACAACAATGACCAAAGCTCGTGTTGGTCAGTATACAAATACCTGGTGAGAATGCTGGTCTCACAAAAAAAACAACGGTGACCAAAGCTCGTGTTGGTCAGTAAACACTACGTGGTGAGAACACTGGTCTCACAAAACTGGGTTTCTATCGCGAGAAACTTACGTAATCTCAAGGGAAACACTTTCCCTGCACTTGTCTGGACAGTTCTTACAAAGGAAATGGGCTTTGTAAGCAGCAATTTGTTCAGACTGAAGCTTCTTAGGTGAGAGTTCAATTTGCTCAAGTGGGAGTTCTTGAATGCAACAAGTGGGAGATCTATTTTTTTGGGGGAGAATGGGCTCTCCTTATATACATTTTGTGTGGGAATATTATGTAAGTAAAAAGGTGATGTAATGACTTCAGAATGTGAGAAGAATATTCCAAAAACTGGAGCAGAATGTTCTAGCAGGTGCAAAAGAACATTCCAGAATATTCATGGTGGGATAATGACATCATTCTGAGTCACTATGAGTCACTATGAGTCACTATGAGTCATTATGAGTCATTGGAATGTTCTAGCAAATTCCATGGAACATGACATCATTATGACATCACTATGATATCATATCTTTCAACCAAAATACCTGCAGGAGTGTAGGTGAAGTCCTATGACATCATTATGACATCATACCCTGTAGGTACAATTTTATGAAGCATCTGATTAGTCAGAGCATCCTAATAGAAAAGTAAAGTAAAGAAACACTAGAGAAAACAACTCAGGAATAATGGAACAAATAATAGTACACAATACGCGGGCTTTTTAGATAGGTTTTTGTTAGGCTTTGAACTTTTCTCTATGGGTTTCTCTAGCCAAAGTGAATAAGCCAAATGAAAGGCAATACATTAACCTTCATTTTGCTTCTCATATCAACTAGGTCATTATGTGATTCCCATCTCACATATGACTTTTCTTCAAAACATGGTGGATTCATGAATCACTGAGGGAAAACTGAAACTATTGGACCAAGGTTTGATACCAAGGTATGGGTTGACTAGTCTGAGGACTAAGCTAACAGACTTTGTCTTTTAGGGGGATACCTAGTAGTCATGTCCATGCATGATTCCCAAATCATGCAGGACACCGCATAGAGCTTCAAGTGGAGCAATGGAACAGCCAACTTGACCGGTTGGTCGATGCCTATCTCGACTACCATTTGCACGATCGTGGGGATGGGATGCCACATATTCCAGATGCTGATGTGGCTATTGACGGGAGTGATGGGCACTCGCTGACTGACATCTACTTGGTCGACATGTTTGGTACGTTTTTGTAGCTATGTAGTACTTTCTTGACCTTCTGCAGGCCGTCAGCAGATGTCCTTCCAGCCTCTGATCTCCCATCGCTACCCCAACGAGACGCTCGTCTACCATGGTTATTTGGGGTGCTCTCCTCTATATCCATCGGTTGCCATTTCCATCCGAACCCTCGCAACTTATCGTCAATACCATCGAACTTGCCCACGATTTAGTATCCAGGCACAGTGCAAAGTGCTGTGCCATCTTCACAATGTAGGTCTTCTCATGTGTCATAATTTATGTGATACTACTAGATCTTGTATTATAGATGCCATGTCGACCATACCTAAATTCACAATTCTCAGATGCATATGATGTATATCTTGAGATTTTACATCGTGTTGATTGCCGCTTAAACGAAGTACTCAAGCGCAACACTCCCAATTGGCGGATACTAAATGCATGCCCATGTTGTTCCTACAAACTCGACGAGGAGGCGCCACAGGTGATAGACCGGCTTTTCTCCATCAATGGCAATAACAGTCTCAAAAGATGGGCGTCTTTGACTTACGGCCTTACCCCACGGGTAGATCCTCGACAAGCTCGTTCTGATTACTGGGTCGATTGAGTAACCGTTGATAAGTTCAAGGATACAGTGAGAAGATCAGAGGTATGTTCATGATATGCGTATGTGCTTGAATAGTTGACCCAACTAAATTTGAATATACAGGATGACTGGGAAGATCAAGTCGCGAAGCCAGTGGAACCTGAGTTGACCTTCAATTGTACCGAGCGGTGGCGAAATGCTGGGCCCGAGCAGCGGAAAAAGATGTTTGCTGTTTTTGATGAGTCTGGCATCTTTGTTGCTACGTGCCGGCATCGATTTGTACTTCTCATGTGCGATATGGTTCGGAGCGGTGAGCTGTACGTTAAGTTTCATTCACTGACAGCATTGTGCTAATTTAAAGTTTAGAGCAAAATATCCTTTGGCTCTTATGAGTCAACTGCTGTCTGTCTTTGGAGCGAATGCTGGCTGTGCCTACGATATTGGCTGTGCGTTTTCCAAGACGCTAGGCAACAGCAGTCTTGGCCCCCTTGCCCAATCCCTTAATTTGCGCATGATGGTCGGTGTGTTTCACGGTCATGCTCACAATCGAAGGTGCCAACTAGATTGGCACCCGATGTACATTGAAGGAACTGGACTAACTGAGGGTGAGGGATGCGAACATGTATTCTCCTCTTCAAATGAACTTGCACGAGGCACAAGACACGCGTCTCGATTCCATCGACATCAAACACTTGAAGAGCATTTTACCTTCTGGGACGACGACAAATACGCAGCATTGAGTAAGTACTGTCTTGTTTTACATACTACACACCACTACTAATACTTTTACAGGCCAATTTTTATGAAACCACTATCAGGAAGCACTGTCTCTCGTACACACGCTCACGGCTGAACTTTTGGCTGTGAAACAAGCCCTCAACCTGACCGATGCTGATTTCATCCGGTTCCATGCTGATGAAAGGTCATACCTTGAATCTCCTAAAGAGCCGCCCCTCCAAGAACATCTTCAAATCCGCTATGTCCAAGTCCTCGATGAGTTAGCTGAACGGCGGTGGGTCCCACTGGTTCTTAAGTCATATTTCATTTCCGTCACTTACATTATAACAGGTTAGAGTGGGTCAGAGCTTGAGAAGCTGCCAATCAGGCTTTGACCGATGTCGCCATTGGTAATCTACAACAAATTAACCTTTCTATTTCTCAAGCACGAATTCGAGTTGATGCAGCTTACTCTAAGCTCCAGAATGCCGAGGCCTTCACCAGCCATATCAAAAATCAGCTTGCGATAGAAGAGCGCTGGATAGTAGGAGATCACAATTATATGAAATACAAGGAAGAGGCATCACTACAGAGGTATCGTGTCGCTCTTGATGAGTTAGAGCGTCTTGTTGTGATGCGTCTATTTGAGTTGTCCAAACTCTCACTTTCTGGCACCGGTAAGCTAACATTACTGTACTACATCGAATTTCAATGGTAACTAATCATTATTGGCAGGATACAAGCTACGGCAACAGATCGGAAAGGCATTGCAGAGACGCTCGGACACGATTCGGAACACCATCAATAAGTATAATAATCAGGCTGTTGCCCTTGATCCCCCCCGGCTGCAGTTATCATGGAAGGATATAGCTGACTACAGCTTCCTGGGAGAGTTCGATCTCCTTCGTTATTCTCGCACCGACATTCATGAAGTTGACTGGTCCCACAGTCCTGCAACTCCAGTGAATCCAACCACACCCCCATTCTTACCTGTGCCATTGTGTCCTACTGGTGCTCGGATTCAATGTTCGGCTCACGCTCCTGCACAACTCCAGCGCGAATTTGTTCTTGCTGCAGGATCTTCCACTCCATCCAAGTCATCAGCTGTGAAGCAAGCTACTTCTTTGGCCGCTGGAACCACCCAGATGAAGCAGCGTCGACACGCTGAGGCCTTTTCATTACGCAAGACAAATCCCAGCTGTTCGGATGATAAGCTTTTCAGTCCCCCACTAATCAGCATCGGGCCCAATACCGATGCTGTACTTGATTGGTTTAAGATTGGGGACCAAACAATTCTGAAGCTCCGTGAGCTCATTACCACCATGCGCAGTAGCCGCTGGGAAACTGTCTTGAGGTCCCCCAAGTGGGATCTTACCTATGAGCAGGCTTCCAATTTGACAATGGCACTTCGTGCCGATTTGAATATCCCTCAGACAGTGGTTGGTGTGCGTAAGGTAATATGTTGCAGTATCTTCTTGACATTAAATCTTACTGATACACATTGTAGATTTCCGCACTACTTTCGGTGGTTCTCCAGGTGCTCGGCACCCTTGTTTTTATTTGCGCACTTTACTTCTTTTGTCTGGTCTTAATCTTCTAGATCAGTTACCTGCCATTTTGTAAGAGTGCGCTCATCTACAATGTTTCCATTTTCATTTTGTACGTAGATCCCCATTGGTATAGTCTGAATCTTATTTCACAAATTCACCGTCTATAAAGCGACTCATAAATGGATTATTTTGCCCACAGCTCGACGCTATGGTTAATCAGACCCTCTCCATGGCAAAGAACCGTGTGCAAAGCCTGTCATGAATTCGTCCAAAGGTCCATCTCAGCAAGGAAGCAAGAGCTCTTCTGACAACACAACGTCGCCAGAAGTCTCAAGGTTTCAGGACAGCGCTTCACGAGGCTTGGCTCCATCTTGATGAATCCATGAAGACAATAGCTTCCTCTCACCACAAGAGTATCCGACGCGTGCAAAATGACTTGTATGTGGGCCATACTGCATTGCGCTTCAAGCGCACGAAATCAAGCCCATGGAATGCGTTTTGCTGGAAGAAACATCAGCAAGTGACGGATGAAAATTGTATGTTATATTATTTTTCTTGGTTCAACTACTAATGGTGGATCTTAGCTCAAGTGCGCTCTGGAAAAGCAGTCCTGCAAGACCTTCTACACAACTATGCTGATGAGTACCATGAGCTCTCACAAGAAGACAAGGACCAACTCATCAAAGAATACGACGAGAACAGGGAGCACAAGACCAAGGGTAAGAGAATATCGTTGAGGTCGAAGATCAACGATATCATGCAAACACTTAGGGCTGTTGAGACCGAGGTATTATTCAAGTTTACAAAGTGTCTGATATCAAATCAGTTGATTAAGCTTCAATGCCGCACTGGTGTCGAATCAATTGTTTACTCAACGCGAGGCTCTACTGACCTCGCACTAAGAGGTATCACATTTAATACCGAAGGAGTTGATAATTTCATGGAGTCGACGATGAACATCGATAGCCAAGACCTTATGAGTAAGATGGAAGGATATGCCATGCAAGGCAAGTTTTTGTCAGTCTTGATATTTCAACATCAAACACTTATGATCTTATGGCAGGTGCAGCCAAAAGTCATCAGGACTGTTGTTCAAAGGCTCGTGGTGAAACCAGACATATCATCAACCAGAAACTTCGTAAGTCATTTGATATCTAAACTAGTTGTATTCTAACAATCATTTTCAGAGGAAATTACCGGTAATCCGCAGGCCACGATGCAATGGACAGAATATTGGCGCAACATTGTTCAACGCTATCACATCGTTTGTGAGGGCTGGCCCTCAACTGTCCCCTTCAAGAACTTGAGCGAAGCGTCTAGTTCTCTTCCCGAGCTCAAGATGCTCCAGGACAAGTGGGAAAGTGGTGCCATTAAATGGAAACACCTGGAGGAGGAAGAATATCAACAGCTTCTTCAAGAGCGCCTTCAGAATATTGACAATGGGGAGATCATTGAGCGCACCCGTCGTCAGCGCTCAGACAAGGGAAAAAAGTGTACCCAACCATCGGACAACCCTTCTACACATAAGAAGAAGGCATACAAAAGCGCGGATACTGTTGAGAGTGATGAGGAGCGCGATAGTACGCCACACGCTCCCTCATCAGACGCCTCTATTTCAGCACCTTCGGCTGTTTCACAAGACATCCTCGAGCCATCTATCTCTACTTCATCTGCTTCTGGAGCTGCACCTGCTAATATTGATGATCAATTTCCCCTCTTTACTGATGCTGAATTGGACTGAGCTCTCGAAAAGTTAGACTCTATGGTCGCCAGTGGTTTGATTCCTGACTTCTTTTCATCTGATTTGGCGATGCCCGCCCAGAGTTACAATTCGTCGTTTTAGAGCTTATCTCTGAAGATTTTGCCTTACTTAGACTTACTCTTGACTTTGCTCATACACATGGCCTCCTATACCGGTAGAATGAGAATTGATTGTCATTAACCAGAGTTTGTACATCATATTGTAAGGGCAAGGTGGTACTACAAGACACAATGAATAGGGAAACGAATGAGAACACTTGCTGGTACTGCTTAATGTAGAGGTCATCTGCGCCAGGGAGATTTGCACAACTGGCAAGCTTGAAAGCAAGCGCCGTGTTATTGAGGGTGGTCAAAATGTACGGAATGATGGTCTGCTCGTGAGGTCATCTGCGCCAGGGAGATTTGCACGACTGGCAAGCTTGAAAGCAAGTGCCATGTTATTGAGGGTGGTCAAAATGTACGGAATGATGGTCTGCTTGTGAGTTCATCCACGCCAGGGAGATTTGCACGACTGGCAAGCTTGAAAGCAAGCTCTGTGTTATTGATGGTGGTCAAAATGTATGGAATGATAGTCTGCTCGTCAAACTCACCCAAGCTTGTTGTATTATCTCGCATTGGGCTCCCTCTATCCTTGGCAGTGCATACTTGCCTGTACTAATAGCTTCCACTTGTTAAACGAGACAGCAGGACAAGCCAGAGACCTTTCTGGAGGAGGAACCACGGTTATACATCGAGTAGGTCCACTTATAGAACACCGGCAAGTGGCTTGACGTTGAAGAGGACGATGAGGAGGGAAAGAGAACGGCGTGGGAATAGTTTCTAGGAGGAGCGGGAGGTTTGGCAAGGAAGCGGGGGTTACCGGATAAGTAATAGAACGGAACGGAACGTACTTACCCGAATTACCCTGTGCTGATATTTATATGCAGGTATATCTAAGGACATCCTGCAGTATTTGGGGCAGGATTTATCGCTGGTGTAGAGGATTTGAGCAAAAGACTAATGTGATAATTGGCGAGACACGTTATCGGCTACTATTATTATAGTTACTTATTGGGAAGGTCAGGTGGTAGCATCAGTCATAAATGAGTCACAAGGGTGAATTTGCTACAAAAATGCCTACTCCTCCTTCAGTTGGCCGAAAATAGGGATTCTGAGTAGACCATTTTGACATTATAGTACATATCCACAAGATCCTAGAACAGATTTAGCTCATTCTAATTTGCAACAGAGTAACGAGCCAAAATCATGTATCCTGTCCTCAAATCACGTGATGAACCGGTGTATGAGGTCTATCTTACGTCCTACGTTATCCAAGCTGCCTCGGGTTATGGGCGGGGCTTTTAAAAAAGGCGTTTCCGCGGTGACTCTCGAGCTTGAGTACTGAGAGCGTCGCGCTCCTTCTATTTCGTGTTCTCGATGCAAAACTCGCAAGTCGAATGTAGAACTAATTAAATTTCTTCGTATTCTGGACAACATTAAAACCTATCTTAAATATCACCGATCATCACCGTGAAAGCCCTCCCACGAGTCGAGGTAAAGGACCTCTGTAGATGTCAAGCACAAACTCAACCCCAAGTTCAAAGACTTCGGTGTTCCACTTGTTTTTGGACATCTGAAGAGAAAGGGAGATGCCAGTCGAGTCTTTGTCTTTCGTTAACTGCTGTAGCATCCTGGTAACTTTAACTCCACGATAATAATCGAGCAAGCAACTAGAGACACGCTTCCCACTTTGCCATGTAAATATGAACTCGGGTGTGGGGGAATCATCTTTCAGGGAGCCTTGGATGTCCTTTTGAAGTGACTGATTACAATATGAAAGGTTGGCCTTGATGTCATTGTAACCTTCGCTAATCAGCAAATTATCCGGCTGGGTGAAAGTGGTCACTCACTTGACAGCTCTCTATTGAATATCGCTGAAATAACGACAGCACAGACCGGATCAGCGTTGTCGCGGTCGGCAGTGACTGCAACTGAAAACTCGACGACTTTCGACTCCGTTATATCAGGAACAACATTCCCCTTGATTCTAGTGCGCAGCCGATCAGGAGCAAGAGCCGCTGCTACGCTGGTCGACCACGTTTGATTCGCAGCCCATGTCCATATGTCTGGATCGAGAACCGCCGTTGCTGACAGTCCTGCGTTTTGCTCGAGAAGGTATGCGACAATATCCTCCAGACGCGCATCAAGAGCAATGTGTAGTGCTGTTCTAGCAGTCCGGTCCTGCAAAGAAAGATTACAAGTCGGTTCAACGAGCGCCTGTACGACGGGTAGCAATTGGCTTTCGTCATTGGATGGCCGATTTTTGGAGAGGAAATAATGAAGAGGGGTAGAACCATGGACTGTGGAATTGACATTCGCACCGCATTGACGAAATTTGCGGATAGATTTGTGTGACGGTTTGTCCGCCTTCACAGCCATGAACAGAATATCATCAGGGAGCTTGACCTCCCGTTGTGACAGCAAGAAATCCACAGCGTCTTCACTTCCAGTTACAGCTGCCCACGAAATTGGAGTATGGGAGCTGCGACGAGTGCATTGGTTGGCATATAAACCAGGTTTGAACGAAGAAGGCTTATTGAGATCGACGCCCCTATCCAGGAGAATTCTGAGGCAGTCAGGGTTCTTGGCTATGACCAAAATCAAGGGAGAACCCCAATCACTGTTAAGATCCATGTGCGGCGGATGGGGGTACTTCTTAACGAAAGGTTCGACCATCCACGGCTTCCCGTGCTCAAGCAGGATGAATAGAAGTGAGGGCGAAGTTTCAGCGGCATCCAACCCCCTAGGTTTATACTCAAATTCGCCTGGAGCAAGTGCAGGATGTTTCTTATCGTTTCGAAGAAACTTCGAGTTCAGCTGCCACAGGGCGGTCTTAATGTCAGGATCCCCATCCGAAACATGTCCAAGGTGCTTCCATCCTTGGTCAATATAACCCAGTAACGGGTTTGACAATTGTGAATGGCGTCGTATAGCTGGATCTTCACATATTTAAACATCAGTTTCTGAGCTCATATGCGTGAAAGATAGTCTCACACCTTCTGGGTACATCTTAGAGTTTACAGAGATAAAGTTGTATAACATATACGCAATCAAGAACTTGCAGATCCGTGTGTGTATGTCTGAGATCGATTTGAAGAAACGATCGATCAAGTAATCCTGATTGCAAGGTGCATCAGCCGGCGAGCAGGATGAGAAAGGTTAATATATCATACTTTGACACTAGGATGAAATAGAGCGACGACCTTAGTTGTCGTTGTCTCATAGTAAGTCACGAGGCCTCCGCACGCAGCCACGATATCCATATAGTTCTTAACGCCATAGTTCAGATTAGGCTTTGGTTGTCCGACTTCAATCATCATCGCTTCGTTAAGCTGATCAAACGTCAACGAGGTGAACGCGCCGGCCAGCCAAAGCAAACAACTGTGGGCGATTTGGTTATCCCTTGGTCCTCTCCGTCCGATAGCCTCGATAATCCTATTATAGGTCTCGTAAAGTCCAGTTGGAATTTTATCGAGGGTTGGCTCAATATCGACGGGTTTTTTGCAAGCCACGATTTCGTCCAAGTGAGACTGAACCCAGCGAAACCTGCATGCGATCATATGCTGATGAACTTCCAAGGAGCGAGCGGAATTTGCTTTACTCACATGCCCTGGGCATTTTCTGACAATTTCTTTGAAATCATCTTCTTCAGCACGTCAGGCAGTTGTGACAAACGCTTCTGATTCTCCAGCTGCTCCTCAATGTGCACGCAGATGTCTTTCATTTGTCGTGCGTTGTCCTTCAGCGACAATTTGGAGATGGGGAGACCATGAAAGGCGTCTTGGACGTCTGGCATGCATCTACTGGTGATAAAAAATCGTAATCGAGTGTCTTCAGGAAGTTTTTCAAGATGTCTGATTAGGTCGAGGTGGTCTTTGCATTCGTCCAAGGCGTCAATCACGAGAACTGGTCGATGAACCATCTCGGACACTTCAACAAGAAGCTTTAGTAGAGACGCCAGATCTGTGGGATGAGGCATTGCATCATAGTTTTGCTGCCAGAATGTTTGCAGAGAAACAAGGCCCCCTTTTTTGTTCGATTCTTGCTGCTTGCCTATCTGTGTGATCCAGTCGAGCTCAGATTGTTGAAGCAGCTGAACGATCAAGGAGCGGAATACTGCAGCCGCGTTTGTGGTCCTGTCGTCTTGAAAACTGCAATAGAAGTAACCGAGCGTCTGTGACTCTTTTATATCGCTACCCTGAATTTTGTTGATAATGGAAGAACTGTTCAGAAGTTAATCTGAGCTCTCTGACAACTCTTCAGATGAATATGAACCTACGCTAGTATTGTCTTTCCATGTCCAGCTGTTGCTAGTGTCAACAACCTGCATATGATGGTGAATGATACAACTCACGCTGGCCATTCAACCATAGAAACGCGTAATCCGAATCATTCCAGTCCTTATATTCTTTGGCGTCGAAAATCCAATGACCGGTCTTGGGGTTGCGTTGACCACAAAAGGCATTGTGCTTCTCGATACAAGACACAGGGTTCATCCATTCAAGGAACTTTCGACGTTCCCTATCTATGCACATTGAACAAGATGAGGAAGTAGCTGGTGGTAAGCCGTTTACCTTTCTTGTGCTTCCCTAATTCTTTGACTGTTTGATCGACGTCCTTGAGAATTTTCCTGGTGCTGCGTCAGTATTGGCAATCATCACAAGCGAGTCAACTCACCGCGAGTCCCTTGTTAGAATCGCTATGATGTTGCCATAATAGCCTCTCAATTTCTTAGCAACCGACTGTGCTTCTTCTTCCCTCCACACTTCCATCTCCTCGTTTGGTCGAAGTCTCCCCAGTTCTCCCTTCAAGTTCATGACTGGTCCATTTTTGGACATCAGTAACGAAAGTGGATGCTGGGGATCGTCTGAAAGAGGGGTATCTTGCTCTATTATCATGACTCTGGCCAGGACTTCAAGGACTAAACCGAACTCATGCAGCAGATTCTGATAGGACGATTTAGCCTTGTCCACACGACGAACATGACTACGCAGATGATCTGCAGCTTTCGCTACTGCTCCAATGGCCTGACCAATAGTGATAGCGTTGTCAATGGTAATGACGGGACTCATTATATGGGGAGGTAGAAAATGTAAGCCTAGGCGCTCAGCAGCACCCTGACTTTGAACCAAGGAAAGACGCTTGGCATTAGTCCATTTACAACATTGAAACCATAATGCAGGGACCCAGCCGCGATGATCGGTAAGGACTGATATGAAGCACATGCAGTGAAGGCGTTAGAACTAGATAATTTTAGTGAGTACTTGTCCAATGAGTGACCTTGAAGAGAATAACCGCCAGAGAAGCCAGCGCCCGTTGGCCTATTTGTAGCGCTGAGACCCTGCATTGTTGTAGATAATCAAGAAGACTGACCGCTACCCCGATAACGTTCGTGTGCCCATTGGCCCATTTGTAACGCTGAGACATTGGCGCTAGGTAGATGATTGATAAGACTGACCGCTACTCAGCCGATAATGTTCGTACGCCTATTTGTAACGCTGAGACCCTGGATTGGCGCCTATTGTATATGATCGATGATCCAAATGACCTGAAGCTTGGGAATCAGGATATTGCTTGAAAGTTGAATGGCCTAAAAACAGCGACAACACCAACAGTGACAGTGAAGGGTTCCATGATGCATCATCTGGGGACTGGAAAGTGTAAGCCTAGGCGCTAGGCTCAGCAGCGCAGTGACTTTGAACCAAAGAGCGCCCATTCAATAGTCCATTTGCAACGTTGAGACTATGATGCAGTGACACATTAAGATGATCGATAAGAACCTGGGCGGCCATGAGTACCTATAATGTACTTATTCAATGAGTGACTTTGAAGAGAATGACCGCCTGAGAATCCAGAAGTAACGGAAAACTGATGAGTGAATGGAAGGGCCTATGGAGGCCTATGGCCAGAGGCCCAGATCAAGTGACATGATGATGTACTAATAGTGACAGGTTTGTTATCATTTTACCGACTCATCATCGTTAGCGCTGTAACAATACTCCAATATTAATAACGTTCGTACGCCATCTGTCGAACGTTCATATGCCCATTGGCCTATTTGTACCGCTGACACCCTGCATTGGCGCCTATCGTAGATGTTCGATAAGACTGACGGCTACTGGTTACCACAATCGTCCAGGTCCCTCAGCTCGTACTCACTTCAAATCACCCGTCATTCCTTCCTATCCCCCTCCAGCTGCTACCTCTTTATATCCTGTTAGCTACTAACGCCTCACACCCGTCCTCATCCTTTCCGCCTCTCTTGAGTCATGAAATTGAAATCCCACCTCTCTAACTTCCCATTCGCCCCACACCGCAACACCTGCCTATAAGAAACCACAGAAGAAGCCCTCAGGACAATTTTCGGTCCTTGTTTCAGCTGGCATGTCTGGAAAGTGCGCGCAGAGGGAATGGGTAGGAAATGAGAGCACAACCTGTTCAACAAATGACTCCTCGGACGAGCCATCCCATCAAATTAAGTCTCATAAAAACTTGAGCTCGTATCTCCTAATTCCACATGTTTTTAATCTTGTCTCCCTACAGATATCCATCTACCCTTTCTTCATGTGCACCGCCCATACCCCTGTAAGCGGTCAACATCCGCCTATGACGAGGTGTTTACGTTCGTGTGTCTGCACTTAGGGCAAAGTGGGTGTAGGATGATGATTTGGGGATGAGTACGGTCAGTGATATATTTACTTGGCCATTCAACTCGGTGCATAGTTGACTTTGAAACTCATACTATGATTTACAGTAACACTTGCGCGGCTGCCGACTTTTGTAGGGTGCGGATCGCACCGGAAAGGATGGTACATGGGTAAGACAGCTGATGGCAAGTGGGACGGGTTGCGTAACATTGTAACCGGATGCCGAAACCTGTTAAATAACGAAATATTTCGTCTCGATGACCAAAATCCGAGGAAAAATCACGCAGTGGAGCGTTGGATCATGTAAACAGCTAGAGATTCAATTATGATGTCAGCGAATCTCATAGAAAGTGGTGAAGTGCTAACCAGGTGCAGTCTCCTTGTGAGCTTGCCACCATTCTATATCGCAGCTACTGCTTGGTTCGTCCTCTGAACATGCTAACTCAAAAACAAGGACGTCGTCCATCGCACAAGAAAGTTTTCTGTGTCAGTCCAAGCTGTCTTTCCCTGGCACTATGTTACCAAGTTTCGCGACCCGTGTCGGTCGGACGTTAAACGATAAGGTTGAAATATCAACTGGTACAGTGGCATCGAGGCGGTATAAAGCAAGTGTAATTGGTCGGTCCACAGGTGCAAGGGCGACGTGCAATTCGCAATTTTCCATGCCCCAGTCGATCGCCCCTAAATTAAAATATCGTTGAAACCTTCTATTCCATCAGTCCATACAAAACAGAAAAATGGAAGATAAACCGACAGTTTGTGTAACATGTATTTTGAGGTCATCAGGTGAGATTGTGCCAATACGTGTCATGCGCATTGCAAGATAGTCATTGAAAACATGACTTGGCGCAGAATGATCCACCAAACTAACAGACATGGGGAAATTCGTGAACTCTCTCAGAATAGGAGGCGACGTCCGTGGGATCTCGTCAAATCGCATATATTGGGAAGGACGACGGAGAAAGTGGACATTCTTTCGAGTGATAAGTTTGTCTGAAGATACTGAAGAGCCTTGGAAAAAGGCAGGGGTAGAAACCAGTAACAGGTTGACGAAGGTGCAGAAGAGTACGACGACAAGAGGCCAGTGGAGCACAGTTTGCGATGTCTTATCGAGTTAAAGAGCACTTACGTGTGTTTCAAAATTGGAAGCTCACAAGCTTAAGCGCTCAAGCTATATCGCTTCGTTCTATGACACCCACGACCATCGATTCCATGAGTTTACGTTCACTTGAATGTAATAGGTCCAGGAGGATGGAAGATCACAGTCCGTGATTATCAGAAGACCTCATGTCACCCTTGGTAGCACTTTGACGATGTTCTCACGGTATGCCAGACCCTATTCTTATGTAGGGAGTATAGTTATGGGTAACAAGGAGTGCAGCTTGTGCAGGTACCCGTTAAACCCTCCTAACATCCGAAGTCATTCCATGTAGTCTGTCCACCTCCTCATAAACTTTTGTCCAGTCACGACAAACAGTCTCGTATCCCCTGACAGCGGACCCTAGGTTGTTTACTGCCGGCTCGATGCTCATGTTGGGGTGACACAATATTGATTGACGAAGATAATTCATGCAGTGACGAGTGGTGGATGATGGGGGGCGCTTTGCTGCGTAGTTGTCACGGATGATTCCCAGACACTTGAGCTGGTGAAAGAGTGTCACTGTGTAAATGCGGTTTTCACCCGTCTCCGCATCTTTGATGCGAACAGTGTGTCCTCCGCGCGGAACGAGTTTCGCAAACTCTTCTCCGCCCTCATCCGTATCCGCGCGGTAGTGCGCTGTTTGGTCTACTCGCATCCATACTGGTTCTCCGAATTTCACTTGAAGGGATAGATCTGGTATGTGGAATCGTCAGCCAAGCCTGTAGGACGTGCTAAAAAACTTTGCAGTACCATGGCTAAGAGCAACTCCTTCGAAATACCTGCTATTGGACAACCATGGCCTTCGTGCAATAATATTGACAAGACCAATGGCTATAGCTGTGGTGAGTATCACTTTGAAAGCAAAGACTAGTCTCATTATTGCCTGCGGGGGATCACGGTAAGTTTGTTATTCAACTACACGTAGCCCTGTGGCGGTACTGCGACGCTAAGATACCTCGTGCGCGTAATTCCCCACATGCATCAATGCATCACGCATCAGGGGGCAATGCTTCGGATACAGATCACTGCGTGGCTCGGAGGATTTAGGTGCTCGGAACTTTGACCATTTGGTGGGATTCCCAGTCGAGATGCTCAACAACGACGGCGCCGCGGGGCCCGTAACTTAGTACTTAAGTCCGACAGTACTAGTTTATGCGCCGTGCTTCTTGGCCAGATCACAGATCTCCTTGATACGCCCGATGCTACCGCACATGAAGGATCATTTCCCATTCCCAAATAGTCATTAGCGCACCATACTTGGACTTCTTCCATACATAAATAAAGTCAATGGAAGGCAAATGTTAGCGTAATAAGGACCCCAGTGGTTAGGCCTAGGCTGAAAGGCAGTGTGCCAATTGCTTATCTGCGGACATCAGTTTGGGCGTGGCCTCCACCCCCATGATGAGGCCGGCTCTTACCAGTACTACTAGTCGGACACTGAAGTACTGATACGCCATCTTCTATGCGGTCGATATGAATATTTCGCATTGGATGACTACAGGTTCCACTGAATGCGTTATTTTCAAAGCAATCGTGGAGTACAGACAATCGAATCCTGAGGTCCATAGTATACTAAATAAAATTTTAAAAAGATTTTGAACCGCAGCATTATACAACTACTACCTCAGTAGGTATCCAAGTGGCCTTGCTCACACAATTGCCGGTGCTTCCACTGAATCACAGTCGGTAGTCTTTTTAAAGCCATTGGAACTGGTGAACGTTTTGGAGCCGTCCCGCAAACCGTACCCGAGGTCACCCATGCGGATTGCTTGCACTGATGGCCTCGAGGTCATGACCCTAGACATGGTGTCCTGAGACCAACCCTTTCCTTGTGCGACTCGGAAAACTATGAGCAACATTGCAATTATCTGTGACATGTCATAAGCAGCGCGAATGCCTCTCTATTTTCCAGTGCTCACCTGAACCTGAGTGAGCGACTGAAGAAATGTCGCCGAGATAGGATTGTTTAGAAGGAAGAGAGCTAGAAATGCCACTGAAAACGCGGAATACAGAGCGGCGGATTCAACGATCATCGCGGCAATTGACGTGTATTGAGCGCCGTAGCTAGAGCCAAGAACTTTGGAGATGCGATGACGATATGTGAGCAGACGAAGTACAATAACGATCGTAATGATGATGTTCAGTGCAAGTGAGAGGGCTGAGATATGGAACGGTGTAGTTGATGTTTGTCGAGGAGAAATATGGGGAATTCGAGGTTACTTGAAGCAGGAACATTATACCCATAGCTAATCGATGCAATGGTGAGTGACCGATACAGTGGCGCAGACATTCGAAGGAAGTAACTGACCGGTGGATGCAGCGAACATCAAACCAGGGAATAGCATGATGATCCACATTGGCACCATACACCCTCTGTAAATTACCATGCAGCGCCAAACCTGCACAGATATATTAGCGATAACATTTTCAACGTCGAATACCTCTACTCACGACCAATCCATCTGAAAGCATCATCGTTAGAAAACCACAGACGTTTCCAAGATTGTCCACAGGAATGCCGAACATTTCATTCTCAAATGCGTTCGGACCACCCGGATAATCGCGATATTGAATGAATGCGAGTTGCGTGAAATCGGCCAGCGCTGCCATAAATAAGGTGCTGAGGATGAAAGTTGTGGTGATGTATAAGAGTAGAGGTAGGTGCTTTTTGTAGTTCATGCGGTTCATCTGCCGGAAAAGGAGGTGGAAGCACATGGAGTACAGTGCGACGTCAATGCCATATGCAACGGCGCTGACCACTGTACCCTGCAACCAACCTTTCTCTGCGAGAAGCGTTCCAGACGATTCGTCTGGTGTCCAACTAGACGACATGATGGATCGGATGATGTTTGACGCGTCCTTCTGGGCGAGAGCGAGTCATGATCATGATGTTAGCACCTTCTTAAATATTATCCTTTGGTACCACAGCCGTTGGGCGCCTTAAGTACATAAGGTGAACCGTGAGCTTAGGACCTAGAATAGGATCACATACTGTCACACTGTCACAGGGCCTGTTCGGACATACGCAAGGTACCTGGCGACGTTTCAGATGTACGAGCAGGTACGAGCGCACCGAAAATGATCGAATTGAACTAATTAGGATGAGTCGCATGATGGAGGACGAAAAGGAAGGTCGTACTATGACCGAGATGATCCTGCCCGACTCGGATCAGGATGCCAATAATAGAATCTTACAATGTTTTCGACTCCACCGCCGGCTTCTTGCAATTACCGTACCTGTACCTATAGCTAGTAGCTAGTCGCCCGAGCAGACACGACAGGACGTGGCACATTCGTAGCTACCCCATGTTAATTTCTCTCCCGCTTCAGTCGTCGCTATTAAATATTAATGGTCCAGATCTCTATTGGTTTTTCTTCACTACTTCGCGTTAGTGCCCGTTGTCGTCTATCATTCGTTGCCATCACTCACGTCGGTCTTCTTGATGCGGTATCTCGTCGGATCCTGATGTTCCACATGCCCTCCTATCTCCTGAAGTCAGCCGTTTTCTCGGTCATTCGCTCTTTGGCCAACGATTTGTTGATGTCCTAACTCCTCCGAGTCACTGCTTTTTATGAGAATCGCTCGCATTGCCATGTGACTGACGTTGAGTTTGAAGTGGTTGATTACATCCAGTGCTGACAATCAAAGCGTTCATGATCCTCATCATGCTGCACCGGTTTGCAGAGTTAAGCATCCGTCTTTTATCGGCTATATTAATTTTTCACTATGTGTCTAGAAACTTCTCGTCTTGTACCTAATGTTCGCGAGCATTTTGTCCTTCCTGATTGTGGAGAATCAATTCAATCTATACCCCAATGAGGAATTGCTCAGAACTGCCGAATGCGTGCTGAGCGTTGGGCCGAGTATTTTCTTGGGTAGTCATCAGACCAGTATCGTTTCAGTGTGTTTTCTGATGACCTTACTGGATTAAAACGGTCATGTTATCTTCATGACCTACATACCAGTCTTACAGCAGAGAATGTCGCAAAAGTCTTTTGAGTCATTTGTTTGTTGGTGAGTGTCGTAACCACGTTGTAATATCTCGCCGTCGAAGCCACGGGCGTCAGAGGCGATGTTAGGTGTCCAGGTAGGCAAGAGAACGAGGGAAGATCGAGAATGAATGAAAGTAGAAACTGGAGAAAACGACAGGTAGATCTGGCTGATGTAAAACCTAGTACGACTATTGAATCACTCAGTAAAATAATACATAGTTCCGCAGATGCGCTCAGCGAAAACAGATTGAAGCTTACGAAGTAGTGTCAGTTTAGTCCCAATGCACTCTCCACTGCAACCACTTCTCGTGGTACTCTCCAAGTACAGAAATTGCCTTGCCCCAGTCTCTGCATACTAATGTGTCCCCGATTCTGTCCTTCTCGTAATCGATGCTCAGAAAGTCTCCCATCTCCAGCGTGTGTGCAGGATCACACATAAGAGTCTGCCGAAGATAATTGAGACAGTGATGTGTGTGATGATATGAGACCTTGGGTTGATCACGGTTGTAGTCGAGGAGAGCTTTCTGCAGCATCCATAAACAGTGAAGCTGATGACCGAGACCACCACGAAAACTCGGTTCTCTGGTCCTAGATGGGTGCGACCAATTATTTTCGGCCAGCTTGGGAGGCTCTCCCACTCCAGTTGAGATTCTGTATCAGATGCGTTCAGAGCAAAATGCATACTCTCGTGGAGAGTCATCGCGACGGCTTCATGGGTGAGATCGACAGGAAATTCCCATGGGTAATCGTCGCCAGCGTAAGTGTACTCTATAGATTCTGAATGCCGAGGTCAGTTCATCATGTTTTTGCTTTAACACACATGGGAGGTACTCGCGATGTTGTGCTGGTTGCAGTTGGATGCGAGCGTGCCACACGGTGACAAGTACACTAAGCATCCCGAACATCCATCCAACCACAGTTCTCCGCGAGACACCATGGATACCAATTGCTTGGAAGTTGCAGGTACTAACGCAAGTTCTTGATTGTTATGGCAAGTAGGTCCAGAATCCCTGCTCAGTGCTGATATATGATTAGCACAGCCAGCGAGTTTGCCATAGCCCCAAAATACTTTACCCTGTGGTCAAGCTTAGAGCTCCTCGCGGATCTCGCGCGTAGCCGTAGTACATCAGGAAAGCTAGGGTAGTTAGATCTAATTTGAATAATTATCACATAAATAGATAGTTTAGCAGATTACCCCAGAATCGGATCAGAAAACTCTTATTTATATTGGAACGACAACCATGTTGAAGGCGCTCCATGATGCTAGCTACTTTTGTAAGTCGCGTAAGTCGCTTTATCGTACTCCCAAATGATGACGACTTATAGGACTTACAAAGTAGTTAGCATCATGGAGCGCCTTCAACATGGTGTCGCTCCAATATTAAATAAAAGCGGTTAAGTGAGTTTCTGATCCGATTCTGGTCTATCGATGATTCGATATAAAAATAGCTGTAATGTGATTGAATTGCCGGCGATGCTTAGTTGTCACTGGTCAGATATTAGTAGAGACGGTCATCTGCATCAGAGTCCATCATCATCCTTCAGGAATCATATGGGCCGCATTACTGATGCATATCGGGCATCCGAACCGCCGGCAGATGTATCACGAACTGTGTATCACGAACTGCTTTTAAATTCCACCTTGGTACCGGCCCGTGCACAGAGTCCGTTGTCATCTCCGTCATCCTGAAAGATCATCAGATGTACCACACAGAATTTTAAGGTAAGGTTATGGTATTTCTTTCTGACCATATAACAGGTGAGCAGCTGAGCTAGACTCATTGTAGTCCATAGCCTCCGGACTGCGGGACGTAGAATATTCGTAGAAACACGTGTAGTGTTGACAGAACGACTCATACAGTCGGATACGGTTAACCGCTCGAGGCTCCGGACCTCGAGACACTGACTCTTGCTCTGAACGAGGAGAGACGAGACGTCAGTGAGTATTATGATATATGGAGTTCTATAATATGGCGTCCTAATCCACCAGCCTAATCAGCCTAAATCACGCAGACGTTTTTACGTGGTTCCAAGTATTTGCGACTTGATCGCTGACCATTTTGATCGAAACCTTCATTATGGCAGAAACTGCCAGTATATCCGCCCGAGTCATGTTATTTTCAAAGTTAACCCGAAAGTAACAGCATGGAGTCCTTGCTCAGAGGCCCTATCATCGCACCACTCCATAAACAGTATAAACTCAAAAGTGCCGTCACGCCGGCCTACTAGCATTCTAGGACTCTGAAAACCTATGCGCCAGACAATACTGGTGATTAGTACAGCCATGGTAAGTCCGCATCAGTCCACCGTTGTGTGCTAAATCTGAGCGCCGAGTTCCGTTTTACCTTTGACCAGAAAGCGAGCGATCCCCAAATTCCAAATCAACGCACTGCATTTAGGTACTAACCCCTTGTCGAGCTGATGTTTAAAAGGGCCCAATTCTCAATCTCGTCTGGCACAAAACAACGTATCTTAATCAGCGAGCCTTAACAACAGTATCATTCAATACTATGACGGTGCTCAACATCAGCTTCTACGTCTTACTCTTGTCTGTGGCCTTCACGCGAGTCTCAGCAGCAGACGAGGGAGAATGTCCCAGGACCAGTGACGACGTGGATGGTACTGAATGTAAGTACGTCCCAGCGATGGTGTGGGACATGGCTAACGAACCTCTAGCGGGGAGAGCACTGGATTGCTTTTAAGGCCTCAATGTAGCGGGAAGGTTAAAATTTGTTGTAAAGAGTATTGAAGCAGCAGACACTGGCAGGGACGGTCATCTTGGATATAATTATCATATACATATAGTGACAGATGCCCTCAACAATTTATTGCACCAGTTTATTTTTTGAATGAGCGGCGAGAAATTATACTACTGAGATTGTACTTGATAACAACCACAGAAAGTGGGTGCAGTGGAAGGGACTAAATTGATATCTTCTGTGCGTGTACATTCATTTGAGAGTAGAACTGAATACAATCTAATCTAGAGATCCTGTGTCCTACCGCGCTTCTAGGTCCATGATTGCCCTGGTGTGAGGCATACCCATCTATCAAAGGTGAGGTGGCTTTATAAAGGTTTATATGTGTGAACTAAGGGCGGAAGGGATTTTCTTACTAGTACCGTTAGCACCGTACATCGTGCGACTTGATACATTCCGGAAAAAATATTCCTGAATTCTAAACGAACACAATCTCCCTCACCAAGCTGATGCTTAGAAGGGCTCAACGCGACTTACGTGTTGATCATTGTTTTGGCTCAAACTTTAAGAGTGCAGGGGGAGGAATTCGAACGTGAAGGTCCAGACCCGATTATGGTGCGCTTTGCCAACGAGTATTGAGGACTCACGGCAGTTGGGCGCCCGTCGTGTGATAGGCATGGACTGTGACTCTGATAAGATCCATCATAATTATGAGATAACATCAAGCATACTACTGACCATGTGAGTGGTGAAAGTTCATTGAAAACGGCCGCATGCTCACTCCGTGAGTCCATTTTGATGCGGATCACTGATCATGAGGCTCTGAGATCTGAGATCTGAACGTTTGAAGCAAATATTGTCATAGTTTGGATATAATATGTATATCTTACCCCACAACCGTATCAGCGCAAGCTGATGGACTATCGCGGAAACTCAAATAATTATCAAGGAAAATTCAGGTTTAGAAGGTAGCGGAAGCGGAAACTACTCAATGATGGACGATTTTGATTGGCTGGTAATTGTATTACTAATGTATACATGTGCATACACCATCACTTGAGTGCCCATTTCATCCAAATTCCACATCGACCCTAGTCCGTAGCTTCAAATTTCCCTTCCGTGGTGATCGCTAGACTGGTGACCAGCCCGTCCACAAGTCTAGGTGATCGCCGCATTCGGTATTTGGAGTTTTGGATGAATATATTTTCCAAATTGCGAAATCAAGTATTGCTACATCATTCCTCGAATACAGTGCTAATACAACTGATATCATGATGATCACCCTCCTAAACACCGCCATTTTCATTTCAGGCGATGGACAAACAGCCGGAATAGTCCAACTCGAATGTTGAAACATCCTTCTCGTATATAAAGGGTTGCGTTCTGGTCGTTGCTACTAGCTAGCTCGCTCAACAAACGCGCCTCATACGTTCAACTTCCAATGACTGAAGTTACAGGCAAAGTAGATTTCAAAGTTGGTGACGACACGTACCAGACTTGGTACAAAATCGTCGGGGATCTCGCTTCGGGTTCACACCCTCTCGTCGTGCTGCACGGCGGCCCCGGCATCTCGCATGAGTATATGACACCTCTCGCTGAAATCCACACCAAATGCAACATCCCCGTCATCTTTTACGACCAGATCGGCATCGGCAAGTCCATTTTTGAAGGTGTGGCGGAGAAGCCCAAAGAGTTTTGGACAGTCGATCTGTTCATGGATGAGCTGGACAACCTTCTTGTTCACCTCGGTGTGCAAATGGCTTTGCTCTCCTGGGTCACTCCTGGGGAGCGATGTTAGGGGCGCACTACGCCAGCCACAGACACCCTGTGGGTCTCAAACACCTCGTCCTCACTGGCGGAGCCCCATCCATGGCACTGTGGGAAAAGAGTACTGACCAGCTGTTGAACGCGCTGCCAGCGGATGTGAGGGAGACGATTAAGAGGCACGAGAAAGAAGGAACAACAGATAGCCCTGAATATCAACAAATGATGGGGATCTTCTACGAAAAGCACATTTGCAAGACCCCCTGGCCAAAGGTGATGGAGACGTCATTTGCAGCCATGATGCAAAATCCTACCGTGTATCATACGATGTAGGTGATGTCTCGACGTATCTTTTTGACATGTACTGATCATTGTTGCCAGGATTGGACCGTCAGAGTTCACCATTACGGGCACGCTGAAGTCATGGTCGTGTTTAGATCAGATTCACACAATCACAACTCCTACTCTCCTCACTAACGGTGTCATGGATGAAGCGCAGGACGTCTGCGTCAGTCCTTTCTTCCACAGAATCCCGCATGTGAAGTGGGCGCAGTTCTCGCAGCGTCATATGCCATTCTTGGAGGAGGAGGACCAGGCAAGATATTTTCAAGTAGTGGCTGATTTTCTGACGTATCCTTGAATGATTAAATAATCCTGTAAAATATATCTAAGCTTCAATGAAGACACAGGAATGGAATGACCAGATAGCTAGTGATTTCCTCTTTCCACGGGTTCAGCAAAGGAATTATCCTGTCTTAGGTAAAGGACACGCGCTGAAGCCTGATAGAGGGCTGCCGCCTGTATGTGCACCTCCAGGAAAGCCTGGAGATACTAGAAGGTACCGAACCCACACCCCAAAAGTGACATCATAATTTCTTTCTGCTACGTACGGTTTTACCGCTACGACAGCCATCGTGCGACCTAATATTCGTGATAGCTAGTATATATACATCGTGATGTTGTGAGCAGGTGAGTTGAGTTAGTTGAACGCAGCGGAATTCAAGTCCAATACGGGACGTCTGACTTTCTCCTTTACCTTTACGGTCTCGAGGCTTTCTTTCTCAGCCAAAGAGAGCGAGGGATCATGACCTGTAGCGTGGTCAAATCTCCCTTTGTAATCGGGCATCGAACTTATACTCTTCGGGCACCAGTGTACCTTTGTCGGAACTTCCATCCAGTGGATCAAACCTCGCATCTCCCGCCCACCCTTCCCTCTCCATTATCTGGCTGAACAACTGTCTTAACAACGCGTAGTTCGGCTTATCTTCGAACTTCAAACCACGGCAGTGATCGAAGTACGTTGTGAACTCAGATGGAGAACGCGCAAGCAGGTCACGAAATGCTGATCCAGCTTTCATCTCACCAATTCGACGCAATTGGGCCTCTTTGCTTTGTGCGTAGATATCTTCCCAGGGCAGACGGCCATGTAATAGATATAGTAGGACGTTACCCAATGCTTCAAGATCGTCTCGCCGTCCTTGTTCTGCTCCTCGCTCATTAGCCACGAGCATGAATGAGAGTGACGTTCACGAACCTCGTCCGAAATCCACATTGTAGCTCAAATACGGCATGGTCCCCAATGCAACGCGGTCTTCACGGTATGGTATATGTGCTCCTGTGGATGGGTCAACGTAAAGTTTCGCCAAACCAAAGTCGAATAGATAGACGATGTGAGACTTTTCCCCGACGCCCATCGCGAAATTTCCAGGCTTGATGTCCCGCAAGATGACTCCTCGCGAATGGGCGAATTCGATTCTGTTGAACTGACAAAAATCAATATCAGAACTGGCGCGAGTATTCGGCACACTTACCATTTGGACTCCGAGCATAACTACGGTTTTCCAAGGAAGCTCGCCCCTGGACAGTCTGCGGAGCTGTTCGAGATTCGCACCTAGTTGTTCGAGAATCAAGACATATGATCCTTGTTCTAGACCACTCCATTTACATGATGGTATGCCTGGGTGACCGCGCAGGAGGCTATACACCAGAGCTTCGTAACGCACTACGCAAGGCATGTCTGGTGTGTCCTCCGATGCAGTCCCTGATTTGAGTGCAACTTCTGAGCCTGTGAGAACATGGAAAGCACTCGTCACACGTCCTGTAAAGGCACAGGCTATCAGTAATTGTGAAATAGAACAGTAGGCATACGAACGTACCAGAGCTTCCCATTCCAAGCGATTTCGTCATCTGATACATGCCACGGACGCGCAATGGCATTAGAGAGCCAATAGGTGGTTGCATCCGAGGCGGTGAAGGACAATGGACAAGCGAGGTGTTTTGCAGCTTTACCGGTAGAGCTTGCAATCCGTCTATCAATAGGGTGGGGTGACTTGTCCTGAGGTCGACTCTCGATCCCAGGTCTCCAGGACGTCGAACAAGAACCGTTGGGAAACCTGCCATGCTTGCCGGTTCCATCACTTGATGACAACTGGCTGTCGTTACAAGAACTTGGTTCTTTTCTGCGGTACTGCATGCTGAGCGACAGCGCTCCAAGAAGCTCGAAAATGTGGAATGGTTTTGGCTAAAGAGGTTCGAAAGGGGCGCAGGTTCATCGTCAATATTGAGACCAGATGGAAGTTGGGGAAGTGAAAATGACTTCGCGTCCGGGATCGGAAGACCAATCAGCGCGTGACCCTGATCCAGGAACATCCCTACAGCTGCTTCTGCATCTGCATATAAACCAGGTTGCAGTATAGCCTGGACAGCTTCGCGGAGTACGACTTCGCTCAGCGGCACTTCTAGAAAAATGCAGACATCCTCCAGAGCTTGCTGCACGATGGTAGTATATGGTGCGTCAGAGTTGTCTCTGTGTCTCATAAGTTCGCATTCGAGATACAATTCAGACAGTCGGTGTCTGTCGGGATGCGTGGGCGATAGAAGACGCATAGCGTCATTTATGGCACCGTCACGATCCTGGTTGTGTGTGAGCAACTCACACGCATGAGACTGATATATCAAAACTTACTAAGATGGTACCAAAGAGGTCAAAAACAATAACTCTGGTGGACGGAGCGGACACAGGAGACATGTAGTCTGGGACGAGGTCGAGCTCACCACAGGGCTCCGAGTCACTATCAAAGGTCCAACTATCTGACGATGGAGGACTTGTAGGGGGGTCACCGTCAAAGGGAACCTTTATCGACCAGAGTAATAGAGCAGGTTCCTTGATATTTTCGTCGAAGGTCGGTACATTCCCACTAAACGAGGAATCCGGCAGGAGGAGGCTGCTCCGTCGAGCTTCATGCACACGATCAAACTATGAAAGCCAACCTTCTGTTAGAAGTCGCGGGTGATGTCTTAGTGACCTACATTTCTCCACTTCAAAGCCCAATTCACAGCAACAGTTACACCCATCCATGAGTAGTCTGCAGTAAGTCTGGAACGAGTGAGAATGACGAAATGCACTAAACAGAGGCAACATACTGGTTATACAGAAGTAAGTCTTGATAAATGGATGGTGGTTCGACAGCAGACAAGTCGAAACTCTGTGGTTCCAAATATTCGAAAACGTACCCATTTTGTTTGAGCGCCCCTTCCGTCTGTTCATAGGGTTTCCACTTATACCATCCGTCCCCCACCGGTTCGCTACCACCAGATGAGCGTTCATCCGGCTCATTCGTGTATTTTTTCTTGCAGGATTTTGTCATAGTCATCCAAGACCGAACGACAGAAGGTGAGGTAACTAGATTCTTCAAGTCGATGCGGGAGATAAGCCACAGAGACTGGCGGCTCGAGTTCGAAATGTTCTAGAAGCTTTGGAAATGTATGGACATAGAGAGTACCCCCCTTCTGGATGTAAAGGGGGCTCAACATGCAGCATCCTGCTACCTTCGTCCAGTGATGATCCAAGAGCAAAGTAGCACCCCTCATTCACTCCGATTGGCTTCTGAGGTGATATAGCAAACACAGAATCTCCTTCACACCAATGGTCACCATCATACCCGATGTCGGTGCGCGAGATCCGCAGCGCTAGAAAAGGGCGAGTTGCTAAGGAAGTGGCTTTTAAGATTCCATAGCCAGATGTCCAATTAGCTGAACGCTGGGGTATCAATTTTGCGACAACAAAAGCATGAGGCATTTTACAGAATATACAGCTGTGTTGCACTTGGAATGTCGTTTGGTAAGATGGGTAAAGAGTTGAGTCAACGTCGAAGCTTCCTGTAGGACACCCCTAGTACTAAGCTTACATAATAACCGGCGAGTTGGACATGTAGCATAGCCACCCTCGTACTTAGTATTCGGTCACGCCGAATACTAACTGAACTTGCGCTCCTGCTTGACTGCTGAGCTGACTTATGAAACGCATGATATGACTTACAGTGACGTTCGCGTGACTGCCGACCTCTGTAGGGAGCCGATTGCACCGGAAGGGATAGTACACGAGTAAGATGGCTGATGGCAAGTGGGATGGATTGCATAGGATTGTAACCGGATGCCAAAACCTGTTAAATAAACGAAATGTTTCGTCTCGATGACCAAAATCCGACGAAAATTACGCAGTGGAGCGCTGGATCATGTAGACAGCTAGATGTTCAATTATGCTGTCAGCAAATCTCATAGAGAGTGGTGAAGTGCTAACCAGGTGCAGTCTCCTTGTGAGCTTGCCACCATTCTATATCGCAGCTACCGCTTGGTTCGTCCTCCGAACATGCTAACTCAAAAACAAGGACGTCGTCCATCGCACAAGAAAGTTTTCTGTGCCAGTCCAAGCTGTCTTTCCCTGGCACTATGTTACCAAGTTTCGCGACCCGTGTCGGTCGGACGTTAAACGATAAGGTTGAAATATCAACTGGTACAGTGGCATTGAGGCGGTATAAAGCAAGTGTAGTTGGTCGTTCCACAGGCGGAAGGGCGACGTGCAATTCGCAATTTTCCATGCCCCAGTCGATCGCTCTGAATTGAAATATTGTTGAAACCTTCTATTCCATCAGTCAATAGAACACAGAAAAATGGAAGATAAACCAACAGTTTGTGTAGCATGTACTTTGCGGTCATCAGGTGAGATTGTGCCAGTACGTGTCATGCGCATTGCAAGATAGTCATTGAAAACATGACTTGGCGCAGAATGATCCACCAAACTAACAGACATGGGGAAATTTGTGAACTCTCTCGGAATAGGAGGTGACGGTCGTGCGATCTCATCAAATCGGATATATTGAGAAGGACGACGGAGAAGGTGGACATTCTTTCGAGTGATAAGTTTGTCTGAAGATGCTGAAGAACCTTGGAGGAAGGCAGGGGGAGAGACCAGTAACAGGTTGATGAAGGTGCAGAAGATTACAACGACAAGAGGCCAGTGGAGCACAGTTCGCGAAGTCTTATGCAGGTTTGCTTTGTGGTCATCATCACTCTCAGAGTCGATGACTTCTTGTGGTGTCAGACTCAATGGTCTGTACGGCCTGGAGCTTGAGGAAAAGAACATGACGGGGAGAACGGCCGCGAATTCGACTTGAACAAGTTGAGTTGATCATGATGTAGCAACGGTAATTTGAATAGCAGTACTGACCATGCCGCATGCGTGACTGACTGAACCGATTAGCCTGAGCGGCCACTAGTACTGCAAGTAGTAAGTAATTACCTCATGCACATGCACATGGTGCATCGTCGGCGATTTGTCGTCTGCTATCTATGCACGGTTCTACCGCCATCGTGTGACCTGCGGCCATACCATCATATTCCTCCGAGCCTCCAGGACATCAAATGCATGAGAATAAAAGAATTCTACTAAATGATAGACCAAAGATAGGTTCGCCGCTACTGCGAGATCCGCCCAGCACATCAGAATGATCTTGGACCAACTTACTTGGCTAACCCTGGTCATGAGCGGTGTTAATCACAGTCAGCACCAGCAGGGTTTCTAGACAACTTTGATAATGAAGAATGCGTTACGTGCCAAACGGTATTGGTGATTTCTCGAGGAGGACTAAGTTGGATGCGGAGGTTCGGAATTCTGAGTAACGCGGACGCGATCGTCTTGCACCAGCGGAAAACTGAAGTATTTCTTAAGGTATGTCATTCGGATGTTTACCGCTCTTTTCATTATTATTTCAATCGACTAGAGTCCTTTAAGAAATCTCTGTTTGAGGGGTCTTTAAGAGGCTCAAGACGCCACCGTAGATGCGCAAGTGGCTGCCTTCCGCGTCGTATGATATTATTATAGCCCACGCCAGTGACAGCGCTCATTGCTATTAGCGTTTTCCGGGCCCAAAATATCGCAGGTACTACTCAAGGCCGTCCCTATGGAGTTGTGGCGACAGCTCAACTTACTAGGTCCTATTGACTAGTCTGCAAATACTACCAGCATCATGATCGCTATATGTGCTTTGGCCCACTTTGGGGTATTCTTGGATAGAGACACAATAACCTACGTTCGAGGATGCGCGGCATTCTGACTTGGCCCATGCAAGCAGGCACCCTTCATGCGACACCTATGACCACTACTTTCTCATGTGCATCCGGCAGCGAGGTCTTTAGCAGATTAAGTGGCCATTCTCGCAACGCTTTCAGAAGTATTTCTTGACGTCACGTTTGGAATCTATCTTTGCTTCTCCTCGATAATATCAATGAAATCGCTCACAACGTCATCGATCATCATCTATCATCCGCAGCACGGACATGTGTGGTCTGCTTTTCCACTCGGTTCAGACCACTGTACTGAAGCAGTCCGCCCACCAATTGTCGCTTTTGGACGTCCCAAATTCTCATCATGCTATCAAGGGAAGACAGTAAGCTACGGCCACGTTGTTTATTTTGGTTTGATGGCCCGTGGTTATTATCTATTACCGCGTGCTGCATATGGACACTTCATAGCACTATTACACTTGCTGTATGTTGACGCTGAAACACCCGAGGACTCAACGATCAAACAGAAAACGGACAACTTGAATAGCATTCTCATAGCAAATGAATGAATATCGATAGAATATAGCAGTAAATTAACGAATGTGAGTTATCGAGGTGACATAGCGAGTGGGGGGACAAGGGATAAGCGCTGGCAATACAAATGGGACGAGAGGCAACCAATAAACCAAGCATAAGATATTACACACATTCACCTTCTTACCCCCGGCGTCCTCCCCTCTTGGGAGATACGCGAGCAGATTTTCTCGGTGGAGCATGTGATGCAGCACTGGCAGCCTCCTCCACCTCCTCCTCGTCCTCTAGATGCTCCTCCTCTACGACCATCCCAACCGCTGCTTCCTGCAATCGCGCCAGTGGTGACGAAGCACCACCACGCCCACGTCCCTTTGCAGCTCTGGTGCGCGTAGTGGGGCCATTTGCTTCCGGTACCCGCCGTAGCTTTTTCAGATTCCCATTCTCGACGTCCACATCCGGTGGAGGGCTTTGTGGGTCCAACTTGCGCTTCCCATTTCGCACGCTATTTGTGATTTCTTGATGGAGGGGCGCACGGGCAGATTGTTGGCGCAGGTGGAGTTTGTCGAGGCCCTCGGTTACCGTGGGTTCGCTTGAACCATCAGTCATCTCCGCATCTTCGTCGAGCGAGGAGACACAGGAAGCACCGTCTTGGATAGATGCGACAGAGGAGTCGGTAATAGCGCGAGGCTGAAGATGGGAGAGTGTTGGAACGTCGGCAAGCCATGGGTGAGTGCAGGCTGCGCTCAGAGACATACGATCCCGAGGGTCATGCTCGAGCAACCTCACAATGAAGTTCCTCGCTGTTCGACCACACATCCGTAAATCAGCGTGTTGCAAAAATTGGTGGGGAAAGCGTACCCAGCGGAGAGACGTCTACACTATCTAAAGTGCTCCATTGAATTGTGCGTTCTGCGATCCTGACCTTGAGATCACGTTGATTCTCATCTTCGATGAAGGGGCTTGACAATGTAAACCTGTGAAAAGCACCTCCAGATCAGCGAACAAGGACATGGCATACACGGGTCTCATGCTAACATGCAGAACACGATCACCCCAACGCTCCAACTGTCAACAAGGTGATCATAGCCTTCCTGGTTTTGCTGGGTCACAACTTCGGGGGCGAGATATGCGGGTGTACCGCACATAGTCTGCGGGGCATAGATCCATCAGTGACATGTTAGGTAGCCAAAGATGAAATTACTGACTCTGAGGAATGTGACGCTATCGACAACCTTGGCGAGACCGAAGTCGGCAACTTTGACGGTGGGGGGATTTTCCGTAGTTAGCAGTACGTTCTAAACAACCAACATTCATAATGGAATCAACCGCTTCAAGGGAAATCCATTACCTCGGGCTTCAAGTCACGGTGTGCGATCCCCTTGCTATGGATGTACTTTGAACGGGAGATAGAATTCAGAGGATTTACGGTATCACACAGCGAGTTGACTTACTGCGAGGGCATCGCAAACTTGCGCTATTATGTGGACAGCCAGCGGCTCCTCTGAAAATAAGCCTGAGAATCACCAAGCGTCGACAAACCGAACAACATACTAAGACCGCCCTCTCTTAATATGTAATCAAGTAAATCTCCTCCATCGACAAATTCGAGGACGAGATCTACACAATTGATCAGCTAGATCAGTAGGGTACAGCGAATATACGCACTGATACTATTATCTTCAAAAAAGGCTTCCTTCATCTGGCAGATATTCCGATGATGGAGCCGTTCCAAAATACTGATCTCTCGTGCAAACGCCGTTTCATTATTGTTGACAGTGGCGCGCTTGACCTTATGGTCTTGGATAACCTTGATGGCATACCACTGGCCCGTCGCACGCGACACAGCCTTCATGACAGTTGCAAATGACCCCTTGCCGATCTCGTGGCTGATATCATATTGAGCATGAAGGCCGCCCTGCGGGGGGCCGGCAGCGGTGTGCCGGTAAATGAATCCTGAAAAATGCGTCGATAAGCGAAGATCAACACGAATGTAAATAACTAACGATAGTCTTCAAGGTCCCCGGGTAGGGGATGGGGAGAACCGAACGCAATCTCATTTCCCTCCTTGAGGACCGCAGTTTTGTCCTTTCCAATCTTGACACCGTTGATCTGCAAATTTCACCATCAAACGATGATCATTAGGCTACGTTACTGATGCGTACCCAAGTACCATTGCTGGAGGTGTCGAGAACAGTCACTGCGGAGTTTTTGTCCTCCTTTCCATCCCAGGTGATTCGACAGTGCTTATTGCCTACATCGCGACGCGTCAATATGCAGCATCGAACGCGCTAGAAAGCGCCACCAAGTATACACTAGACACTCACTGACTTTACCCCCAGGGAGAATGATATCATTGTCGGGAGCCCTTCCTACTGAAGCTGCGGGTTGAACTTTCCAAAGATCGAGGCGGCGAAGCACGTTGCTGCATGGCTGGAGGTAGCCCCACAGATGGCTATTGGTATTTGCAGAATTCGGTTGAGACGCGTGCTGGGTGGATTGAGTAGCTTGTTGCGTCTCCTCGATCATAGAATCATCGAGGGGCATCAAATCGTTAGGGATCTCTGCGGGTGATGATTGGATCATGATGTCTAGTGAGACTGTTTGTTCTTCAAATTACGTGCTGAGTGAGGGGTGTTTGAGAAGGTAGGTTCGAGAAGCAAGTTTATATAGGCTGTCAATGAATTTCCTGGGGAAGTGGTGACTTTGATAAATTGCTTCAGTCGTCTGAGCACCCACAGCAACAAAGGGCTACAAGCGATAAAAACCAACAAAGTCCTCCAATTAAAAGTGGAAAACCAAGGAAACTTGCGTAAGCGGACGCGCTTTGATGATGCTTTGGCCGTCGTCAACGTTGGAAGGAGAAAGATAGGAAAAGATAATTCCACGGAAACAGATTTTTTTGCGCAAAAGGATCAAGTCTAAGCACAAGAAAGTCAAGCGCAAACCGTCAGACGGTGGCTTTCACGCGGGTGCGGTATTAACGACCCCAGTTTACTCAAGACGACGCGACAAAAGCATAACACGTGCCCAACTCAATTGCGCGACTAAAAGCGGTGTCCGAATTTTCAATTGAATTCAAGCCAAACTGGGAGCTCGCATAGGCTCGCACTGCCCTCTTTTTATCGTAAACTTCGAGTCTAGGCCAGGGGACCGGTCTCAAGAAACAATTAGTGTTTCTTCGTTACCATAGATAAGTGGTGGGGCTACAGTCATAATGCGACAAAAAAACCGCGATCGGGGGCACTAATAGGAGGGGAGGTCTGAACATCAACAAAAGGTAAATAGATCAGTAACCACGAGGGTCCAGATCAAACGCTGAAGATCGAAAGTGTCGCGCAAAAATTTGAAAAGTCACTCCCCAAGTAGAGCATGTCAAATTGCATCCTCCGAGTCCCACCTCGAAACCTTCTGCAGTGGGGGATAATAATACTTCTTGAATTTCTTCGTCTCATTCCTCTTCTGCTTTGGCATAAGCTCCTCCAGTAGCTCCGCACGCTCACGGTCTTCATCCCTCTCAGAGACATAAAACCACCTTGCCTGCTTTGCCCCGTCCGTCCCACTACTTTGAACTTTTTCGAACATTCCACATCGCTCGCGCCCCGCTTCAAGCATGACTAGAATGATGTTAAGCCACTCTTTTTTATTGTGTTTCGTTTTGAGATGGGGGTGCGTTTTGGTAATAGCAGTGTGAAGAGCAAGCGGGTCCATAGACGAGGCACGCGATGTGGCGAGAGCCTCTACAAGCATGCCTGTAAGCTCAACTTGCTCTGGATCAAGGAGTGCTGGCGCAGCAGAGGAATCTTCGGCCTTCGTCGTGGAAGGTTCGGAACCATTGCGTGATTGAGGCTCGTCACAGATTCGAGTAACTTGTGTGCGCAAATCCTCTCCAGAAGGTTTTGATTTGAGACACGAGCGGGATCGTGACCGTGATTTGCCAACTGTGACTTTCTCCTTCGCACTCGAGGAAGTTTTATGCTGGCGTTGTTTGCGTCTGGGCCCCTGGTCCGTATCACGGTCCATATCCTCTGAGAGCCGAGGTTTCTTATGTGCAGGCGTAACAAATGAGACGGAGTCCTCCCGCTTCAGTCCCTGTCTTAGCTTGGGCTCAGGTTGGGACCTTGACGGCTCTTTCGTCAAACCGACCCCTTTGTCTGGAGAATTGGGACGCGACATGCTGCTCCTACGTGCAGTTTGGGGCTGCGGCTGTAACGCGCTGCTCCCTTGCACGAACTCCCCGTCACTAAAACTTGGTCGTGGCTTCTTCACCGTCTTCAAAGGAGAATGTGGGATGGCGGTGGAGGTGGCAAGGAGTGGGTCAACCGGGTTTGTGCCTGCTGATACTGCAGCGACACTCGAAACACGAATTTGCATAGACTGCGATGTAGCGTTGTCGCATTGACCGACTTGTGTGTCGACCACACCACTAGATGCCGTGTTTCTGGCTGCAAGCCCCATTTCTTCTTCACTCAAGTGAGGTGGGGGAGTGACGGCGGACGGGATATTAGTGTATGCACTAAATCCTAGTAACGTGTTTGTAGGCGAATGCAGGTACGATCGCGGCTCGATCTCAGTGGTGGAAGTCAGGGTAATAGTGTTAATGGGGGCAGGCAAAGTTTAAGAGGCTGATGAGTTGCCTCGTTCGTACAGGAAGAGAGGCACGCGGTTGAGGCTGCGTTTAACGCATGTTCCGAGGCTAATAGTAAGGGACCCTCGGAGTCGGAGGTAAGAACGTCACGTGGCGTGACATTGGCTGAATGGGTGTTTTGCTGCTTGGGATCCAACTACACAACATGCACATACATGTTCAATCGTAAATAAACGGGTTAAGATACCGAAATTAAACTCACATCATCTGGATTGCAATCGTCGTCGAGGACAACATCATCATCAAGTAATGCACAATCGTCTGGCTGCGACGGTGCCAGTGACATCGGGGACGTGGGTGGAGATGACGGAGGAAGGGGCGAAAGACTACGATAGTCCTCAATATCATTGTTATCGCTGGCTGCAAGAAATGGGGAGCTTGACGGATCTTCCTTTACTCCACTCGTCGATTGCCTACGGACAAAATCACGGAATTCCAACAAAGGGGACTTCACGTCTCGAGTATTGCTTTTCACAGGGGTTGAATGCCCCCTGTAGGGGCGTATTGGACTGGATGTAAACGACATGGCGTTGTACGTTCGAGGTATGACTGGACTGCTCTGCCAGCGACCACGTTCGGAGGATGTAGCAAAGTATGTTCGGCGTAGATGAATATCCATGCTTTCGGGGTCGCACCCAACGTCTTCCGGTAAATCACGTGCCGGGTAAAGCGGGTCAAGCCAAGCGAGTAAGTCTTCGCTACGATAAGGCTCGGAATCCACCATCTCATCATCACTGTCCGGATAACTTCCGTACTTGTCGGACATCTGCTGGTGGGCCATATACTGGGAAGTGCGACCCCGATGGTAGAAAGGCGTTGGTGAACCCGGCGCATCATCAAACTCCAGGTGAGATTCTTCATATGAATTTCGAAATTGTGAATGCGAATGTGAAAAACGAGTCACAACATGATTTGGAGGGGAAGAGCATATCGGTGTCGAAAGTGGTGATGACGAGGGTAACGGAGATGTCACGGGTGACGGAGAATATAGATCATTGTCATCCGGCTCATATAACGATGGCGCGTTGACAGAGGCTGAGGAACTTTTCCTCCGAAGCTTTGCTGGGAGGTTTGGAGGAGGAGATACCGACCGCATATATGCGGAAGACATGGCGGTAAACAGTCAAGAGTATATGAGTCACGTGGAGACGCGTTCGCATATGGTCAACGCGTTTTACGACGGAGTTTGAAAACACGTCGCGTCTACGGCCCGACGATAAGTTGCTTTTCAAATTGATTCTTATCATCAATCCAAGCCCATTGATTATCACCGTCATGACTCATAATTAATGCACAGGCCAGCTCACAGATGGCGATTTATGCTGCCTGCGATATTAATGGCCAGTCCGACACCCTGCCAGCGATTGCGCTATGTTCACGTCCGCAGCTCGAGATCAGTCTCCCAGTCAGATGGTTCGAGTCTGTAAATTGACCTTTGACAATCTGACTGGGAGACATCTTCAACCGACCCTCCTCATGCACCTGCTCCGCTCCATTAATGTGCATGGAGGTGTCAAGAGCTGACTCAGAATCAGGCCATGAAACCCCCACGCGCAACAAGGGCGTCTACGCTTAGCACCACTGCGGCTCTACAAGCTCGATCATCGTCCTTCACTTACATTCATTCAGGAATTCGTTCGTATTTTATACGTTTTGCACCGCCTTCGGAAGCTGAAGATATGTCATACAAACTTTTTCGGTGTCTAACCTAAGAAGGTTTGAAAGGAACCAAGAGAGGGCCTTTTTGGGGACCTGAAGGTGTATGCTACTAAAATCGTTTCAGGAAAAAATGATTGAGGTGATTATGCTTTGTTCGCAATGATATTTCTAATTTATCCATTTGGAAATGTCTTTTCGATGGTCACATCTGTTTCACATGCGCATCCCGTTCAGCCACTTGTCCGTGTCTGTTGTTATCTAGGACTTAATGACAAATGATTTGCTTGATTTATGCTCGTTGCGCTCTTCATACTTCCACGTGAATTCGGAGGGTGAATGGTTGCCTCTAGCATGTGATTCGGTACTTACTCAAGAACTGGTTTATGATTAAGCTAACTACTTATAGAAACACTGTAAGGTTATCAAAAACGAGAGGATAAAGGCGTTGCAGCCAATGATACAGCGGCGCCGTGAACAAAGGGAGTTTTTTATCCCTTTGTTCTGGCAACGAGCCTAATAGCAATAAGGTATGTAAGGAACGTAGTGATATACTAATGAGTGTGATGCGTCGATAAGGTTGTTTCGGTCCCCGAACGGTGGTGACGTATCTATCACGCAGCGGCACTGATGATAGAGTCGAGGAGTATGTTGTTGTAATCACCACCAGCTTCCCACATCGCGAAACCGCGCAGCCCGGTGTTCTTGATATACTTGCCCTTGGCAGCAAACGACTCGGCGTTGTCGAAGGAGACCATAACTTGTGAAGTCTCATTGTACACATACGGCTGTAAAAGCAACGAAATGAGCATTCCTCCTTCAGAGTAAACAATTATATTTACCGTCTGACTGCAGGTGTCGTATCTGTAGTGGATGCCATCAGCAACCTTGCCTTCTTTGGTAAGGAAACCGCCGTCAATGAGGCCCCAGAAGTTGAAATCGCCACCTGCGCCCTCGTGAACGCCACAGACATCAACAGAACCAGCGTCATCCCATTTATCGCCCAAGGGCTGGTTCGAGGCGTTGAAGGTGGGGAATGCAGCTAGTTCCTTCTTGCTAGTCGTGAAGGCGTCAGAGGGAGCGACGCTGAATGAGTGACCATAGGTAGGAACACCGAGCACGATCTGGTTGATTGGCATCCCCGCCTTCGTCCAAGCCTCGACTGCAGAAACAGCAGAACCCTGTTGTTGCGCGGGCGCAGCGCAGGTATCGTTCAACGGTGAGTTAGGCCCCACATTCGGGAGCCAAGGACCCCAAACGTCGTAGTTCATCACAGCGACGTAATCGAGTACCTTCGCAAACTCACTGACGTCAGCAGAAGGATTTCCAGTAGCGTCATCGAAGGGTGCGAGAGACACGGCCGCCGAGATGGTGAGCTTTCTTTCTACTATGTTTATGCGAAGCTCTTGGAGGAATGCGAGGAAATTTGCCGTGTCGTTCGCACTAATGGTGTTGCAAGCCGATTCCCTGATGGTTTGGGTACTCCCAGCTATCGCAAATCAGGGTCAATATGCGGTGTCGGAGTTACAAGAATCAACCTACTCAAACTGGATGCCATCGAGATTGTACTTTGAAGCAAATTCTGCCACGGTCAGGACAAATGCCGTCCGGTTTTCGGCAGTGGCAAGGTTGGAAGAGAACCAAATACTCCCAGTCCAGCCTCCGACAGCAATATGGGCCTCAACACCCTGCGCATGGGTTAGACATTAATTGTAGGAGCGATAAATTTTTATTTGCTCACATGTGCATGGGCCTCAGAGACGAACTGAGGGAGCAACTCGCCATCGGAGCCTACCAGGCTTAGACTGTTGACATCCTGAGTGGTCTCTCTAAGAGAAAAAAACATGATCGCGTTAATCACCTCATTAAAGTTTATTGGGGAGACAGGCAACTTACGCAAACGAGTAGTACATTGTGTTGTACTTCTCCCAGTTAATTGAAGAGAGCGGAAATCCTTCAGTGGCGTGCCATCCGGCGTACCAGGCTGCTGCGATGGGTGTGGTGGAACGAGCAGCAATAGAGCGAGCAGCATTAGAATGGGCGGCAATATTGGAACGGGCAGCAATGGAATGGGTGGCAAACGGGCTCGCACTTACAACGGACAGGGCAAAAAGAGGTAAAACGAGGGTGGATAACATGACGAGAGACTCGAGAGACTTGGGGGAATTGTAATCGTGACGACTTCTTATAGCTTTTCTGCCATCCTGAGTGAATCAAAATTGAACTAGGTTAAGAGGTTGTTGCGTTGGGAGCCAAATTGTTAATATGTGCGGTTACGAATCAGAAGACTGGCATCAATTGCGATCTTGCTGTACGGGTGACTCCGTACCATGGAAGCGGTCCTCGGTTATCGCAATTTGGTTTCCCGATATTTTCGAGAGAGGACGACCGCCGACAGTTGACCACAATATGCGAGAATCTACGAGGTTCCAGAAAACAGCAACTTCATAGCGCAAAATATATGACAATACTCTACGCGAAATCACCAGCGAATCAGTCCAAATCCCATCTCATAACATTGCCTAAAAACGGCGTCACCGTCTTGGCATGCACTCTCTTTCAAAAGTACATGGTCAGACATCCCGTTGTCTTTGACGTACCGAACGCAAGCATCATCAGTTGCTCCTGACTGGAACCAAGGCTCCTTGATAAATTGATTTGTTTGAGCAGACCGATAGCGATCTTATTCAAACACGTACAGATGTCAGTCAAAGACCGTATGTATGGTCTTTATGCCCTCCAATTCGACATTCGGTGGGTACACCGGGGTCACTGGCCTTTTCCGCTAGGCGAAACCAGGACTACCTGCTCAACAAGGAAATACATTCAGCCCCAGTCAAGCTGTGATCGAAATAAACTTGTAAGCGCTGAATTCACAACACGAGAACGAAGGAACGTAAGACTTCTGCCCATGGAGACTAATTCACGTGGCAGGCCGCACTGTGCAGGACGTGGCAAAATATCCGCATCAAAAACCTTTTCACAGTTTGCCGGTATACCGGGTACAGCGGAAATAAGTCCCCGACGCGAGGAAACACCGACGGTCGTGCACATCATAGTGACGCCGGCATTTCGTTGAACCGTGCCACGAGGTGCCACGACGACGAAATGACTCATTGCCGAAAGTAATGATAATATCGCGGAACGGAAATATCGGATTGAACCTGATTATACAGCCAAGGTGGGTAATACGGAGCAAAACATCACCTAGTAATCAGAGAGGAGCGGAGGGGTCAGACTAGTCCGTCCTATCGTTGGAGGATGGACTGGTCACTAGTCTAGGTTGAAACGGGATAGAATCCACCCTACGAGCCTATCCAACTATCCGCGATTGTTGTTACTCAGCGCTCAGCCGCTGTGCCTGTTGGGATGGTGTCGGTCAAAATGTCCGACTCGGTGTCCTCGCTGCGTGCAGTTGGGGAAAGGAACAGTCTCGGCAATCTGTAGGCTGTCAATGAGGTCATTTCCCCCACATAAGCCACGGTGGCTGTGGTTAAGGTAGTAAATAATCGCACCGCGAACAACTTCAAAGCTTCAAGTCGTATGTTCCATGCTAAGTTGACTAGAATCAGCCAGCTAGATGATGTTATAGCTGCCCTCGTCAGAGCATCATAATAAAAACAGAACGCGAAAGCGCCCGTATCAACGTCAGTAAATCATGAGGGAGCCGTGGGAGTGTCGCGCACGGGCCAGGTCGAAAAGATATATAAACCTTTCATCCAAGTGATTGAATCCTTAGAACATACTCAGCTAGGATCTATTTTATAGAAACTAACTCGAGTCTCGCATGTTTACACATACCACATCCTTCAAATCCACTCGATGACATTCGCGCTCTCTCGTTCGACAGAGAACATGGCCTTTACGTTTACGTGGGGTCTCGAGGACGTTTGGTTCTGTCTTTCGCACGACTGCTTGCAGTTTAGTGAAATGGAGCCAGCGAGTAGAGCGTCTGTCTGATGGATTTCTATTTTGTATCATACGAGTTTTCTGTACGCACATGGTTCACAAATTTGATTTGCTTCAGTGAAATTTTCATTGAGAAATTCATATGTAAAATTTACAAGACGCGCAGATAGGAAGTTCATCATGGAGCTTATATAAGGACACAGCTGTGGACTATCTGTGCAAAGCTTCAATGAAAATGCCAGCCAAAGATGGCTTGACGAAGTATGTTAAAACGCTCAGATGACAGAGATCGATCATTGCAGGTACAACAAGTTCATTCAGTCTTGAATGCAAATGGTTTTATCCTTGCAAGGCACATAACATACTGGATGCTGCCTGGAAGCTCATCGACACCATTAGACCATAGGCATTGATGTGAAATTCGTGCTTAAAATATGGCGAACATATACACCACATACGAGAGGGAGACCATGATGTCATATTTTGCATGTCGAAAGATGTAAAGGGAGAGGAAGCAAAGCATGCACATCGAGAATTACATCGCGTACGACGCCTAATCCCACCCGCTGGTAGTAGTGGGTTCCGCTCCCCATCCACCTGAAGCAGGCTCCGCTGACCAATCGGTAGTAGGTGCAGCATCTGCTGCCCAGTCGAGAGCACCTGAAACACATGGGTAAATATAGGTAAAATCACGGCACGGCACCTGTACTCACCACCGTCTTGGGCGACAAGAGCAGGGTTGATCGAGCCTGGCTGAGGAGCGGATGGGGCATCCCACTCCGACAGACCACCCTGGGCCTCTGGCTCAGCAGCGGCAAGCTTAGCCTGTGCTTCCTCCTGTTGTTGCCTCTCCACTTCTTCAGGGTCGCGGTAGAAGAACATGTCAACCATCACATTCCAGCCATCAGGAGTGCGAGGGATCGTCCCACGGAGCCTCAACACCTCCCGTGCGAGCAACCACCAAATCAAACCAATCGAATGGCGAGTCTTGTTGTTTGTGGGGATGGCAACGTCAACGAACTTGAGGGGTGCATCCGTGTCGCAAAGAGCAATGACGGGGATGTTAACATACGATGCCTCGCGAATCGCCTGGTGGTCAACGCGAGGATCGGTGACGATGATAAGACGGGGCTCTTTGAAAGAGCGGGTGATGTAGTTCGTGAAGGAACCAGGGGTGAAACGGCCGGCAATGGCTTGTGCGCCGGTGTTGGCAGCAAATTTGAGGACTGCACGGTGTCCGTAGGGGCGAGCAGAGATGACACAGACGTCGTTAGGGTTCTCGACGGCGGCGATCACACGCGCAGCAAAGACAAGCTTCTCCCAAGTCTTGCCAATGTTGAGAATGTGGATGCCTGTGCACACAAGAATTCAAGATAGCGCAAATAGAATTCGTGCATGAGAGGCGTGAACATGATTTTGAGAGCGGACTAACCGTCAACGCGGCGCTTCCAGACATAAGGCTCCATCTGCTTATCGCAGTTTTTTGTGCCAATGTGACATTGCGCTGCCAGGAGGAGCTGGATCTCCTCGTCAGTTGCGCTCAGGACGGAGGGAAGTTTTGACGACATGATGGGCCTGGACACAGTAGTAGAGATCAGTATAATGTTCGTCGTTTGAGAATTCCTATATAACCCATATATTCCACCAATATCATACATCCATCCGCCTTCTACATCGTCAATCCACCCGATCCACCAATGAAAACTGCGCAAATTAGAACGATGAGATGTTCAAACATACCGTAAGCGTAGTTTTGTGCTGGACGTCGACTTGCTACGACGTTTGGCTGGGGGTTTTCGATTCCTTTGAGCTCGCTATGCTCCCTCGACAGTGTTTAGAGGTAGTATGCTTAGACAGTCCGCTCGGTAACTACCGGATTATTCCCACGCCATGCGGTTGGTCACTTGAGTACTGAGTTCCTGATCCAGGACCACAACTACATATATGTTTCATCGCTTTCGACGCCGGTCTAGTCTTATGGTGGTTAACTCAGACGTAAAAGGGCGCTCTTCGAGCTTGCGAGGAATGACAGAACTGAACCTTCAAGATCCGGAGTCGGTTTCTTTCTAGGCGACACACGTCAATATTCATTCTGGAGTGTGATAGTAAGCCTAGTACTGTAGTCAGGGACACGATTTTTTAGTGTCCACGTAGGTCCACGTCAGGAGTTACATGGCCCGTAACCAACTGGTCAGGCATCATTCCTGTCACTGCGAGAGACACTCTTGTAGGATGAGGTGAGTACTATTACTTCCGCTGCTCTCGCTAACCATCCATTCCATACAGACGTGAAGGTTCAACGAAGCAAGGTCTTCTATTACTACATAGAGGCTCGGATAACGGTCAACTTCAATGGAATGCCCGGAAACACGTTGGGTTTGGTCTGGCTCCAGTTGGCTACTTTCTCATTGGACGTAAATCTAAGTATCGATAAAGTCTGGGTACCGAGTCTTGGTAATATGGCGTCGTTTGTTTCTTCGTGAGTAACTTCAGTGACTGAGTTCTGTGACCTTGCAAGCAAGGTCATATGCCATCTCATACGATTAAAATCAAAATCGAAAACACTAAACTGCATGCAGTGGAGAAGCTAACGATTTGGGAGAAAATCGGTCGCTGGCGAGAGCTATCATCATGATGACAAATTAAGCAAGTTCATCGTCAGCGACGGCGCCTAGTGTCATTATGTAATGCTGGCACGCCAGCTGTAGCGTAGTCAGCCAATTAAAATCGTTTATCGTTTATTGCGTCTGTGCATTCCAAGAGTAGTAAGGTTACACGGTAGTCTATGTTTCTAGCTCGCCGGATCATGCTGAGCGTACTCTTGGAAACTTTATAACTGGTTGACCAGCCGCAAGGCCCCAGGGCCTACATACTTATTGACCACTAGCAGTGTGGACTCATTGAAGAGGTAATTTCGGGATATTGAGGCTTGGCAGCAACGTCAGCCCATGTAATAAACTGCCTGTGGCTGTACATTCTAACCCATTCTATATAGCTCAGACTTTCGCAACGCTCCTTCAAGTTTCTCGGTTTCAACACCACCATGACACTCTATGCACGCCACCCCCGATTTACGGTCGCTCTTCTCATATTAATTTTCATTTCGTTGGTCATGTTTGCGAGTGACTCAGCCTCCTTTAAATCAGTAGCCTTCAGCAAATCTAGGGACGCCGTGCTTGCAGAAGCGCTTGCGTTGGAAGAGGTGTATTATGGGGAAATGGTGCAGCAACGACAGCAGCTCGTCAAAAAATGGGGACCAACACCCGAAAAGGTTGACCCGTGAGTTCGCAATTCTCATGGGACTTTAACGACGTTCAAGTGGTATTTATTCACTGGCAGGTTCCCTTCGCACGGCGAATTTTACACTCTCTGTGAGTGATTCTGTTCATAGGAACACGTGGCAGTGGAGCTAGGGCTCATGGGTTGTTCGCAGGGGACTTCTTTCTGCCGTCATTTAGATGCCCTCATCGAGTGGAGCGTGTTGGGATTATGGGCGACGGAGGTAAATGGGTCTGTGGATTAGAACGCATAGCTCCCAAACCCCAATGCAAGATCTATTCTTTCGGTGGGATAGTTTGCCGCTTATCGGATCATAGTGATTGCTGATGGCTAATTAGGGGTTAATGGCGAGTCGTCTTTTGAGGCGGATCTTATGAAGGCTGCGCCTGGTTGTCAGGTTTATGGCTATGATTTCAGTGTCGCTTCCGTAGGTCTGTTCGCTCAGCGTCAGTCTACTTGAATTGACGTATGCGACTCATGCAGTTTGGTCCCGAGATCGAAGAAGACAAGGAGCTAAAGTCACGCTCTCACTTTTTCTCATACGCACTCGGGGATAAAGATAAGCACAACGCAGCTGACCATCCAAAAATGTACACCCTTCGTACTCTCATGGAACGGAATGGACACGATTTCATTGATATCCTCAAAGTTGACATTGAGGGCAACGAATTTGATTCGTTGTCAACTTTCATCGACTCTTTCCATGGTGAACCGCTCCCATTCGGCCAACTTCAGCTTGAAGTACACGTGTACCCAGGCAGTGTTTGGAATGAGTTCCCGAAGTTCCTCGGGTGGTGGGAAAAGCTGGAAGCTGCTGGCTTGAGGCCATTCTTCTCTGAGCCAAATCTTGTCTACATGAACCTCATCAGAGGTCGCCCAGACCTTATAGAGGTATGTGTTGCTACGTCGATGTCAGTGTATCAGTACTGACGTTCTTTCAGTACTCCTTCATTAACATTCGCGGTGACCATGAGCTGGTGTCCAACCGACCTTCATCTTCGCGATCCGGCTAAAAGTCCGCAGGGCGGATGGACTCTTCATTTATCAAAATCGGACATGTTGCATCATTCCTTTATACTGTATTGAAGATTTATTACTCTCGATCATGGACAGTATAAATTACATCGATCTTTACTCCGTTTCTTTCTTAATAGAAGGCAGGTGTCTCAGCTTCAAATGGATCCCAAGACCATTCGTTTGTTACGTTGTAGGTCAAATGAAGCCCGAGATTTACCTCGCAGCCATGTTAGCGCTGATACCTTGTTGGTATATTCCTAAGCAGCTGCCCTGATTTACTGATGGTGACTAGATTAACAATCAATAAATTTAGTGGCGGAGCCCCAGTTCCCGACCTCGTTCGCCCCGCGGAACGAAACGTATTTAAAATAGGCCCTTGTGACTCCTTAGTCAGACAATCCCCTTTCTCGTATATGTTGAGTCTTAACCGCTTTCTTCTGAACGCCTCTCAAGCCAGACGGGCTCCCATTCTTCAACGCACTTTCCACCTCACAACTCCAGCCACCATGCCTCGCACCGCTGCAACAGAGAGCTTTAAGGTGAGGAAACGTAACTTCTATCAGTAGAATTGAGAACTAACTCGAGATATCATAGTTTAACCACACCATGATTCGTATCAAGGATCCGAAGCTGTCCTTGCCCTTCTACATGGATGTAAGCTATCCTGCTGTGGTAGTGCGACCGGATTGACTAAGTACTACTCCAGACCCTCGGCATGGACCTGGTTTCTGGTGAGATGGATTTCGAATCCTCATGTTGATGAGTGTACCACGGAATATATGCAACAGAGCAAAACATGGGTGACTTTACCCTTTACTTCCTCGCCTTTGACCACGACGGGATCGCCTCGCTCCCATCCGAGCAGAAGGCTAAGGCTCGTTTCAACCGCGAGGGTAAACTTGCCTCCTATCAGGCGTCACATTTGATAAGCTCACGTGCACATATGTATCAGGCATCCTTGAGCTCACTCACAACCACGGCACCGAGTCCGACCCAAACTTCCAAGGCTATGCCAGCGGCAATGCTGAACCTGGCAGGGGTTTTGGCCACATCGCTATCACCGTGAACAATATCGAGGAGGCATGTGCGCGTTTTGAAAGCCTCGGGGTTCCCTTCAAAAAGCGTCTCACCGACGGTAAGATGAGGCATATTGCCTTCATCCTGGATCCCGATGGGTGTGTTTTTCTACTGATGTCCTTGACATCGTTTTGCTCACTATGATCCCTTAGCTACTGGGTGGAGGTTGTTCCTCAGGCCTTGAGCTTGTAAAGAATGTTGGTGAACAAATTGTAGTAGTCAAGTTGATAGAATTCAAGTTGTATCCTTAGCACTCGTCTTGAAAGTATGTGTCTACTGATTTCAAATCACGCTGTGGAGTTGCAGGGGGCCATTGGCGATCGATGAGTGTCCAGAGGTGAATCGTCGGTGCGGTGCTCGACTCTGCTTGTCCATCTCCGCTTGGCGAATCAAGGAGTTTCGAACCTGAAAATCGAAAGCTCACGACTACGCCCCTGATAGTACCTAGTATAACCCAGAATTATGCTCCCTTGAAAAGGCCCGTCAAACATCGGAGGAGGGTGGATATCATAGTGACGGGCGTCACGGGATGAAGGGATTCTACCACTACTTCTTCCAAGCTTGTTCCGATGAGTCGCATCGATCATTGCCTCCTTCAGCTCCTCGGTCATCCAGAAATTCGACTCCTTATCGCCAAGTGGATACACGATACTACAATGACATTACTGTCGATAGCGAACAAGGTTCAAGATGTAACTTGCTGGCAGACTCCCCATAAACTCCATTCGAGTTGAACTTCAGCCTCGGAGAATTCAACAGGGTTCACTTGAAGTTAGCCCATCAGAGTACTGAGTACTGAGTGATGGCATGTCTGCCTTGTAAGAAAGCACTTGCCGCCGCGATCATTTGTGATGGTTTCTAAAATACATTGAACTTAGTCGACGGCGGTTAACGTTGACAGATCGTGACGGCCCGAGTCGCGCCGCAGGACTCCGACACTACTTTGATTTTGCCTAATGCGATTATTATGCGTCTGGGCGGCTAAACTACTTACCGTACGCTGTCTTCATCGATGCTTCATCAATGCATCCCCCAATTGTCATACCCAACGGAGAGCATATTGACTCGGCCTCATTTCTCAGTCAGTCGACAGGCCCGACACAGGGTGACAGTGCTCACTGCAACAAAGAGTCCAGGTTTTCAGCGATATGAAGCGGTACGAGCGCATGTTCGACGCGAAGAAGTATCAGCGCGATCAATACGCTGTTGGGCATATCCAATTGTCAGCATGATAGGACGACGTCGCGGACAATATCAGTACACCTTTCTTCTTTTACTAATAATTGTCCACACGCAGTGCTTCTAGAATTTTGATACTATAAAAGCCATGGGATTTCTATGCACCCCAACCACGACATGATGGGCTTTACTCTTTGGACGCTCCTTGCGTCATCCCTGGCTGTTGCACAGGTCTTTGACCTCTCTGAGCTACAGTGGACGCTCAAGAACCAGAATGGTTCTATTGTTGTGCCCGGCTCCTTACCCTCACAGGCTCACCTTGATCTTTTTGAGGCTGGCATCATTAATGACCCATTGCTCGGTATCAACGGTGCGTTGTGCAACGTGCCAATCAATTGTTCAATTATTCATTCGTCGCAGAGTTCACAGAAAGATGGGTCATCAATGACAACTGGACGTACACCGCGGACTTGACTCCATTCACCCGAACTTACCAGAGTGACGCGTCTGGAAAGACACTCATTGTGTTCTATGGAATTGACACCATTGCTAACATTGTCTGTGATGATGTTCACATATAAATTTATCCATGCGTTGACGCTAATGATCTAGACGTTTGCTGGCTACCCCGTGGCATGGCTCAATAACCAGTTCCGGCGTTACACCTTTGACGTCTCACACTATTTGAGTTCTCCTGCTGGAGAGGACAATAATTGACAATCGCGCTCGAAAGTGCATGGTATTACGGACTGAATGTGTCAATGCGACCAGATGCCGAATACTTTCCCACCACTCCAATTGTGTCCACTGAGGATAATGTATGCGCGCAGTTTGTCTCTAAAGGCACTTCTGATGTTTGATTCAGTTTGAATATCCTAATGTTCGTGTATGGGTCCGCAAGATCAATGACGACTTTGGCTGGGATTGGGTGTGCCTCATTATTCTTTTCAATGTATGCGACTTTCTGAATATCAATAGGGTCCAGCTTTCGTTCCCAGCGGTGTCTACAAACCGGCTTACCTTGTGACGCTCTCTGAGTCTGAACTTCAATATCCAGCTTCTGATGTCCCGACATTCCCTGTAGCAAGCAGATCCCTCTTTGTGGACGAAACTGCTCTCGATATTTACAAGTACGGCCAAAATTCATCTGTTGCCCCTGATCAATCTGCAGACTGGATTGTCAACGTTACGTTTGACATTCACTCAATCAAATCATTCGAGAATCCGACCGTCACTCTGTCCATCCCGGAACTCAAGCTCACATCGGGGCCGTTGATTCTCGGACCTATTCCTAACAATGCCGGTCAGAATATATTCCTGGGTGTCAACTGGTCTATTCCAGACAGTATTCCTGAAAGATGGTATCCAATTGATCTCGGTAACCCAAAGCTCTACAACCTAACTATCACTTTGGACCCATCTCCGAGTCAGGGCGATGGGCCAAGTAATGAATCAATCACTCAGACTATCACGACTGGCTTCCGCACCATACAACTATTGCAAACTCCTTACTCCGAAGAGGAGATTGCATCGCGAGGTATTACTCCTGGTGACCAATGGCATTTCGCTATCAATGGAAAGGCGTTCTACAGCAAAGGAACGAACATAATCCCCTTCGATCCCTTCTACTCGCGCATAAAACCTGAGGCAGTTCGTTGGGTCCTGGAGAGTGCTGTCAAGAGTGGCCAAAACATGGTATTACAATTTTTATAGTCACAAGAAGACTAGTTTAAGATAATTTTCTCCCTAGCTTCGTGTTTGGGGTGGCGGTATTTATCAGCCATCCAATGCTGCGATCGATGGAGGGTCGTATGCCTTCTACAGTCTTTGCGATGAGCTGGGTATACTTGCGTGGTCGGAGCTCACCTTCTCCGACTCACTAGCCCCCATTAACCACTTCTTGCTGCAGTCCATCCAGGATGAAGTAGGTCAGAACGTTCGCAGGGTCAACAGGCACCCAAGTAATGTGCAGTGGGCTGGTGGCAACGAAATCGAGGATATCGTAATGGCAGCCAATGTCTCCCTTGCTAATGGCACGCATTACCTGGATGAGGTCCGCAATCTCTCGTGGAAAGCAAACTGGATAGCTGATTTTCGCTCCACAGTTCGTTTACATGTTCCAGGATTACTTGCATGACATTGTGGTTTCTGAGACGAACTCTGTTCCGTACACCGACTGTTCGACGACTCGCGGTGTTCTAAGTCTCGATCCATACGTTCTTCGTTTTGCAAATGGCACCCCAGGATATATCTATGGGAATACTGGTGTGTCCTTAGTTAGTCTTGATTGGGTGACTTTCTAATTCATCACAGAACGATACAACTACAATGCCTCGGAGGCCTTCGATCTGACGACGTACCCTGTCGCTCGGTAAGTCCAAACACCAACCTTTTTACACCGTCGGACTGAAGTGAGGACTGCAGGTTTGTCAATGAATTTGGGTGTGCAGCTGTGTCGTTGATGAAAGGAGTTACACTAATGCTGTTACAGTTTCCACTCCATGCCCTCCTTCTACAGCTGGAAGGAGGTCCTCGAAAATCTCGAAGACTACGCATTTAACTCCTCTGTCGTGATGTCCCGTGACCATCATCCTCCTGCTGGCAATCTCTCGTGGCCGAACCCAAATGCCCCTCAAGGCCAGTACCAAATGACCAGTGCTGTCGAGCTCTGGCTTCCCACTCCTGGAACTTCAGACTCAAACCAGACCTTTGCCCAATGGTGCTGGAGCACTCAGCTTTTCCAGTCCATGAATATGGTTGCCGAGATCGCATGGTACAGGCGTGGTGCGGGTTTGGGCGAGAACAACCTCGGAAGCTTGGTTTGGCAACTCAACGACATCTGGCAGGGTGTCAGCTGGTCAGCCATTGAATACTCTGGAAGATGGAAAGTCCTTCAGTACGGCATGGCGACTGTCTACTCCCCTGTCATCATCAATCCCTTCTGGTTCCCAGGGAATGAGTCGCTCACCATATTAGCTACGTCTGACCGCTGGGAGACGGTTAACGGCACTGCGCAATTGACATGGTATGACTGGAGTGGAAATACGATCGAGTCGATGACCACGCCATTCTCCATCCCTACTCTGAACAACTCGCTTATTTACGAGGGAATCGGCCTCGACGCCATCCTGCCCTTCGGTTACAATGCCAAGGACGTCTGGCTCCTGATGAACGTGACCGCTACTGTGGATAACAAACTTGTGACCAGCGAATCCTACGTATGTCCTTTCTGTTTCCGGTACGAACAAGTGCTGACAAGTACTTTGTACATCAGTTCACTCCGGTGTCGCTCGCCTACTCCAACCTCGTCGACCCACAGATCGCTGTGATCGCAGGTGACAACTATACGTTTACATTATCTGCTAAGGGCGGCGTAGGTGCTTGGACGTGGCTTGATCACCCTTCAGGGACAGTTGGGTACTTCCTTGATCCCACGACTGGGCTTCCTTCAAACGGTTACTACCTCATTCCTGGTATCGACCGTACTGGTAAGCCTGATCGCCCAATATCGTTGTCGCATGGCTCACAATCAGCCACAGTCCAATTCATATCCAGATTAGAACTTGCGACTGTCCAAAGTCCTGATCCCGCCGACTTCGTAGTGAGGTCGTTGTGGAATAACACTCATATTTAAGGCCCAGTCTGGAAATTAGGGCACTTACTAGATCTACAAACGCTAGGTTATTCGCAATCAATTGTATGTCCAAATGAAATGTCATTCACCCTTGGTGGTGCAGATACGAACTGGTATAAAATTGTACAGACCATTAATATGCATAACAAAGGTGCGCAGGTAATATATACGTGTTTGAATGCAAATGCAGTACATTGATGCAGCTGAGGAGTGAAAAAGAGAGATATAAATCACAATAAAATGTCAACAGCGAGATAACAACGAAGTTATTAGATGAAGCGTCCGTTCGTCAATACCCTCATGGCCTTCTAGAGCTGTCACGATGGCGGACGACTGGTCAGATAGTTTCTTGAGAGCCAGACACGCAACAGCGTTCTCAAGCCGCAAGGATAGCGAATCGAGGTGCATCATGATCTCAAGATCAGATGTTTTCTCGTTCATCGGGGGGAGAAGCAAGTTCGGATCACCATACATCACCGAAGACTCCAAGACGTCTTCGTCGGAGGGAGGCTCCAATGGAATGTCAGGCACCCACTCCTTCTGTTCGGGACAAGGACGAAAGATGCGGCCTGAAGTCAGGGCCTCAATACGCAGGCATAGCATAGCTAAGTCTCTGACTTGAGCGATGCTTAACTGGACTCGAGCTGTGGATGTAGATGTGCTCAGATGCGACCCAGACGCATCTAAGTCCTGACGGCCTAAGAGGGCTGCTGGGTAGACGAGGGAAACTATCTCCGGAATCTCCAGCCCCTTCAACTTCACTTCCCCGGCAGGGACAAGGGCTATCTGCATTTGCCGGATCGCCTCGATGGCCTGAGTTGGTTGAAACTCTGAGTACTCCGTGTCCTGGCCATTCTCGAAGATCTTGGCATTCAACTCGCGAACGACGTCAGCGCTGCACATGATTTGCCCACCCAGCGCGAGCCCACTGATACGAGCGGCTCGGATGACCATGGGCCCAAAGTAATCCATGCGACCAGTGATAGGATCTGGTTCGTACACTGGAGTACCGCAGTGGACGCCCATGCGGACTGAAAGGCCACGTGCAAGAAGCTGACCATGCTCATCATACACCTCTTTACCCTCAGGGCACTCCAATATCTCCAGCGGCCAGGGTTCGCGGAGAAGTTGCAGCTGAACGATGAGGCACCACCTACATCGCGGCAAGGGTAGTCGGAAAGGAGCACATGAATGCGTCGCCTTCCGTCTTGACAACGTAACCACCACAAGTTCGAAGATGTCGTCGCAACAGGTTATTGTGAATACGCATTGCTGTGGGCATGCCTGCATTTGCTTCCCATAATTGTGTTGAATTTCGAATGTCGGTGAATACTAAGCAGAGATGCCCAGTGGGCGGTGAAACCTCTCCTTCTAAGCGAGCAATGGTGCGATCAACGATATCTGCTTTCTTCCCTGCCCTCTTTTTATTGATAGAGCTGTAGACCTCTGGATCCACAAGCGAGTCTGTTATGGGCTGTCGAGAGCGGAAGAGGTCGGAGACGCATATTACCATGATCATGGTGTTTCCATCCGCACCATAGCTTATGGCAAAGTCACGTAGCTTCTGTGCCGCAATCATTGGGTCAGCTTCCGAGCGAGCGATGTCGACTGCGGTCTGGTAGGATATATACTGCCACAATCCGCGGTTGCCGATGATCACGAACTCGTCGAGCTCGGTTAGCTGGCGAACGTAGATGTCGGGTCGAGCATTGACAACGGGAAAGTCGTGGAAATATCCAAAGGCTCGAGACGTGTTAACCTCGTTATGGATGAGCCCCGTCGGCGATATCCAGCCCTCTGCGAGCCGGATGCGCCTCGCCTCATCCCGGTCATAAGGGTCGTGATTCCTGGAAATGAGTTCTGCATTCCCTTGGCTCGAGATGACAGCAAGGGCATGTCCAACATTAGCAACATACAGCGTTCGGCCGACCACGTATACCACGATGCCCGAAGCTCCTTGTCGGAGGTGAGAAGAATCGGGTCCAGAAGGACCGGTGGTAGATGCGCTGACTTGGGACATCTTACGAGATAGTTGCGAGTAGAGCTTGTCGTGGAGCTGTCTGTTCAGCTTCAGGAATGTGCGCCTCATTGCGTCCGGTACGCCATCCCTTCGCTCCCCTTTCTGGTCTTTCTTCAGCTGAAGAAGCTGCTCGGTAAAGACAGAGGCGTAATTGTCGTGCAGGTATTTCGACAGAGTATTGTTGCCGGGAAGAGCTTTAGTACGCCCAAACATTGCGAACAGTGCCTCATCCTTCTTCCCTCTGAATTCGGGCAGGACGAGATCGAGCGTGGTTAGGTAGCCATTCCTCCCAATGGTGTCGGCAATGCCATATGACATTCCGTTAACTTCCGTCTGAGAAGTACGAACACGTCGCTCGTCAGAGTCTTCAGGGATATTGGGAAGGAAAGTGGTCATGACATCCATCAACCCGAGAACACGGAGCTGAGATAGTCGAGAGAAGTCAGAAAGTACTCTTCCACGTTCATCCACCACGCGCTTTCCATCGTTGTTCTGCTTGAGATCCAATTTCTTATTGCCTGACAGGTTAAGGTACTTCAAGTTACAATTGAAATTCCTGCCGGCACCATGAGCAAACCAGTCATCTATGTTCAAATGATCGAAACATACCAGTTCCAATCAAACTCCCAATTGTGAATGTTGTACCTTAACAGGTTGCTGCCGGCGTCAATGATAGTCAGACTGGGAATTTTGCCCAGTTCAGCGGGGAGCGTCTGGAATTTGTTCCCGTTCAAGAACAACACCGACAATCGGGTCATTTTCACGAGGTCTTCAGTGGGGATACTCGTTAACTGATTGCCACTAAGGTATAGTTCCTCCAGCTGCTGTAGATTGCGGAGAAAGGAAGACGGCAGTTCTTGAATTTCATTGAAGGATAAGTTGAGGACACGAAGCTCTTTGAGGATGGTGAACGGAGGGATTGCTTCCTCTGTCAGACGGTTCTCTCCGATTGAGAGTCGCTCGAGAGAGTAAGCAAGGGGCGGAAGTGGTCGACCGGGTGCGTTGTGTATTGACATAGTGTATGTAGCATTGGAAGGCTTTCTTGGAGTGTGGCTGGCTGATGATGATGAGGGAATCTCGAGAGTTATTCCAGATGGCGCCGGTGCAATCAAGTTATCTCCAGGAGGATCATGCCAACTAGCAAGCAGATTTGAGGTAACGTTGATATGGATTAACGATGCGCAATTCCAGAGGGATACAGGTAGCTCCGTCAAGCTGTTGTTATGAGCATCAAGGGTTTCTAGGCGCTGAAGGAGGCCGATAGTGGAGGGTAAAGAGACGAGTTTGTTGTCGCAACAGGAAAGGTGTATGAGATGGAGAGTTCGCCGAGGGAGTCTGGGAGCGTGCGGAGTTCATTGTGGTCAAGTTTCAGAGTGTGAAGGGCAGGGAGCTGAGAGAAATCGAATGCATCAAGAGAGGAAAGTTTAGCGTAGGAAACATCGAGCTGTGTGAGAGTGAGTGATGTTTGCGGTGGAGAGCTAGGAGCGAATTTGAGGAATGTGATATCGTTGTGGGAGGCGTCCAGAACTGACAGGCTGGGACCAATGGACAGATGAAGGGCATGAACGGAATTATGATCTGCATAAAGAGTTTGGAGTTTGGGTAGGGCGTAGGCGATGGAAATATCGCAAATGTTATTTCTCCGACAGTCAAGTAACTGTAGGTTGACAAGATTCCTGCATTCTTCGGGTAACCTGACCACCTGATTCCCAATCAAAATAAGGCGCTCGAGAGTAACGAGCCGACCAATTTCCTCCGGAAGTTCAGTGATCATGTTGAAAGACATATCGAGCTCAACAAGACAGGGCAGCTGACAGATGACGCTAGGCACGTTCACGAACTTGTTGTTTGAGATGTTTAGGAAGTTCAGAAACTTGAGGCGAGGGAAATACCAGGGCAGCTGCTCTATCCTGTTATTCTGGAGCCTCAAGCTTGAGAGCTCAGGTATACGGTCGAGACCAGCATCATCCAAGTCCACGATGCGATTACATGACAGGTCGAGTCGATGTAGGCTGGTAGAGTGCCGAACACTCTGAGGCACTTTCTTCATCGCCATGCTGGACAATTTGAGGTCGCGGAGGGTCGTGCAGGACTGTATAAAATCCAGGGGTATCTCAACCATTGGATTACGTGAGAAGATTGAGGATCACGATCGAGCCAGCGTTTTGATGAAGGACGATGGGTATGGTGGGTAGACTACAGCCTGTCAGGTCGACCAGGTCGAATGTATCAAATGTAAGGTCCTCAGCCTGAAAGCAAGGGTCAAGTCAGATTTTAACGTTTTCCTGGACAACTTACTGCTGGGCCGAGGAGTTGACTTTTATAAACGAATTTCATAAGGAAGGTCATGTCTTCATGCACCGAGAAAAGCAAGACTGTCCGCTTGGTCATATCCAGCCTGCTCCAACCGACGAATGACAATGGCAGCTGGCCTCTCGGTTGGCGCCAATACACGCTCTGACAACAATGAGAAACACAAGCAAGCGCACAGCGGTAAGACGTACCTCGTCCCCTCTCCTTGAGATACAGTTTATGTGTCTCACGTTCCTTGTGCGCAAATAGCTTCTGATTAAGTGACGGAGTGAGCTCCGCAACGGTGGAGTGTATCGAGATTGGAGCAACGTGATATGATCCGTCCGCGCGATATATTCGAACGCGGACGCGGTCATTGCTGCCGCGAGAGGACAGCTTACGCGGGTGGTTGCTTTTCCGACGGGATTTACGTTTCGAACTAAGTCCCGAGCTATTGAAAGACGATGTGGCATCCCTTGTGCTCTCTTCGGAGCTCGAGTCCCCCCCTACATCTGCCTCCTCACCGTTCTCGACAGCCCAGCTCTCTGGAGCGGTCCAAAGAGGTGTTTCATAGGGAGTCACTCCAAACATGTCTAGTTCCTCTGGTCCAACTAAAGGGGGTAGACTCTTTGGAGATAGCTTTCGAAAATCGATGCAAGCTTTTCGCTTGCTGGTAGGAGAAGTGGAAGAAAAGGGATGTGGATTGCTGAACACAAAGGAGGTGGAGAGTGTGGGTGATGGGGGCTGCTGATAGCTACTTCCAGAAGTACTGGCAGTACTTGGATCAACTGTACTTGATGGAGAAACGTTCGATGGTGCAATATTCTGCCCGGAAAGGGACGGATTGACGATACCCTCCATGTGCGCAATTGACTCAAGGTCGATCTTCATCAATTCATAACCCTTTTCGGGGGACAATGGAGGACTTGGTGGATTAGGAGGTAGTCGTCCCTTTTGTTGTCGCCCTTTCTCCTTCTTGTCTTTCTTGAGTACTGGTGAGGGAGATGGAACGAAGGGGTTCATGAAAGTTTCTGTTGAAGCGGAGGCATATGAAGAAAATGAAGCTATCTGGGATGACGAGCCTGTGTCTGAGGAGAGCCTTCCCCGGCTGCGCTTCTTAAGGATGTCGGTTAACTTCTTCATTTTGCCCCTGCGGAGATCGCTCGAACTGCCCTGCTCGCGCAAGGAGAAGTCGGAAAGCGGCTGACCATAGAAGTCTGAGAGGATTTGTGATTCGGCTCCTCCACGGTTTGGGTAAAGGATGCTGCTGGAACTTCCTTGCCGAGAAGAGGTGAGGGATGAGAATGACGCCTTGCTCAAACCCAGAGAACGTTTGATAAGGCTTGGCGAAGTAAACTAGAAAGAAAGGAATGTTTAATTTTGTTCACTAAGGCATCAAAGACAAGCCTTGGAAGATACGGTGCGCCTGATGCATGCAGTGGATCACGAGGGGTGGAAAGACTCACAGGCTCTTCAGTAAGAAAGGGGGCGATCTCTGGATGGTCCCCAGATTCTGGTTTCAGAAAGTCTGAGGGTACAAAACGTTGATGCGAGAATTGAATTGTGGCATCCTGCTCTGGAGAAGATGATGGTTCGGAAAGAATCAACTCTGTATCAGACCCGTGGTCATTTGAAGGAAGGTGAATGACATCCATGAGAGCGGCTTCTGGCCAGACACTCTATTTGGTGATTCCCAGAGCTGGAGGATGCGCGCTGGCAAATGGTGACCTAGTGTCAACCTGAGAGTGGGTCGCTAGAAAGATAAAAGAGAACAGAGATGAAGATCAGAAAGGAACTAAGGACAGATTTCTCACCAAAAAGCGTGACGAGACTAATTACAGGACTCCCAGTTCAGGACGGGCTGGATCCCAGGACTTTCAAACTACCCAACAGCCTTGCACAGGCGTCTGCCCGAGAACGATATTAATATTATTCCGTTCCCCATAATCCTTCCCTTTTTGGGTTCTTTACAACACCCGTCGGAGTAACTGCCGGATTTCTCCGGTACGGAGGTTGATTATCCAAAAATGGTATGTTATCCCGTCATCACCCCGGTTTTGGTCCAAGCCGATGGGGCTTGGCTCGGAGAGTGCATCGCAACTCAAGAATAACAACACTGCTGGTCCCAACTGCTGCGGGTTTCGTCACAACCATGTCCTCCACAACGTCCTCCACAACGATGGCTTCATCCTCAGCGTCGTCTGTGACGTCCGCTGCCGCTGCTTCTGGTACAAGCACTACCTTTCAATTACCCTCAAGCCTTAAAGTAGGCAGTTCATTCTAGGTTTTACTGCCCAGCCTCAGTTCATTAACCCAGGTCGTCGGAATAATACTCGCAGTAACAAGTGGCTTGTTGATTGGCTCTAGTTTCGTCTTCAAGAAGAAGGGCTTGATGCGCTCGCAGGCCGGGCATGCAGCAGGCGAAGGTGTTGCGTACCTCAAATCTGTGAGAGCCATCCCCGCCACCCCTCGGCCTGTTATTGACATTTGCTCTCAAAGCCATTATGGTGGACAGGCATGACAAGTGAGTTCCCGTGTCCTGTTACTTGTGCTGTGCATAACAGCGAATCGCCAAGTGATGATATGTGGAGAGTTGTGTAATTTTGTTGGTATGTCACTTGAGCTCTAACTCTATTCTATGCTGATCCTGCAAAGCATATGCGTTTGTTGAAGCGCTTATTGTGGTGCGTCTGAGACACATCATTCTCTGTCATGTCTTCACCATGACATCCCTAGACTCCTATGGGCGCACTATCTGTTGTAATATGTGCCATCCTATCTTCCATCTTTCTCAACGAGAAACTCACCTTTTTCGGATGGCTGGGTTGTGCCCTCTGTATTGTAAGTATCACCGATCCTTTGTCTTTTCTCGTGTACTAACGTCTGCCAGATTGGTTCCACCATCATTGCTCTCAACGGTAAGCATTACTCCGAACGAGTGCCATATATCAAAGCTTATTTCTGGTGCATAAGGCCCACAAGAGCAAACACCCGGTGAGATAGAGGCATTTAAGCAACTCTTCTTGGCACCTGGTTTCCTCGGGTATATGTCTGCCCTGATTACTATCGCCCTCTCTATTATTTTTTACTTCGGACCTAAGTCAGTCACGTTTCACATACTATCTCTTTCTTTTCCCTCTGTTTATTTTTTCCTTTTTAGATATGGCAAGAACAACATGCTCTGGTATATATCTGTGTGCAGCACTATTGGCGGCATCAGTGTGAGTGTCACGACCGGGCTCGGTTCAGCCATAGTCACCTCCGTTATGGGAGACAATCAGGCAAGTTGTTGCAATATTTATGACCTCACGTTACTTGATGGTACCACAGTTCAAAAACTGGTTTATATACTTTCTAATGGCTTTTGTGGTGATAACGCTATGTGCGTCATTAATATGCCTTCATTTTACTGTACTAACACGACGCAGTAACGGAAATTTATTACCTGAATATTGCACTTGCGCTATTCAATACTGGTGAGTGAAAAAAATTATTATATGTGGTGCTTGAACTCAAGTATTACACTTTGCAGCTATGGGTAAAGTTTTTTCCCGCCAACACTCACTACCCAACTGATTTGATCTGAACCATCACAGTAACGCCCACGTACTACGTTTTATGTACGTGACTTGCGGCCAATCACGTTACTGACTGACACTAACCCCTTCAAACAGTTTCATTTTGTTCAATGGTCACAACCATCGTGCGCGCAGCTACAATTATCAATACCCCCTGATCACTCACCCATCGTTACAGGTCCTCTTCCAAGGGCTCAGCTCTTCTGTCTCGCAAATTCTCACCCTTGTCCTGGCCTTCCTCACAATATGTGTCGGCATCACGATCCTCCAAATGTCCAAGATCGACCCTGCGCAGCTGAAGCTTGATCGCCGGTCCACCATGCTCCTTCAAGCCTCTCGCGCACCCACGGAAGACGCTGAGGAGAAGGGTATTACCGGTATGGAAAACCCCGGCATCGAAGCGTTGCGTGGCACGTTCGGCACCATGAGCAGCATCATTCGCGCCCGTTCAGCACGGAGGATGAGCCAATCAAGCAGGCACGCGAGCTCCTCTCTTCGGGCGCGTCCAGATGACGGTCTTCCTTCCACACACACAAATAACGCGTATGATGGGTTGACACGTCATCAGCTATATGATGCCCCTGTGCCGCAGCTGTCCGATACAGATCGCGAGTCGTCGTTTTCGTCTGGATCAACAACACCATACAGCCCGCGGAGAACAGCCATCAAATTCGGATCGCAAGATCTCGTGCATTCGTACCGCCCGCCAGGTAGTGGGGATGCGGATGCCACGCATGAACACAGGAACGCTGTGCATTCTACACCGCTAATACAAACAAACTCATCATTTCTGTATCCTCCTCCACCAAATACCGACACTTTGTTAATGTCTGGTAGTTCGCAGTCGCTAGTTGTACCACCGCGTGCAAATGATGAGCCACCAGCACCCACTGTGTCGACCATGTACCACAATCCAATCAAAAGTGATCCATTCGAAACCCCGACAACTCCCACGATGACCGCATTCCCCTCGTCGTCTGACATGCTGCCAAATAACTCTCCTCCACGAAGCCACCGGAGCCAGGAGGATGCGCGCCCCACGGAACGCACGCGACGTAGCTCCTCAACGGGCAAGCCGCGGCGATACCCGAGAGGTTTAGATGACGAAGAGGAAAGGATAAGCCTGTGGGAGCAACTAACCTCGCCGGAGATGTCCGAAGAAGAGGTTGAAGATTCATCGTCTCCGGTGCAGGGAATTAGGCTGGTGAAACCTAATAGTTCTAAGACATGGCTTTGATAAGGAGTGTACGATCAGAAAATGGACTGCTTTTTGCTATTGGACCTGATACTGATAGAGTAGTTGTATCTATTTGCATTTGGAACTCCCCGCGCTTCAAGCTTCTGATTGGCGAGTGGAGGCATGAGATGAGATGGATGACATAGTGACCACTGACACATTGATTGCAAACCTCCAGTATTAAGCTCGCGATTCCAGTGGTGAACAACTTGAAGGACATTTATTGTGAAAGTCATATGCTATCATACTATGGCCATGGATGACCGTATATATATACTCCATTATGCTGCAATAAGTAAGGTACAGGTAAGTCGGTACACTAAATCTTTTTGAACCGTATTACAGCTACTTTAATCATATCAGTAGACCAGATTTCTCTTACCGCTTCTATTTACAGCTTGCGAAACTGGACAAACAACTTTGAGGGTCCTGCTTATTACGATACCTTGGCCGGGCGAAATACCCTTGATCAAATGGTAAGGGCGCTCTGCCTAGACACCACCGCATGCTGCACACTCCAACTAGTGGCTCACCCACCGTGGCCGTCAGACAGCAATAGTTCATGTGTCTGCCCATATGTCGCGGCTGGTTTGTGCACAGTGGAAGCTTGTTGTCATTATGTCATTATGATCTTGTATGGCTACAAAACTGTACAATGTATTAAAAATGTACGACATAGCTAGTCGCCAGCTACAGGCCTAGGCCTGCAGGGAGGTTGTGAGAAGCAGCGAACTCCCGATTTCCTTGTCATTGTGGGGGTATTTCGCCATATATTATTCCGCCCGAACAGTGTACGTAAAAGGCGGGACCCTGTTGTTTGCAGTCCACAAGTAAATAGAAGCCGAAAGACGAAAAAATCGAGTCTGTGGAAATTGAGTGCGATACCACTAGGCTACAGCCAGTTAGCCAAGCTGCCAAACTCAACTTTGTCTAAATCATGTAAGTGTCACGAATTTTTTTTTTTTAGGATTAACCTTTCATTGGCAGGAGTCCATTGTATTAGGTAACCTCCAACCCTAGTGGCGGGTTCTTCCCCATCTTGGAACGTCACTCAGGGTATCTTAGCCTTTAAAAACAACACTGTTATATAGGGTAAATATGACATGGCAGAAGACAACAAAAGAGTGTGATCCATGACGTGGGTACATGGGTATACTTGTGCAAAAGAGCGGACGAGTCTATACAGCGCTATTGATGGCATCGACGAGGGTATCGTTGTAGTCTCCACCCGCCTGCCACATAGCATACCCCAGCAGCCCAGTGTTTTTGATGAATGTGCCCTTGGCTGTGAACGACGCTGCGTTATCATAGGAAACCATGACCTCAGACGTTTCATTGTAAACGTAGGGCTGACAAGTCCATCAGAAAGGGAAATAGTTCCTTGTTCAAGGGTGTACGCACCGTTTGGCTGCACGAGTCAAATCGATAGTAGATACCTTCGGCAGTCGTACCTTCCGAGTTGAGGAAGCCACCGTCGATCAGTCCCCAGAAGTTGAAGGTACCTCCAGATCCTTGGTAAACACCACAGGAATCCACGCTCCCGGTATTATCCCACGCATCCCCTACGGGCTGATTAGATGAGTTGAAGGCGGGATAAGGGGCTAGCGTCTTCGTGCCCGACACGAATGCATTAGAGGAGTTGACACTAAAAGAGTGTCCATACGATGGAACACCCAGGACAATCTGATCAACGGGCATGCCTGCTTTCGACCAGGCCTTCACTGCGGAAACAGCCGAGCCTTGCTGCTCAGATGAAGTCGCACAGGAATCGTCGAGTGGGGCGTTAGGGCCAACAGTAGAGGACCATGAACCCCAAATATCATAGTTCATGATAGCAATGTAGTCAAGAACCTCCGCAAAGGCAGAGACGTTAGTCGACGGATTGCCATTGGAATCACGGAATGGTGTCACAGACACCGCTGCCGAGATGGTGATATTACAGCTTTCTTCGCGAAGTTGTTGGAGAAAGGAGAGATAGTTCGCTGTGTCATCGGAGTTAATAATATTACAGCCAATGCCTTGTTTGTTTGGATACTCCCAGCTAAATCAAAGGTAGGTCAGAGTTATTTACGTGATGGCTGATATACATACTCGAAGTTGACACCATCTAGATCATACTGATCGACAAAGTCTATCACTGTCTTAACGAATGCAGTGCGATTCTCGGCTGTTGCGACGTTGGAAGAAAAGTAGATACTACCACCCCAACCTCCAATGGCAATATGGGCTTCGACACCCTGACATGACATCAGCTCAGTAATCAATCATGCACACGAGTTATCATTCTTACGTTTGCATGTGCTTCTGTCACAAAGGCAGGAAGAAATTCGCCATCAGACCCTTCAAGTGATATACTGTTTACATCTGAAGTGGTTGTTCTAGGAATCGTCGATCAACATTGTCGTCATAGGTCTGCCACGGCATGATAGCCTCCACCTACGCAAAAGAATAGTACATCGTATTGTACTTATCCCAACTGATATCGGATGGCGTGTACGCGTCAGTACCAGTAGCATGCCAGCCGGCATACCAGGCACCAGCTACGTTGGACGCATAAGCGAAAGACAGGAGCGTAAGGGACGTCGCTAGCAGCAACATGATGGTGCACGACGCTGAAAGGGTGGGTTTCTGTAAGCAGCGAAAATTTCCTCGGTACTTACATGTCCTGTACTTATATTACAGCTGGGTGACACCAGCAGCCATGGCTAGGATCCGAGTAAGTGCAGAGTTACACCCGAGAGAAGCTATCATGTCTCAACAATGAACGTACATTTCTCCAATTGGTAAAAAATGTTGTCCATGCTTGTGATGAATCGTGACATGCACCGACGACATGAAGCAAGTTGCAACCTGTACAGGGCAAAATCAACAAGTACTGGAACAGCTGCAATAAAGTTCAATACCTCAACTTGAAGTACTCACCGAACTTCAAAAGTTTTGGCCCATGTGATCAAACGGTCCGGTTTGGACCTAAGTTAGTGGTTAACGATCGTGTAATTTCGCTTCGAGTACGAGTTCCAAGCGGTCCTTCCAGCAGCCTAACGGTCGGTACAGTTAGGTTATTGTTGGGTGTATCATTTCGAAAAAATTAGTCTCGATGCCGGCGTGCGTACGTATTAAGAACTTGAGAAGTACTTATTTTAGCACAGCCACATGCATTTTCGTGCAGGGAAGTCATGCATAGGGGAAGTGGATTTTGTCTGACCGCCTTTCTGGAAGTGTTTGTACTGATGGGGCTTGCTGGTGTGGGCGTAATTTCTCGGTAGTGTTCTAGAAGTGCTACCCCCTGTCATTTACGCGTACGTCCTAGGTCCAGGCCCAGAGATGAGTGAATCATGTGGTTTTGCCTTTAGAGAATCATGGTCCGACCTGTCATTCGCAGTGTTTCTAAATGGACATTCAAGGGCATGCGTAGCCCATATGGTGTTAGTAATGAAATAAATAATATTTGAGACTCCCGGCCTCCGGCATGGAGTATATCCTGTGCGCCTCGGTCATGTCGGAGCACGCATGTGCGCGAGGTGATATTCACATTTGTCCTTATTTATGTTCGGGGTTAAAGCGTTTCAGCCTAAGTACTGTGCACAGGGGCCAAAAAAATTGAATTCGTCACAGGCCCAAGATTATCTTTCACGAGGCCTGTCAGGACCTGCAGGTCGGCTACCAGCTTGACGAAAGATCCGGAAAGAGAGACGAGTGCTTCACACTGAATGTCAGATCAACCGATCATGTTCGAGTCAGCCCTCGACGACGCACCAAACGAATATCGCACCACCACAAAGGAGCATTGGTCCTTCCACGTAGCTACATAACGACTATGTGCGAGACAGCCAGCCAGTAAACTAAATAACAGCGTTGACCGAATACATGAGGTATAATGGGATAAGCGGAACGAAAGCGACGAAAGCATAGCGACGACAACATGCAAATATGCAGATGACGAGCATACAATAACCGATTCACACACCATTACGGTGATGAGCAATGCGATAGACGGGGCAAAATATCCAAGGTAACAAAAGGCAGATCAAGGAGCGGGGACTATGGCCGTTTGTCCACAGATCGTTTTCGACTCGGCCTTATCACTTTCGGACTCCCTGTATTGATTTCGGGTGGGGGAGAGCCGCTTCCTCGGGGAATCAGCGACCGGCGCTTCCTCATTCCCCGACGCGACTCTAGTGGATACTCGCATTTCAAATGCCTACGAGCGCACTGACTGGGAAACAAAGACACGAAAGTCAGCCAAGTGTCGAAATAATTGATGGTGGCGCGGACATCAGCGAACAAGAAAAGTGGTGTTAATTAAGAAATCGATCGCACGAAACCGGCAAATCGTTACCACGCCGATAAGGCGTGAAGAAGCAAGGGACACATAATAGTACATTCCGGAATGGGCTGAGGGGACCGTGATACTCACTTGCATGTCTTGTCCTTGCTACCCGGAACGGGTGGACCACATGCGATTTTTCGGCCTCGGCAAAATAGGCATGCGAGCGCCGGTTTCTTATCCATTGATCGTTTAGGGTGCGGTGGCGGCGATATTCGTAATGCCCCCCTCGGGGACGGTGAACGCTGATAAGGTGATCCCGTCCTTCCGCCATGAGGGTGTGATGGTGATTCATTTGGAGAGTGGTAATGTTGTTGGTTTGTGTGAATGAATGCTGGAGTGGATGATTCGACCTCGACGAACATGTAAGACTGGCTAGGAACAGTCATTGGGGCTTCCGATGCATCACGATGCGAAGAAGGCAAGAAAGTTACACTATGAGGGGAGCATGGAGGGGGGGAATGTGATATTGCATCCCGAGGTGAATAGGGTTGGAATTGATGAGGAGGGACCGAATGAACGGGAGGCGGATATGGTAAGTGATCCATAGGCGGCTCAGCGTCCAATGTTAAGAGGTTTGGTTTTACATCTTCACTCTCATGAAACATAGGACTTAGTGCCCCCACCGAGATGGCACCATTGTACACAGACGCCGGTTGTCGAGAACGATGCAGGACTGGGCTCGATGATGGGAGGTCTGAAGGATATGTAAGGTCCCCCTCGGCCTTATAAGTGACAATCATGCGGTCAAAAATAGGGCACGAGCGACTTCACAGAAGACTGACCTTGTGTGTCAAAGTTGAATTATGTTTCATGGGGTTCACGCCACTATGCCCTGGAGCAGGAGCTATAGCAGAAACACGTGTACCGTTGGGCGCCTGTGTAGACGTTGAAGTGGACAAATGACCCAGAGAGTCGACTAATGTATACGATTTCGAGATCTGAAACGAAGATGGATTGCCATGAGGAGCATACTGAGTGGCAGTTATGCATGATGACGAATCGTTGCCTGGATGCATGTGGGATTGGCCTTGCAAGCTCCAACCACCTTGATCCGAATCTTCGGGACACGGGATAAGAACAGGTTGACCGTACATTCCAAAGAATTGGAGATCTGATTCGTCCAAAGAATTGAAGTATGCACCTGATTGAAGTTCTTCGAATGTAAATGCCCGTTTCACTTTGACCTATGATCAAGTTGGGTTAACTATGATCGGATGGTTGCTATTGGACAAGAAGACCTACACTAATATCAAAACCTTCTGCATAACCATTCGAAGGCCTAGATGTCACATGGGATGATTGGCTGAGTGCGTCACAGGGTATAGGGTTTTGTGAGCTGGATGCTGGGTTTTGTTGAGCATAATGCCAATATCGAGGGTCTTCAGGATGTGTATGATTTGATAGAGAAGACATGTAGAGCCAGTGAAGGGAAACAAAAACGATGGGGGAATGTTTTTGTGTAAACGGAGGGTTAGTTGACGGCAGGGGATAAATCACCACTTTTCAAGGCAGTGAGTGTCTTTTATATATTAAGACTCACTGAAAAAGGTACATTGCATATTTGGTAACATAAACTCGGCTTCATTTGCAAGCCAGGACTAGTTTGTACTAAGCTAGTCTGAGTTTAGGAACCCACGCCTCTGAAGTCAGACGACGAAAGCTGTCAACGATTACAGCAACAAGTCTTCATCAGTTTTCCGTAATATTTCTCGTAAGCAAAATCACTCACAGCTCCATTTTGAACCACAAACTTTGATATCTTCAATTCATATTCCCCGTACCATCTTTAATCAATGAAAATACCACACCCACCTGCATCCTAGCATGTGTCACTTCCTGATTAATTTTTACTATAATTTTTAAACATCGCACCTTCCATGACTGCCATTCAAGAGAGTAAAGGATAGAATTGGGTTTCACTTGGCGCTTCACGAGAGAGGGAGCAGATCGCGAGAGATCCGATCGTGTACTCTATCTAGATGACAGCTTCGATGGTTTTCCCATCCTCCTATATAATCAGGCTCGAGAAGCTGTTGTCAGTGGTCAGTTGTATTACTTGATCTTCGTCCAGCGAAGTTCGTTTTGCGACTGTATGTACTCCGAGTGAGAGGCTCGTTCCAAGCTTATGACACGCGTTTACCTGCGGTCCGCTTAGCACTATTGTCGCCGAAACTATACAACAACGAGGGTTACTTCCCCATCGGTAGCTTTTCACCGAAAAAATCGCACAATTGCTTTCCAACTTTGATTATAAGTTTGTCAAGTAGTATGGTTACGCTCGCTGGAACTCTCCGACTCGCCGATTCAGAGAAACCTTGATCAAAAGACCTCGGCGGAATGCTGCTAAGCTCCAGCAAATAAAAGTATACACACACAACTTGCCTGGCCATCGGATGATTGTGTTCTCAAATAACAAAAGTCTTGTCGTACATCTCGTCGTACGAAGTAGTTCTGTCTGGGACGTAGTTATGTAACTTTATTCCAATCAAGTTGATATGGAGTCCAAGTTGGCAAATTGATGTTCATGATACGGCATCTCGGGCCTCAGGAAAGTCGATAGGCTCCACTGTGCGGGCAGCTTCTCCATAACTGAGCACGCCGACATACGGCATGACATTATATTTGAGGGAATATTGAGCGGAAAGTACGTTGCTATCCAAAAACACGAGTCGTCAGCATGCGGAGTGGACCACGAATCCTTTATCGGATTCTGACTCACCTGAAAGAACCCGACAGGTCGCGAAGTCTGTACTTGTCTTTCTGTACAACGTCGATCGTAGCGTCCTCTTTTCTCCGCACAATGCGATCCCAAACAACAACGGTGTTGTTGATCTTTAGAAGTGCGTCAGACAAAGGATACCACAGTATGCTTAATCTCGCCCGCCGTATGTAGAAAGTATGATGGTAAATTACTTACTCCTTGTGCGTTTGTGTACTCTGCCTCAAGGTACACGAATAACTGTTTCGTGTTCCAGTTAAAAAGTGGCGTAAGGTCTGGACCGGCACGTAGCGATCGCAAAATCAAATCACGTATAAGAAACCGCGATTGCGCGACAGGAAGTGGTGGATCCCCGGTGAGGCTCTTCCGCTGTCATCGCGATGAAAAATACGTACCGGCCGATAGGTTAAATTTAACAAAACCAACTTCCTCGTTTCTGAATGGATAGCGTCTCGTTTTGGAGTGGAACCTAAGGAATGTCAAAATAAGTCACTGACGTGAGATACACAACGAAGGCAAGACTGTATAACCGCAAGCCTGACGCAACAAATCGAGTCACTTACACCTTCAAAGAGACAATATCCAGGTTACCCTTGGGATCCGCATTGAAGAGGAAGGAGGAGAGAGCTACGGCCCCAAGCAAACACATAACACATGTCGACCAAAAGGCAGATATGCTATTTACTCGAGCGTAAATGCTATGCATCTTGTAGTGCACACGCGAGAGAATATGAAGATGCTGGACGTGAAGGAACAAACAAGTATGTAGCTGCCACGGGCCGCAGACAGACGAGTCACGTCTGCACCAACGTGGCCCACCACGACTTCCTTTTTAGGCTATTTTTGGTTTATCGTTAAACTTCGAAGCTCAAAGAGTTTTGAGCATAAAAGCCAAACGAATAGCTATACGACATGTACATGTGCCCGACAATTTACTTCACGTTGCTAACCTGAATCATTAATACTGGAGCCTAGTGCATGGTGCGTTCGAAAACACGTTTTTGCAGTTTTTTTTGTCTCATGAAGGAGGTTAATGGTGAGGCGTATATTTTTAAATTCATGCCAACTGCTTAACGTTACTCTGTTCGAGCTGATGTCATAGTCAGAGCTCTATGAAAATGTGGATGCTGTTGAGTGTCTACCATCACTGTCGGACGATCTAATCAACTTTAGGTCTCATTCCGATCATGACGAGGATACATGCAGGCAGCAAGTTCCTAGGCCCGGACGAAATGACAAGCTTACAAGATAGATAACGGGCGATGTTGTCATACGAAGATGTTCCATACCATACACAGACGCCTAGTCCATAGCCTTGCCATTATTAGAGCAGCATCCTCGATCGATGGCTGGAGGGCTCAGCAACACTGTACGGTATGCTTCCAACATGGCTTCAATCATATCGCCTGCAGTACACCGCCAGGACATCTAGTCCCACTCAAGCACAGATATTTCTGCTTCTGAGCGCTGTTGTACTGCCCAAAATGCATGTCTTGCCTGGCCTGCCATCGTATTTGGTTTGGTCTATCTCCGGAGCCATTTCATTTCATGAGAGGCAATCTGACTGCGTGATTGCCTTGGGTGGCTGCATCTATCGTCCTTCGATATCCTTCTAGTCTCCAGCTGTTTGCTTCGCAAGATGCGCCACCAGTCTAGGTCATCACAGCACCGTCGTCATGATGTATACCCACCGAACCTGCGTATCACAGTTAATTTCTGCTTGCCCTCAGCGCTTGACAGGTTATGTGTCTTGACTGAGCAATGTCGTAAGTCACCAAATATCTTATCTGATGTCCATGCTCAAATATTGCTTGTCTTTCCTTTTTGTCTGCATTATATGATCGTGGGGCAATAAACTGCGCGCGGTGCCAATCTGGCATTTCCATGAAATCATGCGCGCTCGATGTAGAATTCATTTCCACATATAATTGTTGATTTCTGAGCGCATGTGGAACAGCTCCAAGGCTATTCGGATCTTTCATAGATGGTGATAGCAGTTGACTGTTGACATGCTGGCGGTGTTCCATTTCATAGACAAGCAATGCTTTATCGACCTATTGTTGGTCGGATCTTGAAGCTCAACATTCATAAGTACAGTCATTTCCTAAATGTCTATCGCGCGGAGGAGGCTGTTAATTTATTTCAACTTCCTACCCCACTACAGATGCACCAGGGCCCATCATTTTTATTTTCATGGCTCGGGTTCGGCGTCCTCACGGGCTATTAGGATAGAAGGGACAGGCAGATAGTGGCGGCTCTACGTTTTCCTGGTGACCCTGAGGGATATCTCGTTAATTGCCGTCCGAGTACCGGAATATTTCCTAAAAGATAAATTGACCATACATAGGAGATCTTCAGGGCTGAGACCATGTCTTCGGGTGGAAACGGGGTGCTGTTAGTTGTGTACCTTCCCCGAAATGGCAGGAACAAATGAGGGGTGACAAGAATGCAACCTATAGCAGCCAAATCGATGCGAGGCAAAGGTCACCCTTGATTAAGTATGAGTCCCAGAAGTACACACATCCCTCGATCATCCTAGCATGTGTACGCTAGTCTTCCTCTTGCTTGAGACCTGTGCTACTCGGCATCCACACCAGGTCTTCCTCATCTTTCTCACTGTCACCTGGCGTACCTTCGTCATCACTACTGAGTGCCCAGTCTCCCTCGATCTTCCTATCCAAAGTTGCGATCTTCGCACCACGAGCACGAAGAAATGCGATCACCTCGCGTGCTCGCCTGTATCCCTTGGCGTCAGGTAATGCATCGCCATCTCTCCCATCGTCTGTCGAAGAGGTGGGTGAATTTTCTTCAACCCAGCCGAACCTCTTTGCCAAGTGGATGCTCGCGATCACATTCTTCCCATCTCCGCTTGCCTCTAGGGTCGTCAGGAACCCAGCGAGAGCCTTCACAGCCTCTCCACGTGCCCGGAGCAAATGCTTCATGATTCTTCTTGACGAAGGCCTTCGACGGGGTGCGATCTTGACTGGCGGCTCATCGGCAAACTGTGTTGGTAAGGAGCGTAGCGTCCCCGATGATGCGCCCGGAGTGGAGGAGTTTGCACGATTCTTGTCGATCCAAGGGTTCTCAGGAGGTACTAGCGGGGTTGTATATTGAGACAATGCAGACATAGAAAGCTCCCATCGCCTAGGTGCCCAGACACCAACAAGAACTCGCCATGCTGCAATCACACGCTTGAGACTTGATATTTATAGGTAAGCTAAGAAAAATGTGAAATCACAATGATTGGAAGTTAACTTACTTCATGTAGATATCTGTGGAGAAGTTCCCATTGCTCTGTTAGTATAGCTCACATGTCCAAGGTTCTAAATATACGTGCCATTGATTAATCTATTATGATAATATGCAAACGCCCAGACTGTGAACGCTGCTACAAGAGCACCAGTGCCTGTGTACCAGAGCATCGCCCAGAGCGCCCAGAACGTAGCAGGGTAAATCATCATGCACGATAACAAGCCAAAAACAGCTTTGTTCTGTGCCTGAGTCTCCTCTTCGTGCTCGACTAAACCAGCGCCAATTCGACCCATGACATATACCGGTGTGTGAAGTAAAAGGGGAACGAGGAAGAAGGGAAGGCGAGTGAGGGCAGCAAGCGTGTCGCGAATAAGCACAGAGAGTGTTAACAACCGTGACGGAAGAGGGGTTGGGTGAGAAGGAGATAGCATTGGCGGAAGTGGAAGTGAAGATAAGACGGAGTTCGTAAGATTAGTAGATTGAAGAAGTGAATAATAACCCAAAAGATGGCGCCGAACAGTCGAGAAGTTTGCAGTGGCGTCCGTTGTGGAAAAAAGATCAACTAGACTATGAGAATACGTGAGCTGCCAATACGAAGTGGATAAACAGAGCGTGAAAACGTACGTCTGCGAAATCGTGACAAATTCTTCGAGGTCGATTGAGCGCTCATCTTCCCAGAGAAGATCCCTTGCCATTCGAGCACTGTAAAGGGTATCCCTAATTAGCACATAATCAGATTCCGCACACACCGCAATGAAACAATATTGAAATACCAGTCAGGAGCATTGATGGTTGCCTCAACCAGCTCCCTCTCGATAGCACGTGTGAGGCGCTTTGCCGCTGCGCGTGGCGCCCCTTCTAAATCCGAAAAGAATTGTTCTTTGTACTCATCCATTGAAACCGGTTCACCAAACCTAATGAAATCAGCGCCATCAGTCAGCAATGTATATCTCCATGCTGACTAAATCTCACGTCATGATGACCTATGCTGGTTTTAGTGAAGAAACCTTCCAAGGGATTAGGGGACATACACTGCTTCGGTACTTGGACTTATTCGTATACACGATAGCGGCGGGGATGATCCGGACCCCAGGCCCCTTCACTCCGTTTTCCGCCGCCCATTTGGTGTATTCTAGTGCAGCCCAGGCGGCACCATCTTTTACCTGCATGATCCTCGGCTCTGTGTAAGACGTGCCCTCCGGGAAAAGCGCAACTGCATCGCCCCGTGCAAGGGCTTCGATAGTTCCCCGGAATAGATCTTGACGGTTCTTCGACTTCCGGTCTACAGGAATATTGCCAGACGAGTGAAGTACCCAAGAAAGGACTGGGTTCGCAAAGAGTGTTGCTTAAAGTAAGGCGCAACGCATTAACGGGATTAAGGTTTGCTAGGTTGATAAGGCTTGGTTCACCTTTACTCCAGTAATGTAGAACACGACGGTGTGGGAATTTGGACGCTACGAAAGATACGATAAGCCCGCGCCAAATCTAAGAGAAGAACAATAAAACTAACAAAGAATAGCGGGATCGATCATCATGTTATGGTGAGTGGCGGTGCTGCAAAAGCGGGTCAGAATCGGTTCTAGACTGTCTTCAGGCGCGGCAGATGTAGATGCAATATATGTGGGAGTCAGTAGTCAACACTGTGGATTCCTTTACGCTCCCAAGTCCATCCAATTGGTCCCTCTAACTTCTAGGCGCTCTCAAAGATAATTCTCATGCAAAGCCAAACACGGGCTCGAGTGTCCCGGTTGACAGGCAAGTAATGCCAAATGCGAAACTTACACAATGATCGGTCCATCCAAGGGAACATGCTCGCCTCCAATTACACGTACTTCTGTGAAGAACGACCAGAGAGACCAGTCTGCAATGCGACGGATAACCAAGTGTAATACTTTCGAGTCGGACATGTTAATGAGTTGGCTGGAATATGGGAGTAATAAGGCGCAGATATACGTTGTGATATAGCAAGAAGAACTGATGTGGAAGCGTAGGGCAGAGCTCAGCGGGGAGAGAGACTACGAACGTCGAACACAGCTGCACGGCCTGAAAAGATGCAATAACGGCAACTTTCATGTCAAACACGTGCACTAATGCTCCCGCACACTCCCGCACGGCGCACGCTGAGACGTCGGACCGTCGTCCACGACTAGTGCCAAAGTACCTGCAACTTGTCTTACTGAGCTTGGTGCTGCAACTGTATTGCCACGTATGTTACATGGTTGGTTGCCAGTGCCTACAGCCACCTAGTGTTAGCTAGTCTCTCCCAGTCAGACCTTATAGAAAGAGGGCGGGCCGGCGATGACAGTCGTTCCTGAGTAGCTGCATCAACCAATGCACATATAACAAGCATATTACTCTGCGGCTCTGTCACAGTTGTACGAGAAAATCTCCTGGAGGATCTGCATAATGTGCATACAACCTTAGCTGTAAATTTAACCCCTCAGCAATACCCAACCTCAGTTCCTGCCGAGTCGCCCCAAATGAGGTTCATTCACACTGAAGGCACCCCTGAGTACACCCCAGGAACTCCCTGCCCAGTCTGGCTGAAATCCCTTACCGCACCCGGAGTCCCAGACATCTGAGCATGATACAACCATGCATCCGATCCGGTTTAGGGTTTCAGTCTTCGGCACTCGATATCATTTCGCTCGCGGAAATGGGCGGAATATCTTCACATGAGCAATTTCAAAGAGTCACAGTGATTATACACAATGAGAACTCAACTAGTACAACCAAATCATCATGTGACGTCCGGAAGCGACATGAACGCCTTCAAAGTTCATGATGGACGCAACAGTAGTACGGCTGCAGAAAGAAATACACATGCGAAAATAAGGGGCTAAAGGTCCATCGGCTATCAACAATACTCTGAATCAAGCCAAAACCGCAGATGTCAGATACAAACGGTGGGATCCGACGCAATCGCTTCCCCATGTCTATCAGCACCTTAAAGTAAAGAAAGAAAAAGAAAGGCACTCACGCTGTTCGAAATATACCATATGTGGGAGATTGATACCAGTCGATGCTGTAAAGAAGCCACGTCAAACACGAGAAGGCACGGACACAACGGAGTAAACATACGTATGGATGCACTCCCTTCCGGGTCTTCACTGCCTACACATCTACGTACGTGGCGCGGGGCCGCTAAATGTTATATCAGTTGAAGTCTTTTGAAAGGCAGAGTGTTTCGAACGTGGTTCGGTGAATTGCCAATATTCCGTAGCGCTGATAACCATGTGAGCTTGTGATAATTATATAGAAAATTAGACTTCACTGATGCTTGTAGCCCAGCTTCGTAGGTATCATTGTCGGCACGCCATCTAAGTATGGTTCTGAACAGAACGTACTAGGATGTCACGGAACATACCGAACGAATGCACGCCTGCAGTAGCATGCGAGACCCGTAAGCGAGACATGCTCTCCGACTCGGATGGACAAAAAAGAAGAGGGCACCTCGAAAAATATTATCCATTCCAATCACAGTTTCCACGAGCTCAGCAAACGAAGGATCCCCTGTCCTTGGCTGGCCTGACGGTCATGTTCAGTAACATCGCACAACAGGGGTACGAGTTTTGTTACCAAATGTGAATAATCGCAGCGCAGCATCAGGGAAACTGTTCCTGATAGATAATGCTGCAATGCATGCAATGGCACCCTGCTCGAGGACAATAACGTAAGTCGTATGACGAAAGGCACGATCCGACGCACTCCAAGCGAATGACCTGTGGGCAGAATTAACCTGTGTATATTGTGAAAAGACAGCGTGGCTTGCCGGACACTGCTACATCATACCGCGGAAATTTCTCAAACTGCTCGCGTAAAACATTAAGCATGCGATCTCCGACGCTCCTGAAAGCATAAAGAAAGCCTGTATGCACGTGGGCGTTTGTATTCTTTGGCAAGCCTGGTCCACGTAGTGGGGAAAGCACAAGGGACGTATCTACTTGCCGTCGGATGTCAAAAGTTGCCATCTTGGAATCTTGCGCCTCGAAATTTACCAATAATCGCGCTCGCAATCTCACGGCTGCCCCTGAATGAAATCACAAGTTCTTTCCTTGTGTCATCACGAGCAACGAAACCTTGCGTAGACGTAATTATATCTGTGAACTGTCGCAGCACGTCATTCAAGTTATATCAGCACACAACCGACCACAAAATTATCGACTATATGCACACCTGGGTAACCAGTGTGTTTCCCATCGGACGCGGGCACAAGACTTGATACGCGCCAGATGCATACTTTGCGTATCTCACAAGCTCATTGTACAATTCCTCGGAAATACCATTATCAGGATCATGCGCTGTACCTGGGAAGTGGGGCCACTTCCACTGGAACGAGCAGGGAGGATGCGATGTGTCGTCGGGCGGATTGCTGTACCAATCATTAGAATGGAGGTGTGCAGCATGGATGGGCAACATACTTGTGCATGATGGTTTAGGGTCAAGTTGAAGCAACTGAGTCTGAGACTGCTAGATCCGGCAAGCCATGATCGGTGGGATCGGTTCTGAATAGTACTGACAGTGTCAAGTATGGAACAGCGACGCATCTTCTGGCCATAATGAAAGCCTTAGAGTCATTAATCATTCCGAGCGATCACTCTGATAAGTTGATTTACCTAGTACAGTGAGTCAAAATCATAGTTGGTCCGTAGTACCACAACAATTGATGCACATTGTTTTCTTCTCTGAACTCCGCGAATTTATTGATGTTTAATTACCGAGGTTTGGTCGTATCGACTCGGACGCTACACAATACTAGGACTCTTGTGTTGTTGTTTACTACAGAATCACTGTCGTACAACTAAAACGCGGACAACCCAGAGAAGGAAGAAGACCGGACCCACTGGTTACAGGAGGCGATCAATGTAATCAAAATGAAAGCATGCACCCTTGACATATGATTGCAGCAAGGTGATTGTACTACCTATGTCTAGAGTGGGGCATCAAGTGCGTCAAATCATTACAATGCGTAAATGTACAGAATGAGTGTGATGTTTAGGATGTACAATGAATGTGAATCGTTTCGAATTATATCAAGGAATGTTAAGCAGGACGCCAGCGCCTAAATTTAATAAAATATAAAATGTATGCCGGTATTGGACAAAAGCCCAACGTCCTTTAATGATGGTGATGATGATGATGATGAACACGATATGCGACAGAACTCCAGCCCTCTGCTCGGTCTTCAATAAGATGAGCGTCTCCCCGAGCTACGGTGCTTCGCCGGTCCGCCCCTTCCACTGCTTGAACCAGGTGACATGAACCCTAGCAAGCGCTTGAACAGAGGTTGCGGCTTCTGAGCTGGTGGCTATTTTTGCGTATAACAAATATTCACGATGCGAGCATAAAACAAACGACGAGCATCAGCGTCGATACAATGATGCAGGCGGACTGGTAAAAGCGCACCCCATACTGATACTGCAGACGACCGTTAGGCATGTGGTGCGACTGCCCTGGGCGCGAAGGCGAGTGGTACATCGTCCGTTGGTGAGTTCCGTGGGACTGCTCCGGATAATAATATGCCGGAGATGTGTGTTGTCGCACGGGCTGCGATTGCTTCTGCGGATAGGGATAAGGCTGGGTGCGTTGGTGATGATGTGTAGGGGCCGCAGATGGCGGATAGATGACTTGTACAGTTTGCGAGCGTGATGGTGGCTTGCGTGTTGAGCCAGTACGAGAATGCGATGTAGTTTGTAAGGTGGTACGACTAGAGTGGGGGTACGACCATACTTCGACGGGCTGCGAGTAAGAGCCTGAACGCGAACGAGAAGATGTGTGCCTATATGGTTCTTCTTGTCTTGCAGGAGGTACATTGAAAGTTTTCGAGCGGCTGGGCGAAGGGCGCTGCCGTCTTCCACCTGGCTCATCATAGAATGAGCGGTCGCGCATTGTAGGCGACATGACGAATGGATTGGAATAACAATGCGCCTGAGCAGTTGTCTGGGATACCCAGTTTGAAACCCGAGCTTGTTGAGCAACATGATGCTCCCATGCTTCAGGTGAATAATCGTATTCAGTCATGAGTCCTGATGAAAGTGGCGGACAGATGCAGAAAGTGCTGTTGATATATCTACAGATGGATGATATGATATGGGGTTCCTGAAATGTGGCGTTGGTAGATGGCTCTCTATAACACGAAGACCAACTGGTGAGATTCTGAGGGAATGGCGATATTTTCAAGTAAATCGATCTTTGACCAATCTAAAGAGGCCGTGGAGAAATGAAGGCTTGTTATAAATTGGCTCCAAGAGCCGACAGGCCACCGAAAATAACGCAGCAAACAACGTTTCCTGTCCACGAGGAGGCGTAAGTCTTATGATTGAAACAAACTAACTAGTACTAGATTCTTATTGTCATGCTTATGTAAACAATACTAACCCCCAGCCTCTGGCCAATGTAACTCAACTCTTGGACTTTGTGTTTCAAGTTATATTCATGCAGTGCATGTCCATGCCAATGGTCGGCAAGCACCAAGTTTAAATACTGGTTCACTGCCAAGAAGATTGCCGCAAGCATTTCATCCTCCAATTCAATATGCACGATCCGACGTCCGACTGTCGACGCGTTGCCTAATCCAATTGCCAGTCGAAGGTCGGTGGGCTCGCGCCTGCGTGACGAGGTTGTAGTGACAAACACCGGAAGATAGCCGCAAGATTGATGATAATTCGGAGATGCGCGCGTCTTGGTAAAGATCAGTACAGTAAGTACTGATTATCGATGGCATCAATTCCTATCGATTCATACCCATTTGACAACGACGATGCGCCCAGCATGTGGGTTCTGGGAAATTTGGCGGTAATCCTCCTCTACGAAACACTTGACCTACGTGGCCATTTTCAAACATCGCAGGCTTTCCCTTCGACAACATCATCTCACCTCTTGTGCCTTCATCTGCAAACACCCTTATCTCCTTTGTGCGTGGTTTACCTTTATCAATTTCAATATTTCTGCCTATCGCATCCCGGAACTTTGACCTTCTGACATACCTTTTCAGACGGGAAGAGCTGGCTAAGTTCATCATCTCCCGGACGATTGACCTGCAACCATTCTTCCTTCTGGCTCCGGACCGCTAAACGTTGCAAGATACTTTTTTTGATTGGTGAGAACGAGGTTGACGGCGATGATGGAACTACATCATGCCTTTAGTATGGTAATGTGGTTGATCGGAGCATGTTACAGACGTTGTTGAAACACTGCCCCTTTGTTGCCCTTTTTTGTCTGGCCGATATGGTAGGTACATAGAGATGCCTATTTTATCCACCTCCGAGTCGCTACCCGGGCCAAGAACTCTACCTACCAGGATCAGGCAAGGTATGTCAATTACCACAGATTGACCTGCAGAGGATACCTCCGTTTAGCTTTGTCACACCCTATCCTACTCCTCACTGAACGCCTCCCCAAGAGCCTTGATGTCACCTGGTCCAGTTTTGCAGCAACCGCCAAATATGATCTCGTTCCAACCCCTCCCCTTGGCCTCTTTGACGAGGCTGGCCAGATCCTCTGCCCATAGATCACTCTCCTCGGGCTCTCGGAATGCCTGAGCAGACAAATCAAATCCGCCCCCTCCGTTCGGGTGCAACACTAGAAACAGTTTCTTATTCCCGTCCATCACGCGTTCAAAGTCTTGGAGTAACCCCGGAATATACTTGAGCGCCGTGCAATTGATTCCAATACCATTTGGTACTGGCATATTGTTGTCGCTGCGTATCATAGCGGTTGCCGCGTCGCTAGCGGTATAGTGATCCCCTCCAGGTTGCCGAGTCTCTGGGTACTTGCCATTGGGAAACGTCGCAGTGATCCACCAAGGTTTGGGACTGATGATCTCCTTCATATTATCCATTGCTCGCCTGATCGCCTCTACCTCTCTCACCAGCGGCACCGTCTCAAACGCAACAAAATCGACCTTGTCCCACGTCTCTTTATCAGACGTGAACACCCGAAGTCGATCCTCGTGAAAGCGTGTCAACGCCTTTATGGAGTTATTCTTGCCTTCAATATCATCTCCGAAAGATGTCGTATTTTCCTCCGTGTCGCTGTGTGCTCGTGGTCCGTATGGAAGAGGGTAAATCCCACCAAAATCTTGCATAGGGGCAAGTACAGCGCCAAAGGGTCCAAGGGAGAGGGCGATACGAATATCCTTCGGGCTGACATCAAGATGTTCCTTACAAAATTGATGTCTGGCTTTGTCTGCTATGTCAACGGCATTGCGCATAGCCTCGGTAGCGATTTCACGAGTGTACCCTGCACGGTCGAATGATTCGAATGCAGCCTGGTACCTGTGGATGACTGGTGCACAACTTGCTAAAAAGCACAGCGGAGGTACTTACGTCGCTGTGAGAAGGACCCTCGATCCAGCCTCGAGGAACGCAAGATGAGCTTGTTGCAGGGTATTTGGTGCATCAAGGATGATACGCGCTGACCACAATGGGGTGTGCGAGATCGGGAGATGGAAGTGATCTTCTAGAGTAGTGCCCTGCAAGAAATGAGCTTGTGTGTACAAATAAACCTGTATGGTAACTTACGAGTCCACCATCAGACAATAGGATTGAATCTTTGGGCATCGTTTTGGCTAGAACACGATAACTTAAAAACGAAGAGTTACAATTAGGGTACTCCGAGTCCGACACCGACATAACACGAAAAAGCCGCGGTGTTTGCCGATGTCGTCATCTAACGTTATCTGACGTTATAACCCCTGTTCCAAGGGACCACAGACTATGTACTATACCTATTCCCCAGGAGAGCACCGTGTCTTGACTAGAAGGTACCGTCTTGCCTGGTAAACATGTTGGTGATGAGTCACTGCACTCAATTGAACCAAGTCGCATTGAAACAGGTTCGGTGATACGGATCGGCAGTAGAGTCCGGGACCGAGTCACTGACAGGGAAGTCGAGATGCCGTTTGATTCCAAGCATCATCACAGCATCACGCGCAAGCAAGTACTAACAAAATAATTTTGCGACCTTGCGTAATTGTACAAACAATGGACACACCAGGGGTCCTAGAGGCAGTTGGACGGAAGACACTTGAAAGGGAGGCCTGCCAGCAGTAGTGTGTGTCACACGGTGAGCTGCTGCGAGGGCGTCTGAAGATCCCAGAAGTCCCGATGTACACAGCCTAAATATCATGGCTGACTGGCTGTCAAACTCATGGTACTCTTCACTGCTAGTACTTGTTGCGTGTGTATTCAACATGATCTCATTAGTGAACCCAACCACACAGAGTTGCAATCTCGTCTTTTCACCCGGGTCTACTTTTACGGGTCAGTTTAACTTCAAATATTAGCTACAGTGACTCATATCATGCCAATCGACTTTGTGAAGCACTGTCGAGCGACCTTGCAGGAGTTGATCATCCCGATCGATCCAAATTCTCTCCAACCTTGCCATGACCCTTTACGTCAGATTCCAGCGGCGAGGCGTCCTCAGGATGTCTGATGTAGATGAGGACATCGATCTCGGCTGGGCTGTGCTGGCGCTCCGTCCCCCCGGCTATCCTCATCAATCCAGCTCTCTCAACAACCTTGCACTCAGCATCCACGACCGATTCTTGCCCGACCTGGATGATGCCATCGAGCTCAATTGAGCTTGTACTGGCGCTTCCGTCCCCCTGGTAACATTAATCGATCCTCGTCTCTCAACAACCTTGCCAACAGCCTTCAAACAAGATTCCGGCAGCGAGTCTGACCTGTCTGAGGCCATCAAGGTCAATCGGGCTGCATTGGCGCATCGTCCCCCTGGCCATTCCATTTGGTCTTGGTCTCTCGTCCACCTTGCCAACAGCCTTCAAACCAAGTTCCAGCAACATGGTCTGCCATCAGTCTTAGAAGAGGCTTTAGCCTTTACTTATTGGCAACTCTCCGAAGCATCTCACGCGATTTCTCGCAGAGATCTTCGTGCTGCAAAGTCATGGGCCACCTCCGCCGAACAACTTAGATTATCATAACTCGACATTGTTTGCCCATAAAACCACACTGAGATTTCTCCACAGGTCGTGCCGGCTTATCTGATCAATAAATAAGATTGTTGGCATCTTACGCAAACTGTGGGTATCGTTAGCTCCATGGTTGAAGTGCTAAAGCAGTTTATTCCTCGTGGCTCACGCATTCGGTGGTGTCCTCACGCTGCTCCTTCTACATACAGCGGGACCCTACGAGCCTAGGAGCACGATCTATTACATCTCTTCTTACACCCTAACGTTGGTGGCGCTCATTCGTGCGAGACAGCAAGCGGAACCCGGACGGAGGGGGGGCACTCGAAGCCATGTAGAATTTTATTTTAGTTTGGACAGCCTGAAAGAAGCTGAGGAGACTCCATTGAACGCACCAGAATACATATGTACTTGACTACCCTGCAATGTTAACCCATCTTCTCCGGAGTATGTAACCGCTCAGTAGAAATAGGATTGGTCAGAAACGCGCATGTGCGTCGTGTTGCATCGTCGCTTCCTCAAAGTCCAACTTCTCAATCACATATGAAAGCCACTGCATTCTGTTGGAGCTGGAGAACGGCGCTGTATCAAGTGTCTGCGACATGGCGGGAGACGACAAGGAGAGTACAGTCTACGACGTAGATATATATACGTAATCGGGACTATCCGAACAACGAACGATGACGAAGGGTGCCGGTGAAATACCAAACCCTAACACATTAATGTCCCCGCACTCCATACAAACCGTCATGCATTCATGGACAGTTAATTGAAGACAGTTTCCTCTGCGGCTTCGTAGTGCAGGGTCTCACAATACAGGTGTAATAACAGTTGTAATCTACACAGAAATCTAAGATCTAAGGGATCACACTGGCGCATCTCTCTCTCGATCTCTGGTTCACCTCTGAGCACTACCCACGTGGTTCTGACTGTGCAGTAGTGTGGTCGCACAGCAGCCTCGTGCCCCACAGCAAGCACTGGACGGCGAGCGCCTATTCGTTCTTCAACTGCATTCCACAACCCTTCGCACTCCATCAATCGACAGCTTGATCGTTCCGCGACCTAAGTCTTGTCACAACTTACAAGCTTCCATTCAAATCTTTGTACGTCGTCCCTCCAGATAACTACCGCCCAGATTATTTCTAACCACACTCTCCAACTCGGCTAGTACTTTCAGTCGATTCCTTGCGTCTCGCAACTTTCGTCGATGAGTGACGATCAATGTCAGTACTTCCATCTCTTATCTCTCGCATGCTCCTAAACCTTGACAGTTCTTGAAGGAACTTGGACGAGGCTGTCCCAGGTCGCTGTCAAGGGTGCTCAATATAACTCCCGTGAGCGTCAGCCCCACCCGAAATGTTTGCAAGGGACCCGGGTCGATCTCCTGGATTACATCCACGAATCACTGGACGAACCAGAGAAGAATCAACTAATTTGGCTGCATGGCACGGCTGGTGTCGGAAAGTCTGCCGTTGCGTTTACAGTCGCTGAGAAGATGAGAGGTCTAAAAGTGACAGAAGAAACGGACGTCGAAAAGCGGCTAGCGGGAACATTCTTTTTCTCGCGCAAGCACACCAAACGCTGCACAGCTGGATATTTCTTTGCGACGCTTGTCTACCAGCTTGCCACCAATTTTCCAAGTATCAGGCAGGATGTGAACAGAGCGATCCGCAACGATCCTGCTCTACTAGACCCAGACACGCCTCTCTGCGACCAGATGGAGGCTCTCTTTCTCCAACCTCTCCGGAAACTTCGACTCAGATTGCGCGGATGTCCACCTTTGTCGTTTGTTGTCGATGCGCTTGATGAATGTACATCTGAACCCGAGCTTACTGATCTCATCCTTTCCCTTGCACATGCTCTTCGTGAGCCTGACCTTCCCGTGACCCACGTTCTGCTTACAAGCCGCTCGGAATCCCATATCTCTAAAGCCTTTCAGAACGAAGAGGTGCGCCCGTTGGTACGGGAGATACCCGTGAGAACTTCAGGGGATGGTGGCATCATCTCGTTAGACGGCACAGACGTTGACAACGACATCTGTACTTTCTTGCGGCATTCCTTCGAAGAGCTGAAAAGCCGTCATCCTGATTTCCCGCAGCCATCGGAGGTTGATCTTGCGAAGCTGGCGAGCCGAGCGGGGAGACGTTTCATCGTGGCGTCTACGATGATGAAGTTTATTATCGACGATGAAGACAATGATCCCCATGATCGGTTACAGCTGATGCTCCAGCTCACGAGCTCGCTGCTACCAGGAACGGAGGTGTACAAGTTATATGATTGTATCCTCTCCACGTGTGCCAACCCCAAGCGGGCTTATATGCACTTGTCCATTGTCGCCGCCCTCACAGACCCTCTTCCCATCTCGCAAATCTCGATACTTCTTGGCTCTGGCTTGGGAAGGGATGTACAGACAACGCTGATACAGCTACGGTCTGTCATGGATATCCCTACAGACAGCACTCTCCCCGTGAATATCTATCACTCGTCCATTCGCGACTACGTTTCCGACTCCTCAAACTGCGGCCTCCCTCAAGTACGCGATATCGCCTCACCTCACTACCTACTCGCACGTTCCTCTCTCCGCTTAATGAAGGCGATACCAAAAAGCACGGCTCTCTTGGATGCACTCTCAGAGCTGAAGAAGCAAAGCAAAGCTATGCAACCTGAGGACCCCCATAGGTTAAAAGACTCATTAGCGTTCCTTGTTCGGCCACCAGAGCCACTGTCATCTGTCATCTGTCTGCTATGGCTTCGAGGAGATCGCACTTCAGATTTAGAATCTTGGCTGGGGACTGTGGACGGGCATGCCTGGCTGCACACCCAGGCAGGACGATTCTGGCTGCAGACCATGGCAGGACGATTCTGGCTGCAGACCCAGGGGGGGAGAGACTGGCTGCAGACCTGGGGAGGACGATTCTGGCTGCAGACCCCGGCAGGACGATTCTGGCTGCAGACACGTGGAGGACGATTCTGGCTGCAGGCCCAGGGAGGACGAGACTGGCTGCAAGCCCAGGGAGGACGATTCTGGCTGCAGACCCACGCAGGACGAGAGTGGCTGCAGACACGGGGAGGACGAGAGTGGCTGCAGATCCAGGGAGGACAAGACTGGCTGCCGCAGATCCAGGAAAAACAAAAGTTGCTGGGGGTACGGGCGTGGCTGCAAAAAATCCGGGAAGGACGAGAGTGTCTGCCGCAGATCCAGGAAGGACGAGAGTGGCTGCTGCAGGCCCAGGAAAGGGAAGATTGGCTGCAGACACAGGGAGGACGCAGGTGGCTGCTGCAGACACAGGGAATGCGAAGCTTGCTGCAGACCCAGATAGGACAAAACTGGCTGCAGACACAGGGAGGACAAAACTGGCTGCAGGCCCAGGGAGAGGGAGGGGAATATTGGCTGCAGACAGGGGGAGGACGAGACTGGCTGCAGACCGAGGGAGGACGAGACTGGCTGGAGATGCAGGGAGGTGAAGACTGGCTTGCAGACCCCGGCAGGACAAGAGTGGCTGCAGACACAGGGAGGAAGAAACTGGCTGCAGACCCAGGGAGGGGAAGATTGGCTGCAGACCCAGGAAGCACGACACTGGCTGCAGACCCAGGGAGGACGAGACTGGCTGCAGATCCAAGGAGCACAAGACTGGCTGCGGACCCAGGGAGGACAAGACTGGCTGCAGACCCAGGAAGCACAAGACTGGCTGCAGACCCAGGGAGGACGAGACTGGCTGCAGATTCAAGGAGCACGACACTGGCTGCAGACCCAGGGAGGACAAGACTGGCTGCAGACCCAGGGAGGACGAGACTGGCTGCAGACCGAGGGAGCACGCGACTGGCTGCAGACCCCGTGTGGGCGATTCT